GCTTTCTTGTTTGCAAGAAAAAGATGTCAACCTCTCCTGAATTGATGTGCTGTTTTTGTCCTCCCCCTTTTAAGCTGTTCCTCGAGGCAGTTACTAATATGAAGTTTGACGAGGAGCCCAACTATGCCAAACTTATCTCGATTTTTGATACTCTCATCGAGCCATGTGCTATATCCAGACCAATTAGAATTGATGGGGCTCTTAAGGTGGGTTTCTTTGGTTCACATGGTTATTTTTCACTACTTGTAAATATTGCACCAAGTGCTGATAATTTTATTTTGCATGAATAGGTTGGCCAAAAACGAGGAAGATTGCTTATCAATTTGGAAGAGGATGAACAACCGAGGAAGAAAATCAGAATCGGCAGTCCTGCTACCCAATGGATTTCAGTCTATAATGCACGTCGTCCTATGAAACAGAGGTAATTATTACACATTTGAAAGCTTGCTCATCACTCATTTCTGGAGTATAAATATTTGAAAATCTTCATTAATTGAATTCCTCTTTCTAACTGATCAATCTTTATTGTTCTTGTAGATATCATTACAATGTTGCAGACACAAGGCTGTACCAGCATGTAGAGAAAGGTAACGAGGATGGCCTTTTCATAAGCTGTGTAGCATCAGCAGCTAATCTCTGGGCCCTCATCATGGACGCTGGAACCGGGTTCAGCTCTCAAGTTTATGAATTGTCTACTGTCTTCCTGCACAAGGTAAATCAGCTAAAGCCTTACGTGCCACCCATCTGTCATACCCTATTCTCGACTCCAGCAGCTCACCATTGTGTTTCTGCAGGACTGGATTATGGAACAATGGGAAAAGAACTACTATATAAGTTCCATAGCTGGTGCAACTAACGGCAGCTCATTGGTTGTTATGTCAAAAGGTTGATACTTATCCTTAGCGATGACTATTCTCATGTCTTACTTATTGATTCATTGTTGGGCTTGAAGCCGTTTTACTCATTCTACTCCTCGTAATGCAAATAGGAACTCCTTATACACAGCAATCTTACAAAGTTAGCGAGTCGTTCCCATTCAAATGGATAAATAAAAAGTGGAAAGAAGGATTTCATGTAACGTCAATGACCACTGCTGGGAGTCGTTGGGGTGTAGTAATGTCAAGGAACTCAGGCTATTCTGAACAGGTTCCCCCATCTCTTGACCCTGAGGCATTTCAACATTCCTTTATTTCCTTTTCTCATGGGCACGACTATAATGTATTAGTAATGATGTCTATGTGTGGTGTTAATTAGGTAGTGGAGCTTGACTTTTTGTACCCAAGTGAAGGAATCCATCGAAGATGGGAGAGTGGGTACAGGATAACATCAATGGCTGCAACGGCAGATCAAGCAGCTCTCATATTGAGTATACCTAAACGAAAAATAACCGATGAAACCCAAGAGACTCTCCGCACTTCTGCTTTCCCAAGCACCCATGTCAAGGTTTGTTGTTAGCCTTTTCATAAAACAAAAACACATAAAAAACTAACTTTGGACTCTTCTCCATTGACTTTGAATCTTTACTTTTGGTTTCAGGACAAATGGGCGAAAAATCTGTACATTGCATCAATATGTTATGGTCGGACAGTTTGCTGAGTTAAAGCGCGCGCAGAGTATACTGTCTCAACCTCCCTCACACTCGATCTAGGTTTCAGGGATGATCTTCTCTTAGAAGCCTTACAACGTGAAGCTTCGGTTTCAGTATCATCCACTAAACCAGGAGCCATCACCTATGTGACCGTGTAATGAAATGAGTTTTCTCTCGTATGTATGTAGTTCAAGATAAAAGTAACATGAAACATTAAAAAAAAAGAGTAGAAGAGATGCATTATTAATAGAATTGAAGAGCTGGGAAAAAATTATGCAGTTTCTGGCTTATTGCTTCATTCCTGATTTGAGTACAGAATCAGGTTGAAGCAACATGTTTGTTTGAACATATAAATCTGAGAAGGCTTTTTTGATCTTTTGGTCTCAAGCCGTGTCTTCCAAGTTTTTATTTAGTTTGTGTATATTTCAGAATTCAATTGGAATTCATTAAATTTGAAAAAGTAAATCAAAATCAAACATGTGGATTATATTTGTAACTTATCTTTTGTCATTTTAACGAAACACTTACACAAATCGGACTCAACTTCTTGTTAATTAATGATTTATGCCTATGCATAACATAAAACGGAGTCCAATTTTAAAAGTAAGCATGTTGAAGTTTCAACTTTTTATTTGAGGACAAAGAGAGAATAAAAGACTTCAAGAGTCAACTTATTCTTTATTTAGTGCGCTTAGTAGGGAGGGAGCAATGGCTCTGATATATCCCCAGAGGCGGTGAGACAGAATGTAAAATCTTTACGGGCTGATAAGCAAATCAGTGTTTTACGCCGTTAAGAAGAAAAAGAAAGACCAATATGGCCATTTATTTTTGCATATGATCTGGGACTAATATTGCACATTAAAATTTAGGAAGAAACATGAATAGAATCTTAAATTCACACCATAAGAACAATAGCCACCAAAAATCTTCCAATTTATTTACCTTCTATAAAAATTTAAATGTAATTTTCCACTTTTTCCTCGATTCTGAATTTCTGGTTTAGATTGGTTTTAAATCACATAAAAAATGTTAATTATCTGAAACAAAGGTTTTTTGCATAAACTAAGATTTGGATTATTTGTTATACTTCTAATTCATCATTCCAAACCGGATTAACAAAAAGAAAGTAAAAAAGGTAAATCCGAATTGAGTAAAAATTTAAAAATCTCTTTTCCACTAATTACTGAAAAAACCACTCCATACATTTCAAAATATTTGTCCTTTTATATTTATACCCACAAAAAAATATAAGTTTTCTTAATTTATGTAAACCAATGACAAGTATTTCGAAACGGAAAGTGTAATAAAGTTTTAACGCCTGACACAATTTAGGGATGACCAATTAACAATGTTAAGTCACGCCAAATCTCTTTCCTCTTACCAGCTTCTATTGGAAGAATCTACTATAAACCTCTGTGCCTGATTTCAGACCTATGTGCTAGTTGGTTAACAGTTTTAGCAAGTTTTTGACATGTGGAATTGAAGTTTATCTTTTCTCTAGTTGGAAGTAAATGTTAAATTAAATGTAAATTAATGATGGACTAATTTTCTTCTCATTGTCTGATATTTTCTAGTATAAATTTGAGGACATCTGTGTTGAAGTCTTGAATATATCTAGATAATATATTCTTAGAGAAGAAGAAAGAAAAAAAATGGAGAGAAAACACAAAGCAGTTCCTGAAGAAATACAAATTGAGATTATGTTACGGATGCCTCTGAAATCTTTGTTGAAATGCATCTGCGTCTCAACGAGATGGGCATCTATAATCCGTGGGAAACACTTCAAAGATCTGTACTTGCTCCGATCAATGACAAGACCTCGACTGCTGTTTGCATTCGGTCGAAGAGTACTCGACCCAACCCCAGGTCTGTTGTTCCACTCTGTTTATCAAGAAGAGACTCCATTGCTGTCGTCTGGTCAACAACAGATGCGTGTCCTTAAAGAAGCAGGTTATGCGATTTCTGCAACCATCCGAGGTCTGGTCTGTCTTCGAGACCAGTCATCAGCTAAGGTCGTGCTCTGCAATCCGGGCACCAGAAAGTTTCTGGCTTTACCGAAATTCGGAGGCCCTGAAGCATATTTCCTCAGAAGCTTTTTAGGGTACGACGAAGCTACGGATGTATTCAAGGTGTTGTGTAGGACTACGACACAGTGTGGTAAATCAGCTGACGCCTTGCAACATCAAATATTCACGGTGAGATCGGGTGAAGAATCTTGGAGACCGATCGTATGTAATACTCATCATACTCCACTTACTAATGGGATATGTGAAGGAGGAGTTTTGTACTATGGAGCTTGGACCGGTCCAGAGAACAAATCTATGGTAATGAGCTTCAACGTGAGGTCGGAAGAGTTTAACGTTATTGAATTGCCTGAGGGAGTCAAAGTCAAGATTAATGCTACATTGGTGAACTATAACGGGGAAGTTGCCTTAGTGAACTACTCGGTGGATGAAAATGAAGTGCTTCAGTTTTGGGTACGGAATGAAACAACAGGAGAATGGCCCCTGGTACGCTTTGTGATTCCTTGTTGGAGGGAAACCGTCGGGGATATGATGTTTGGTTTCGAAGGTACCATTGGAACAGGGGAACTTGTTTTCACACTGTTCTGGTTGCATGAGGGATCACACATTGTGTTGTATTACGATACAGTCACAAAAAATCTCAGAAAGTTTAAGATCGAACAGGTTGTTGGAGATCAGTTTCACTTTGCCAAAACCTTCTTGAATCATGTTGATAGTCTTTTCCTTACGTAAGGAAAAAAACAATATATACTAGTAGTAGTCTTATTGGGATTGTTTCTCCTTCAGCCTCTCTAAGTGCTGCTTCTAGTCTTTTGGGTTTGTTTTCCTTTTCATTAATATATTGTCGTTAACCTTTGTTTATGGTAAACAACAATATTCTATCAAGTTTTTTGTTTATGGTATGCAAAAATGTTCTTTTTTTCTACTCTGTTTATGAGGCCGTGGAGCCTTTTGCTAAAACAGAGTAAATAAGTTAAGTTTTGGGTTAGCCAACTTTGCTTGCACTAATAACTGTTTATTCACTTAACTAAGCTTTCATGACTAAACATTCCTTCCTACACAAAGATTAATAATATACCAAAGAGATGAGAAGCCAAGACAAATGTTTCAAATCCATTGAGGAAGGACTCATCTTTGACTAATACTTTCTGTTTCATCAGGCGCAATGCATATTATCCTAATCATGCAGCCACATTCATGACAAACACGACTAATGCTAAGGCACATCGATTGAGCTACAATACAACTCTGTTTCATGAATTAGATAGAATGATGCAACCAGCACATGCAGACCTCAAGACTTGTCATGAGGTGACAACAGCATCATTTATTACAGAGAATGACAGTGCATATAATACTAACTACTACTTCATTAATATATCAAATGACTAGTGCAGGATGGGCTGAAGCCAGATATGTGGAACCAGACCGTCATTAGGGAGTTGAGAGAAGGTTTGGTCGGTGATATTGTAGAGATAAACCTGCTTCCCTTCAGTGAAGTAGATGGAGTTAGGCTTAAGTCCAGGATACATGGTCGTGGGGAGAATGAAAGGCTCGTTTTCTCCTAAGAAAATGCAGAAATCCCCAATGTCTTGAACATAAGACTCTAGCCTTGTGGTTGGATCAGACCTGTACAACATGAACCACCTTGTCCCGGTCTTCACCTCCGTAGGTTCCAAGTCCAGTCGTGTCTCCTCAGAGAAGGCGGGCTTACCCATACAAGTTCTGAGAGTATACTTGACGATGATGAATAAATCGCCGGAGGGTGACTCCACCAAGTGTTTGGTCCGTTGGCACCTTCTCAGCAGCTCGTACTCATACTCTCCCGTCTTGGGTTGCTGCAAGGGTCCGGTTTGGCGGTAATAAGTAAGGAAAGGGAGCAAGGGCTCCGGCATATCCCTAGCGTCCTTGCGGAAGAATGTATCAGAAGCCGTGAGATAGAAGGTGGAATCTCTAGTGGAGTAGAAGACGAGGGAGTTGTGATATCGGCTGGAAAGACAGTAATCGTATCGCCATGTGGAGCCACCGACTCTACAAAAGGAGATACAGCTTCCCTCGAATTTGACAGCCACAACGCACACTTGGTCATGGTTGTCAGGGGAAGAGGAGAGCGAGACACTACGAACCTGCAGGCTCGCCTTGGACTGCAAACGGTCAGGAGGATAAAGGGGAGGCAGAGAGATGACCCTGTGAGAGGATTCTGGAGCTGAGGGATTCATCATGTTGGTGACATGTACGGTCAGGTCCTCGTTGTTCATTCGGACGACCCAACCACGTGAAGATCCGATGGTGCGTGAACGGTGGATGCTTTCTGGGATCCTCAGCTCTGCCAGCGTCACTCGTTTCTGCATCTCCAAATCGTAGATATTCAAAGTCGCGACTTTGCCTCCGGGATAGCTTCCAACAGCATCCATGGGGAGCAACAGTAACGGTAAAGATGGGCTAGTCGTCAACAAGCGAATCGCCAAGAGAGGAAGACCAGAGAAGCCTACCAGCGATTTTCCGACTTTGGGGATCCTTCTCGCCAACATTATTGATTATTCTTCTCCCAAGTTTCTCCAGATTAGGGTTTCTCTGCTTATTACACTCTGTTTGGGACTATTTGTATCTTCTTCTTTGGAATAAATATTCTTTTATTCCCTTATAGGGCTGGTCTAACTTTGAGACGTTATTCCGATGATCTTGCAGCCAATTATGTGTGAATCCGAATCCTCTTTTGTATCCTTAACAAACATGATCTTTCTTTATCTCGGTGATAGTCAAGTTTTCAGCTATTTTCTCTCGAGTTCATAGATTCCCTTAGTTGCCAAGTATGTTGTTGCTATGAACAGGCCATGAGCCATGTGAGAAGAAATGGGAACTTTACAAGTGGTTTGTAATGGTGAGAGAAGACATGTCACCGGTTTTGAGTGGTGTAACAGAGGGTTTGTATCATAGTATCACTGTTACTTAAACCAATCTAGTTGGTGAAGGAGTTTATCTTAATCTTCTTCTCTCTTACTCTTATAATCGTAAATCGTAACAAACAAATTAAATATCCTTCTCAACGGCTGGAGCAATTGGCCAATATATCATCGTTATAAAAAAAAGAATGGATATCACCTCCTAGGGAGAGAGAGTCAAGTATGAAGTTCAAACTGTTGCTAGAGAGAGAGAGAGAATGTAACACAATGATGCATCATCAGATTGAGCTTAAATAGAAAGATAACGCAATCATTAAACGATTACTTGGGGGGAAGCCAGAAAGGCGTAAGCAGAGGTTCTTGGTGAGGGAATTGAAGGATGGTGTGGGTGGCGATATCATAAACGCAAATCTGATCTTTCTCGGTGAAGTAGATGGAGTTGCGCTTAAGCCCAGGGTACTTTCTAGTGGGGACACAGAAGGGCTCGTTCTTCCCAAAGAAAATGCAGAGATCCCCGATATCTCCCACGTAAGGTTTGGGCCAACTTTGCTTACTGTACAGCTCAAACCGCTTGGTCTCCGCGAGGTATACATCCGATTCCTTGTCGCACGAGACGACGAGTTTCTTCCCCGTTTTTATCATGTACCACATGAGGGTATACATGTCGCCGTAGGGTGTTTCCACCAGGAACCTCTTGCCGCACCACCCTTCCACCAACTTTTCCGGTGGCTCCAAAGGCCAGTGTTGCTGGAAAAAAACAATGAGAGGGGAGCCGTGTCTGTCCCTGCGACCATAAATCTTATGCCTGTCTGTTTTCAACTTGCGCCTGTGGGCCTCATGGGCCTCAGGATCTCTGAAAGAATCAGTGGAAGGAGTGAGGTAGAAGATGGAAGCTGCCTTAGAGTAGATGACGGAGGAAGCCTTGTAATCCTTGGGAAGAGAGTTGATGTGGGTCCATGACCATGAGGAGTCACCACTGAGTCTACACAAGGAAATGCAGTGTCCCCAAAACTTAATGGCCACAACACAGCCTTCTTGATCAGGGGAAGATGAGAGAGATGCGTTACGAACAAGCTCACTCACAGGCGTGTACTCCGACGGGTCGAGACCACGAGGCAGAGGCATAAGGGGAGGCAGAGAGATGACCCTGTGAGAGGATTCTGGAGCCGAGGGGCTCAGCATGTTGGTCACATGTACGGTCAGGTCCTCGTTGTTCATTCGGACGACCCAACCCCGCGAAGATCCGATGGTGCGTGAAAGGTGGACGCTTTCTGGCACCCTCCGCTCTGCCACCGTCACCCGTTTCTTCATCTCCAAATCGTAGAAATTCAAATTCGCGACTTTGCCTCCTGGATAGTCTCCAACATCATCCATGGGGAGCAACAGACACGGTGAAGGTGGCCTAGTCGTCAACAGCCGAATCGCTCCTCGAATCTGACATCGGCAGACACGAATTCGTCAGAGCAAAAAACACACAGAGAAGGGAAGGGAAGAGAAGAGAGGGAGATATCAGAGAAGCGTACCAGCGATTCTCGGACTTTGGGAATCCTTCTCGTAAACAGCACCGACATTATCGATTACTCTTCTCTCAAGTTTCTCCAGATTAGGGTTTCGGCTGTTCTCTCGCTTACAACAACCACAGACAAGAAGACCTACATGCCACGCATCGACAGGTTTCACGAGCCATGCTGTCCACCAGCCCCAAGGCTTAAGAAGGCCCAGAGTGTTGTGAATAATGTGAAGTTTTGTGTCATCGACCATCCACTGCACCAATAATGAGAATCTTAAGTAAATTTTAAACAAGTCTATTTACTATGATTTTTTCTGTTCTTCATATCTCCTCATGGCTTGATCAATGTCAAACTCACCTTCATATTTAAGTTGCTATAGCATCATTCTTCCGCCTCGGACGTGTACTTGAGTCACTAGCAGCAGCGGCTTTTGTCGCCGCCTGTTTCTTCCTCCTCCACTTAGCTTTCGTAGCTTTCATTCGACGTTTCTTCTGAGCTGAACCTAGTCAATAGACTTGTTTCAATCCCATGTTCGATTTCACATTTTGGTGTTTACTTAACATCAAATAGGGTGTATCTAGTGGCATGCGCAAATTCAGCCTTTTTGGAAAGTCAACTAGATCCTTACATTAAGTTATAGATAAGGTTGAGAAATCGATTTCACAAAGCCAGGGGTAATAGAGATGCTGCAATATTTGTCGAAAGGCATAAAGTTTTTTCTACAGAATGAGACTTGATGCTAAGCACACGAATCGAGCTACAGAATGGTGAAAGAAACCCACAATGAATATTGTCCTAATCATACAGCCATATTCATGACAAACACGACTAGTGCTAAGCACATCGACTGAGCTAGATAGAACTCTGTTTCATGTATTAGATAGAATGATGCAACCCACATATGCAGACCTCAAGACTTGATGCAAAGCACACCATGAGGTGACAACAGCATCATGTATTAGAGAGAATGACAATGCATATAATACTAACTTTTACTTCATTCATATATGAAATGACTAGTGCAGGATGGGCTGAAGCCAGATAGATGAAACCAGACCGTCATTAGGGAGTTGAGAGAAGGTTTGGTCGGTGATATTGTAGAGATAAACCTGCTTCCCTTCAGTGAAGTAGATGGAGTTCGGCTTAAGTCCAGGATGCATGGTCGTGGGGAGAATGAAAGGCTCGTTTTTTCCTAAGAAAATGCAGAAATCCCCAATGTCTTGGACATAAGACTCAACCCTTGTTGTTGGATCAGGCCTATACAACATGAACCGCCTTGTCCCGGTTTTCACCTCCGTAGGTTCCAAGTCCCGTGTCTCCCCAGGGAAGACGGGCCTACCGACACAAGTTTTGAAAACATACTTGACAATAATGAATAAATCGCCGGAGGGTGACTCCACCAAGTGTTTGGTCCGTTTGCACCTTCTCAGCAGCTCGTACTCATACTCTCCCGTCTTGGGTTGCTTTAAGGGTCCGGTTTGGCGGTAATAAGTAAGGAAAGAGAGCAAGGGCTCCGGCATCTTCCTAGCGTCCTTGCGTAAGACTGTATTAGTAGCAGGCGTGAGACAGAAGGTGTAATCTTTACTGGAGTAGACGACGAGGGAGTGGTTGCATCGGCTGGAAAGAGAGTCAGCGTGTCGCCATTTGGAGCCCTGGCGCCATTTGGAGCCACCGACTATACAAAAGGAGATACAGCTTCCCCTGAATTTGACAGCCACAACGCACACTTCGTCACGGTTATCAGGGGAAGAGGAGAGCGAGACGTTACGAACCTGCAGGCTCGCCTTGGGCTGCGAAAGGTCAGGAGGCATAAGGGGAGGCAGAGAGATAACCCTGTGGGAGGATTCGGGAGCTGAGGGGTTCAACATGTTGGTGACATGTACGGTCAGGTCCTCGTTGTTCATTAGGACAACCCAACCCCGTGAAGATCCGATGGGCCGTGAAAGGTGGATGCTTTCTGGGACCCTCCGCTCTGCCACGGTCACTCGTTTCTGCATCTCCAAATCGTAGAAATTCAAATTCGCGACTTTGCCTCCGGGATAGTCTCCAACAACATCCATGGGGAGCAACAGACAAGGTGAAGATAGCCTAGTCGTCAACAACCGAATCGCCAAGAGAGGGAGACCAGAGAAGCCTACCCGCGACTTTCCCACTTTGGGAATCCTTCTTGCCAATACCATCGACATTATTGATTTAGCTTGAGAGTCTTCCACGTAGTATTGAGAGCAGTCCACAGATGGATGATCCTACCAATTTTGCTAACAACAGTGGCCCTTGTGGACAACAAATCCCATAGGACTTGAAGACAGAAGAAGAAGCAATATGATGGTGTTGTTAACGGTTGGAGATGTGAAGCGATTTGTGATGAGCGATGTGAACTTTGGATTGTACCTACAAAAAGCCTTTGTTATGATCTCTTACATCGAGAAGCATTAGCCTTTTCTTATGCTTTAAATGAAAGAATCACTATTCGGACAGAAAATATTCAGATTCTCAATGCGACAATTTGGGAAGAAACTAAAACAGCTCACTTGGTTAATTTAACGAACACTTGGTGTGCATGAGGTTGTTTGTCACAAAGGAGAAACTTGGAATCTCCCTCCCTGCAAAGCTACGGAGGAGATATTAGGTCTACGAGCCCTGGCAGTTTAAATTCAATCAAACTCCTCCAGAACGTAAAAGGCTCAATCAGGGCACTTCGTTTGTCACCGAAGAGAAGCAAGGGAACAGTTTTTTAACGAGCGGAAATAAACCGGTCGGTTTAATGTTAAAATAATTCCAGGTTCATATTAACCGAACCCGGTCGAACAGTTGCGGAAAAAACCCTAAATACCCAGCTTCTACCCCACAATGCGTCGTCGCTCAAAATTAAAACCCTAAAACCTTGAGTGAATAAGCAGAGAGCGCAGTCTGTGAGAAAAGCTAGGGAAGAAGAAACAATGAGACCTCCAATGGGCGGCGGCGGGTTCAGAGGAAGGGGAGGAAGAGACGGTGGTGGCGGACGATTTGGTGGAGGAGGAAGATTTGGCGGCGGAGGACGATTTGGTGGAGGAGGAAGGTTTGGCGGAGGAGGACGATTTGGACGTGGAGACGATGGTCCTCCAAGCGAAGTCGTGGGTTCGTTTCTATTCTTTTTACTTCTTGTTTGGTTTTTGGAATTACATTTGATGCAGCTGGTTTCTGAATGTGTAGCAGCCAAAAAAAGTTCAACTTGATGTTCTTCTTACGATGCTTTTGACAGATTTGGTGTTTTATTTACCATTAGCTGTAGCTGCTTAGAGTTCATGATATGGGTTTTAATGCAAAGAGATATGCATATGCTTGTGAAAACTATTATCTTGACTCCTTTCTCTCTTTGGATGAAACAGAGGTTGCAACTTTCCTCCATGCTTGCGAGGGAGATGCTGTGACCAAACTCTCACATGAGAAGATTCCGTATTTTAATGCCCCGATCTACCTGCAGAACATGACTCAGATTGGGAAAGTAGATGAAATCTTTGGCCCTATCAACGAATCTGTAATCTCTCTCGTCTTCTTCTTCTTCTTCTTCTTCCATTTGTTTCTGACCAAACCAGGCATATATTTATTCTGTTTGGTTTCTTCTTCTTCAGTTGTTTTCTATCAAAATGATGGAGGGTATTGTAGCAACCTCGTATTCTCCAGGAGACAAGTTCTTCATTGACCCAGGAAAGCTTTTGCCTCTCGCTAGATTCCTTCCTCAGCCAAAGTAAGTTGCACTCGTTAACACATTTGCAAGCAGAAGTATGAGCTCTGAGAGTTGTGAATCTTATCGAACTCCATTAACTGGAATGTCTATGTTCTTGCAGGGGTCAATCAGCGGGTGGCCGCGGTGGAAGCCGTGGAGGATTTTCCAGAGGCAGGGGACCTCCAAGAGGAGGATTTTCCAGAGGCAGAGGACCTCCAAGAGGTGGTAGAGGACCTCCAAGAGGTGGTCGTGGAAGCTTCAGAGGCCGAGGAAGAGGATAGATTCTTCTCCTACTCTTTATTTGTACGCTTTGTTTCATCACTGACTATCGTTTTCCAGGATTCTCAGTTTTTGATACCTTTGTTTAATTATTTGAGTACGAAAGTTTTCATCAAATTAGCTTAAAAACTTAGAAGGTTTACAACAATAGCAACTAGAACCATATTCTTTTAATACTGAAATTGAATGAAATCACAGAGCAAAATCAACAATAGAGAAGGACTGTCTTGAGTCTTAATAATATTATTGAGCTTCCAAGAGGGTTCCCTCATGATCCCCAGCCTCTGATAACGGTAGCTTGAGCCACGCGGTTAACACCGAGGGTGAAAGCTCCCATACGGAGATCACAGGAGTGAGTCTTACACATCTCTTTCAAGTCTGTGAAGCCTCGAGTCATGTACGTCCTTAGCTCCTTGTTAACCTTTTCCTCGTCCCACATGAATCCTTGTATGTTCTGCACACACACAAAATCACGAATCAGTCTAGTGTTTTGGTCAATTGTGCGTCAGGTCCTACATTAATGGTTTAGACTTAGAGAGTCGTACCTGAACCCACTCGAAGTAACTTACAGTCACTCCTCCTGAGTTTGCGTATATATCTGGAAGGATCACAACACCTTTCTTCCTCAAGATCTGCAGACAAGGATATTACAGAGTTCCTGTTACGTCAGAGTTTGTGAAGAAGAAGAAAGAGCGTAAACAAAGAATCGAATTTGGCCGAACCTCGTCTGCCTCGGGATCAGTTGGATGATTGGCACCTTCAATGATGAATTTTGCTTTAATCTCATTTGCATTTTCCCTATAGAGCCAAACTCATCAGAGTTTCCAAAAGGGAGTTCGGGAGAAAAAGGTTAACTTATGAGGCAAGAAAACTAAAAGACCTGTTGATGACGCCACCAAGAGCTGCAGGGACAAGGATATCACAATCTTCAACAAGAATCGAATCAGGCTCGATTGAATCAGCACCATAAAACCCTTTGATTCCTCTGTTTTCTTCGGTATGCTCGAGCAAGCCAGAGATATCGATTCCGTTCTTGTTCTTGATTGCTCCTGTGACATCACTCACCGCCACAATCTTCCCACCTTTCTCACTTATCAACTTAGCCGCCCAAGAACCTACATTTCCAAAACCCTAAAAGACAGAGACAATACATGAGTGTCTGTCTCCACACGCAAGCAATATCTCCGTACAGAAAACTTCTTAAAACTTTATTTCCTACCTGGATGACGAATCTCTGTCCAGATATGCTCTTTCCATGTTCATTGAGTAATGCTTCTGTTGCAAATAACACTCCTCTCCCAGTAGCAGCATCTCTCCCCAGAGATCCACCAAGATCCTGCTCAAAACATCATCATCCTCAATAATCATATATATCACATTCGGTTTTAGATTGGTAAGGCATATAGACTGAACAGTGTGGTCACTTACAATGGGTTTTCCGGTCACAACGGCAGGGGAGTGTCCGTGGAATTTCGAATATTCATCAAGAATCCACGCCATTGTCTTTAAAATATGCATCATTATACAGTATCAGACAACAACACATAACAACTCCAATGGAAGTGCAAGAAGAAGATTTGAAGAGATTATGTTTACAAAAACCTGAGGACCGGTTCCCATATCAGGAGCTGGAACATCGGTATGAATCCCGATGAGATCATGGATCTTCTGCGTGAAAACTCGAGTCAAACGTTCGAGCTCCGAGATGCTTAGCTCGCTCGGGTCACAACCAATGCCTCCTTTGGCTCCACCGTAAGGTAGCTTAGCCACAGCTGTTTTCCATGTCATGAGTTGAGCCAAGGCGTTTACTTCATCCGGTTCCACCTGTGAATAACCGAACTCCGGTTTAGTTTAGTCATGCCAAATTAAATTTGCTTGGTTTAAATGAAACTTTTGTTAAAGCCAAACCTCTGGATGATATCTGATTCCACCTTTCATGGGACCTCTTGCGTTGTCGTGTTGGACTCTGAATCCAACGAATGATGCAAGAGTTCCATCGTCTTTCGGTATGGTACATTCCACCTGCAATAATTGGTTTATTCCGGTTAAATAATCTATAACCGGATGGTTCCGCAGATCAGTTGTTGTTATAGATGGGAGAAAATAGAGGAGAAAAGTTGAACCTTGATTTCTCTGAAGGGAATGAGAAGACTTTGCTCGAGCTTTGAGTCCAGACCAAGAAGCCTAGAAGCTAGCTTGAAGTTTCTGTTTGTTGCTGCTAAAGCATTCATGGTGTTCTTAATTTTGGGTTTATTTGATAAAGGACTTTTATAAGAAAGCTATTGGAAAATGTGATTCTTTCTTATGAAATTGCAAGTGTGTCTATATATATAAAGAGAGATACGTACACACTTAGTGTGTGTGTGTGTACGTATATTTACTTCATAAACTCGAAAAAATATTATATCAATGAGATTTTTTCTTCTTTTTGGAGAGAATCAAATAAATGAGAATTTGTATAAGGAAAATGAATAATTAAATAAGATGATACCCATAATTGATCCTGATTTTGAATGGTCAGAGTGGTATGTCTTTGTTTAGTCACAAAAAAATGTAACATGTTTAAGAAATTGCACATGTCTTTAATGTGTTTAAATTGGAATAGTGGTAGATATTCATCTAACCTAACGACTTAAAAACCAAATCCGAAGACTATTTAAGCAGAATGAAATATATATTCTTTTCATTCTACAAAGATCACAACAATTATAGGAAAAAACAAGATGAACGAGATATATAGCTCGTAAAAATTATAATTAGAAATAATAGTCACTATATTGATACGAAACTTACTGTAGAAACCAATAAAAAGTCATCTATATCTATAGTAGTTTCAACTCAAATTTAACCTTTCGTATTGCTTAGTATCTAATAATTAACTAAAATCTTTTGGTATACTTTCATAGCATATTCAAAGTTCTGTTATATGGTCTACTTCGTGTCGAAGCATTTGAGCATTTGAGCATGCACTATAGTGAGTTGAGTACTACTTCGTTCATAAAATTTATTGTCATATTGTAAGATATTAATATGGCGATAATAGATCATATGTTTTGCTACCAATATATTTTTTTTTCAATCATTCACATATTGGTGATATTCAATCCGCAATGAATCTTGCATGTCATGAGATCTTTACGTGTTGTTAGCTTATTCTTTCAATAGTCCCTACATTTTTATATATATAGCGTATACACTTTTGTGAGTGGTGACAAAAAAAACGTATACACTTAAGTGAGTTAGTAGCAAAAAAAAACGTATACACTTTATTACACACATATAATATTCAGTTTTTATTGTAAATATTCTTTGCATTTATATGCTCGAATCAGAATCTTTAGAGAATTAGAGGATGACACGAGAGGATGCAACAAATCAAGAAACATAAACAATTACAAGATTCCACCATCAAGGAATCTTTTGGAAAAGAGATTCCCCACGATTTATGCTGCCACTAAATGAATTGAATTTTCTGTGGATTTCCACCAAGATTTCTTTCTCTTTCACTTTCCAAAAGAAGATATCAATTTCGTAAAAACGTTGACCGTAACCTAATGTTTCTATATTTGATCCAACCTCTTTGGCCGAACCAATAAAAATATAATAACCCAAAATAAAGTTCGGTTTAGAGTGGCTAATGTCACGGGTTTAAACTTTTTTAATACCTCCGTAGTTCATAATGATAACTTAGCCGTTGAGAGGATAAAGAAAAACCAATATGGCCTTGAAGTGGGCTTTTAGCCAATTATTTTCTTAAATAATGGGCCCAATAAGCAAATCAATTCATAAGTGATAAACAAAATTCTTAATGCGCGGAATGGTAAGTACTAACAAGTGTTTAGGGACGAAAGACACATTATTACAAACCAATTTATTTCCCGATTCTTCTCTCCAACTGGCTTCCACTCCATTAATGTTGGTTCTCGTTGTCGCACTCACAATGACCCCAACAAATTCGAAAGCAAAAGGTAAACAAAGGAGCAATCTCAGCAAAATATCTCCCTTCCTTCGAGAAACAGAGCACACGGGGTCCAAGGTATAAATTTTTCTTAATGCCATCGTTTTGTTCTTCTTCTTCCTGTGATCTACTGTTTTTAATCTGTGATTCTTTTGGTGGCTTTGCGGGTAATGCCCGTAGATTTTAGAATCATGGGTTGTCATAAAGGAGCTGGATTTTTTTTTTGAGTTTGTTGTTCTGTCTTCTGGAGATTAGATCAGATTTGTGGAAGCTATTGTGGAATTTTAGTTTTTTGATGGCTATGATTCTAAAAATCCTAGATTTGAAAACGTATTGCTTTATGAAAGGACTTGAATTTAAATGCCACATGATCATTAGTAAGATTATATGATGCAGTGAAGTAATAATTTCAGATGATTTGGTCGTCAGTTTTTGTAATAGGAGGAACATAATCTCATCATCTCATTAACGAGGTTGTTTTGTTCTGTTCCATTTGACTTTGATAAGTTTCAAGGTAGATTGTAGGAGAATAAAAATCTCATCTTTTGGTTTACTGTGAAATCAGCGTTCAAGAAGACTGGTCATGGTAATGTTGTTGAACGTGTCTTTGCAGATTGGATGCTATTTCTGGTGATTTTAGTTTCTCTGAGTTTCGGTGATAGATCAGATCAAAAGGCAGTGTTTTGAGAATGTCGACAGTGGGAAACTCGACAAACATATTTTGGCAAGAATCGCCCATTGGGAAAACTGAAAGGCAGAAGCTGGTGAACCAGAAGGGCTGTGTGGTTTGGATCACAGGCCTCAGTGGCTCAGGTCAATCTTTTGAACAATCTTCAATCTTTCCCTAGGATGCTTTGTTAATGTGTAAAGTTCTTATGTTGCATAAGTCTCTGTCTCTATTTGAAACTCTTAGCATTAAACTTTGTGCAGGAAAAAGCACCTTGGCTTGCTCGCTTAGTAGAGAGTTGTACACCAGGGGAAAGCTATCATACATTCTTGATGGGGATAATCTTCGTCATGGTTTGAACAAAGATCTTGGTTTCAAGGCAGAGGATAGAGTGGAAAATATCCGCAGAGTCGGTAAGTACATAGTTTCCATGATATCTATTGAATTCGGTTGATGAAACTCTGAATTATTGATACAAAAACTAATACTTTAAAAGGGTGTTTCTCTTCTCATAGTATTAGCAACTGTGGCTTGCCTATTACCAAAAAGAAACGCATTTGATATTTACAGATTAAAGAAAACCAACCATTTGTTCAAAAACGCAGGAGAAGTAGCCAAACTCTTTGCAGATGCTGGTTTAATCTGCATTGCCAGCCTCATATCGCCGTACAGGAAAGACCGTGACGCCTGCAGAGAAATGATGCAGGATTCATCTTTTATCGAGGCAAGCATGTATTTGAAATCATGGCTTTTCAGTTCCTTTCCAACATTCGGTTGATGCTTTAAAAAAAACACTCTTGTTTCAACTCTTTTAAGGTTTACATGAACATGTCTCTACAACTGTGTGAAGCAAGAGACCCTAAAGGCTTATACAAGCTTGCGCGTGCGGGAAAGATCAAAGGTGAGATAACATAAGCTTCCATATAAACAGAGGAAGATAGCAAGTCATTTGAATCTTTAAAGAAGCTTTTTTTTTTCATTTTTTCATACCCTTTTGTGCAGGCTTCACAGGGATAGATGACCCGTATGAATCTCCCTTAAATTGTGAGGTATGATCCATGTGAATATATGAATCTTCTTCAAGAATATCGCAAACTAACTAGGTGTGTCTCTGAATATCTTTCTGTGCTTTTTGTTGTTGGGTATGTTTTGAAACAAGAACAGATACAGCTGAAGGAGAAAGAAGGAGAGTGTCCTTCCCCTGTAGCTATGGCTGAGGAAGTAATCACTTATCTAGAAGGAAAAGGCTTCCTTCAAAGCCAGTAACCTCCATTTACTTCTGATTTTTCAACTGTTGGCTGCATTTTTATATGTTTCTTCACTTTCCTGAAACATTGCAAATCGTAAGAAGTTTGAACTATTGAAGGACATGTTTTGCAACTTCCTTTGCAGCTTCCTTTTCCATGTTTTGAAAGCAACAAGTCCATTTTATCCAACTAATAAGTGCAGCATCCTTAGCAAAATGTGATAAAATACTAATCGGTTCTATTCGAAAGAAATCAACAAGTAGTAGTACAATCACCCCCAAGAAGGAAATACACACCTAAAAGAGAGAGAGATCGTAAAAAAATTATATAAACATTCTCTGAAACCGTTATAGAGTACGTGTGTCGAAACACTTTCACTCCCAAATTATAGTCAATAAAATCTCGATTTCAGAAAAATTAAAGTTTTAGAAATTATTTGCATAGTTGGCAAAAATAGAGGGGTTTATTTGTTATTTTCCTCTGATTTGAGATGCGCGAGTTTTGCAATAAAAAGAAGGAAACAGAGAACTCGATCCCAGGAAAAAAATTGAAGAGAGAAAAGGAGAGGAGATGGTGTTGAACAGTCGATTGGTGGAGACAACAGTGAATCTGTCGGCGGATCTATGGCAATACATAGCTTGTAATCCCGAGAGGCTCCCTCGCGACACCGTGCTCCGTTTCATCTTCTGCATACCTCTCCTCCAGCTCCGCCGCCTCGCTTTCTCTCTCAGGTCCTACCTCTGCTTCGATTCCGCCACCAGAATCGATCGCAACACTCGTTCCGATTAACTTCCCCGGCGCGGTTTCCACGAATCGTCAAGCTTGCTCCTTTGATTTTTATATATATATGTCTCTTCGTCTGTGACTCGTTTCATCATTTTCGTCTTTGGTTTTGTAATTGTAATTCTGTTTTCAGTTTAATAAGTTTGTCTGTTTGTAACCGAATGGGACATTAAAAAAAATTGAATACCAGAATAAACCGGAAATTTTCCAAAAAAAATACTGAAACCAAACCGGAATGTGAGGAACCCTCTCGTCAGAGGAGAGAAGAAAGCGGAGACGTGTGAACAAAAAAGTACATCGGAAGTTTCGTGGGGAAGAAGATGAAGTCGGTAGTGGCCCATTTCTCAACGCCTTTAATCACCGCTCGATTCTTCCCTACATGTCTCATTCATCGAGCTTCGATCTCCTCCGTCGCTTTTACCACCGTCCGCCGCCGAAATTCCTCTCTCACCATGGCCTCCGCAGCTCAGTCTTCTTCTCAGGTACACCTATGCGGCGAATTATATGGTTTAGTGGTTTCAATTAATCAACTTTTGCTCCGATTCTGGATTGTTCCGGGTGGGCTTTATTTGTATAGCCTTTGTAATCCTTGATTTTAGAATCTTACTGAGCTCAATAGTTGAAAACATGTAAATTCAGGCGGTGTCACCGGGGAGTGTGAGCAGTGATACAGATGTTTTCAAATTGATTCAAGCTCACGAGGTAACACTAAAGCGAACATTTTTAAACAAATCTTTTCCCTATGATTTGATAAATGTGAATTGAGTTTGTAAGCAAATTGATAAGCGGTCGCCTAATTTCCAGGAGAAGGCTGCTCGTCTTTCTCCTGTCGAGGAAATCCGAACTGTGCTTAACGGTAGTGTTCGCGGTATGCTTTCCACATTTTCTCAGGTGAGCAATTAGTATTTTTTTTTTCTTTTCCTTCAATGAAAATGGTTTCTCAGAGAGTAGTAATCTAGGATTCTGATTATGTTCTTGCACCGTTATTTTGGATGTGGTGCAGAAGTATGAGGGTTATCCTTCAGGGTCAATGGTTGATTTTGCATGTGATGCTGATGGTTCTCCGATTCTTGCTGTCAGCAGCTTGGCCTTCCATACAAAGGTTTGTTGCTTTGTTTAAGCATATCAGATCATTCCTCTCTGTTTCGCTGCGATTTGGATTAGTATACTATAACGACGCAAGAGAAAGAAACACCTTTTACTGAAGGAATATTTTTTCTGACTGCAGGATCTGTTAGCTAATCCCAAATGCTCACTACTGATTGCTAGGGACACAGAGGATAGGACGGGTTTGAGGATTACTCTACATGGTGATGCAGTGTTGGTATGTATTTCGCTTTGTTGCTTTATGGTTTTATGGCACTTTTACCATTTAAACACAATGCTTCAATGTTCTTTGTTTGTATTATGTAGGTCTCTGACAAAGATCAAGCGGCTGTTCGATCTGCCTATTTGGCCAAGCATCCCAAGGCTTTTTGGGTAAACATGCTTTTCTTGTGATGTCTGGAACTTTCCAAAGACAATGTATTATGACAACTGTAACTTTTTCTTCTTCTTTTAAAACTCTGAAGGTTGATTTCGGAGACTTCAGCTTCATGCGAATTGAACCAAAAGTTGTCAGATATGTTTCAGGGGTTGCAACCGCTTTTCTAGGATCTGGAGGTCTCTTTTCCGCTTCATCTTCTTAATATATACTGTCTTATGCAATCCAATTTATATGATCCTGCTAATTTTTTGCCTTCGCGCTGAAATGATCTCCCTTTCCAGAATTCAGCAAAGATAAGTACCAAGCAGCCAAAGTCGACCCTATAGCTCAATTTGCAAAGCCTGTAACGGTATAGCAAGCATGTCCCTGCACAATTTCTCATCAGCAGATAGCAGCAGTAGATGAAATACTAACAACTATACTTCATTTTTGCAGTCACACATGAATAAAGACCATGAAGAGGATACCAAAGCCATTGTACACCATGTAACATCTATCAATGTAAGTAACTCATCAATTTAGTCTTGCTCGACATTAAACCTTAGGTAATGGTCATTGAGTTCTATGAGACCTGTTGGAGTCTCGTACTGTTTGTCTTTGACGCAAGATCGTTCAATATTGACATTTTCATATACATCAGAACTAAACCTACTTAGTTGTCAGGTGGAGAGCGCCTTGATGCTTGATTTGGACAGCCTTGGTTTCAACGTTAAGGTGTTTTTTTTTTGTTGTTGTAATCGTCGAAACCCTTTTCTCACCTTTTTATCTTTCAGTTCATGAAACATATTTTCTTATCTTTGTTACAGGCGACTCTTCAAGGCAATACCTTCAAGATCCGAGTTCCATTCCCAAGACGCGCACAAGACAGAAAGTAAGACGCTCTATGTTACATGTCTGTCTGGAGTTAAAACGATGAATGCTCTTTACTATCAGACTGCTTAAGAAAAAAACTGACTAAATATTGAATGGTGGTGTTTCTAGGGATGTGAAGACACTTATAGTGGAAATGCTTCAAGCTGCTAAATCGGTCTCCAAATAGTACTTGCTAATTTAAAGATGGAAAAGCTCCATGTCTTCTACAAGAAATCTAAAAGTTTCCTCCTTTACACATTCCTCTCCTTACCTATCAGTTGCTAAAGAACACTCTTTATGTCATGTATATATATCTTAACAAGACTAGAACAATTTATAAATGTATGTGTATATTACCTTCGCCGTGCTTGTCCTCATAGGGGAAAAGAAACAAAGAAAAAGCCATACTATAGATTTTTTTTTTTTTTTTTCAGGTGAAAGCTACTGATTTATTGTCTGTGTTCCATTAAAACAAAGAAAAGGAAAATGTTTTGTCAGGAAATTATTGGTAACACTTACTCCGTGATTAATGTATATCACATGATTTGAAACAATAAGTTCAAATAGATTATGTTACAAGTTACACAAGCACATACATTTTCACAAAGAAATGATGCTTAATTGTGCTCAAAATGCGCAACCGAGTAATTTCATTACAAATACTTTAATAAGATTGCTTAGTATCCCACGAAAGTTAGCTTAAAGCCTTAAACCAATACGCTGTCTACTAAATGAATATTTAAGCTCCTCAATCTGAATCAGTCTCCACATTTCCCATGGCTTTTAATCCTCTTGCTCGCCTCTGCAACACAAACACAACAAACACACATATCATCATTTCCTGAGCTAAAGTTATATACTTGTTGGTTTCCAGAAACTAGGAGGTATGTGTGTATCCCTCCCTAGAAGCATTGTTATGTCCTTTGGCAGATCTCAATCAGTATTTATGTAAATCACTGGAAAAACAAATGTTAAAAAGTTAACAATACCTTCTTAGAGCTCTTCTTCACCCTAACATCATATCTATCTGGACACAGATCAGCCAACCACGTTCCAGGACTCACCAACTGTACATAAACCCAACAAAACATTTTCTCAAAACTGTAAATTAGACAGTCAAAGAATTTTCAAGACACTTTCATAAGAGAGAGACAGACTAAGAGTATTGGACTTTAAAACTCACAAGTAAGCTTCTTTGGATGAGTTTAGCTCTCTTCTTAGGCCTATGCGAAGGTTTGCAACCTTTCATAGCCATGAAGTCTTCTTCCTTCTCTTTGCTCGATAATGTTATCAACAGCTTTGGCCACATAGTCTCTTCTTCCTTCTTCTTGCTCTCTTCTCCATTGTTTCCATCTAAGCAAGCTTTCCCAGCGTTATCAGCTACACCTCTCGTAGTATAATACCTCTCCTCTTTCTCCGGCGACGATCTCCGGCGATCTGGTAGTCCAGATCTGAGAATCGTCCCTTCTGATCCTCTACAAATTCAGAAACACATACAAAAAAATTGAGTCTTGGCTTCGATTGCAAGAGTGTCATTTAGCACAATTTTACCAAAAAAACGTAGAATCAAATGTCTTTGTGATTGCTTTACCTGGAGAATCTTGAGGATTGAAGGAGGAAGGTCTCCTGACCTAGAAACCGAGATGAGTTTTTCCTTCGAAGCGAAGAATTGGATTCGCGTGAGGTCTGTTGGTCTTTGGCTCTTAGACGTCTCAATCTCTTCTTGTTTCCCCACTGTAAGAAAATCTCTTGTTCTAACGACGACATTTTGGAGCTTCTCCGATTGTCCAAACTGAAGAGTATACCCAAACAGAATAAAATTTAGTAGAGAAGTGAAAATCCAAAAGATGAATTGATTTAGACTGAAGAATTCAATGAATTTGATAAGAAAAGACCAAGATTCCATGAAAAAAGAGAGAAATTTCTCTCGAATAGTTGTAGCAAAATCCGAGAAAATGGCTTGAGCTCTGGAAATTGTTCCCAATATACCTACGCAGAGCGATGATTTTTCCGGCGAAGATAGCACTGAAAATTCTGATGCCTTCTACGAGCTAGACCACCGTAGTCGCTAATATCTCCGGCGAGTCTGACGACAACTTCGATGAAACGTCTCTCTCTCTCTTTCTCTCTTTCTCTCTCTACCTACTCTGTACTTGGAGGCAAATATAGTTTAGGCCTTTAGGGCATCTCTTGTATTTATCCCCATGGCCGTCAATAGACGATCGTTATGAACCGTTCGATTGGAAAATTGACGGTCCGATTTTAGACTAATGAGAAAATTGACGGTCTGGCCTTTTTTCTTTCAGCGTCAAATGGTAATGAATGACTTTTATAAGTTTTAACAAATTTCAGAAAATCTAATTACACTTTCTCCCACTATAAAAAAAAACAAATAAATAAAAAGAATATTCAATTTAAGTGGGAGTAGAATAAAAAAAACCTGAATTTTGATGTGTTTTTGTAAATTCTGCTAAAATTATACACTTCTTTTTTTTTATATATAAAAGGACATAAATTATAAATTTATGCAATTCTTACTAAATTTGTTTATCATATAAACTCCATGCAAACATTCGATATCACTAGCTAGCCTTGATATCTTTTAACAATAAAAAAAAACGAGCCCTTTCGTAAATTTTTGGAGACGAAAAAGTTGAATTCTAAAATTCATATGCCTAAAGTTGGTTAAATAATATGTCTTCCATTATATATAACGAAATAGAATATATCCAAGTAAAACATTTGTCGGTTGTAAGGATTTGGTAAAGGACCTCCTAATATGTTTTTAAAAAATGTATAACCGAATCTCTTATTTTGTTTTGTTTAGCAAACCACATAGCGGATATAATAGCGAATTTTCAAGACTGGATCCAAACTTTTCATCTAGTATTGAATTTACAATATGAGAAGAAAAACGAGCACATGATGTTCGAGTTCTTTAACAACAATTAAAATTACGTGACATTTTACAGTGATCTATTAGACGACTTGCACCCAAAAAAAAAAAATATCATTTACAAAACTTATTGACAATAATCATGCACGTTCGCCAGTAGATAAACTATTGAACTTATGAAGCTGGTGGGTGGGATAGACCCGATCTGACCCGTTGAGTCCAAACATAACTATGGACGGCTGAGACTCAAAGCCCGTCGTAGTAACCTCCAAAAGATATTTGAGCTCTTACAACAGGAACACCTTTCATACCAAAGATGGTCTCATTCAGCTTAGTTGCATGATTCACCACTTCTTTCATCCTCTGCATCCACCAATAATTACATAACTTATCAACAACTTTAAATTTGAAAACATACGGAGAAATAGAGATTAGTTACTTTGTATACTAGACTGCTTAGTTATGAGGGATTTATGTTTCAGAATGTTTATATAACTACAAAAAGTATAAAGAAAAGAAATGTTATTCAAGTGCTTTAGGATTTGAATATGACTTCTATATATGGATATTTGTTACATAAGTACGTGGTTACTATTTTGTAATAAACGAAGAAAACTTCTTCTGAAAAGTTTGACGCTGGCACAAGAAACAATCAGGATATTATAAAACGTGCAAAGATAAACAAGAATCATTCTCTTTAATTATTGAGATTGTTCACTTAAACACGTAAGCTTCACCTTCTCTTGGTCGGATTAAATTATTCAAAACTTATACCTATAATTTTAAAGTTTTGCTCACTAATTAAATATTCAAAACTTATTTCTATAATTTGCCAATTAGTAAAAAGTAAACAAATAGCAGCTATAACATCACACAAGTAATTTTCTACCATTGTTTTTCACTATGTTGGTTCATCTCAACTAATATTTTATCCAAATATACCACTCTTTTATCTTTCATATGATCATATCTAATAGTTGTTAACCATATACAAACCACCATTTTCCAAAACAACAGCATTTTTTATTGATCATTTAATTTAGTTTAAAAAAAGATTTTTGGGTTGAATGTTAAAAATACTGTTAGTAGAAACCTTTATCATTCGCAAGACAAAAACCAATTAACTATCATTAATATACCTAGTTAAGAACACTCACAATAATTAGTAAAGAACAAAAGAAATCAAATTACCTTATTATCATCGGAGTAAATCTGGAACCTAAGCGTCTGGTTCTTGTTCTTACAAATTTTGATATTGTTGTGCCCAAGGAATAAGACACATACGGTAGCAGCAGCAGCTGCAGCACCAAAAGAACAAATCGCTCCAATTCCATTGAGACCAGTCTTCCACAGGTTCAACCTCTCTCCACAGCGATCACCGGTCACATCATCATTTTCTTTCTTCTCTAGCAAGTCATCTCCTCCTTCGGAATCAGAGGGTTTCGCAGCATGGATCTGAGGCAGAGGACTCGTGATCCTCACGGGTGGGTCAGTTTTCATGTCGGCAAATTCGGTTTCCTCCATTTTCTTGAAGGATACACTTGGTGACGGAACAGAGTCCGTCAAAAGGGTCTGTTTAGGAACCGGATCAAGATCCGGGTCATTGGGTATGTTGTTGTTCTCGTGATCCAACACGGGTTCCCAAGCTATGGGAACCTGGAGAAGCTTTGTGGGGACCACTCTGGATCTTGGAGGAGACTCTGTTTCGTGGAGAGGATCTTGAGTAGATGGGCAGAGGAAATAGTCCATCATCATCGCTCCTTCATGATCCTCGTCGTGATCAAGATCAAGATCTTTGAAGCTGTTCTTGGGGAGTAACTCCCACTCCTCGAGATCCATCTCCTCTTGATCAGATCTTGTTGGAGCTTCGATAAGGGTTTTAGAAGTTATAGAAGAAAGAGATGATTTTTTTTCTTTCTGTTTTTTGAAATTAAAATGAGAAAGTGAGAGCTTTTGAATTATTGGAGCGAAGTGGGTTTTGGTATTCTCATGGAGTTTTAATATCTCTTCTTTCTCTTTCCTCCCCCTTGTGAAGTAGTTTCAAGATCCTTTAATAGAAGAGAAGATAGAAGATTCAAACTAAATATGAGAATGTTTGGATTAATAATAATTGAGAAATGCTTTCAACATCAAAGAGTTCAGATTTAAGACTGTTCCTTATTTTCCAAGAAACAAAAAGGGTTGCTTAGAAATACACACATAAAATGCTTTGAAAAAAAAAATTAGCTTGAAAACGTTTATGCAATAAGCTCTTAATTTTGGTAAAGGAAAATATCAATGTTTTTAGACATCGAGTGATATTATTTGAAGTTGACACATATATACAAGACACCTACATAATTTTAATTTTGACGTATTATTTTGGAGATGTGGGTGACGAAAGTGAATTAGAACTTATCTAAAACGCAATGAAGTGACAAAAGAAGAAGTGGTCCTTTAGGGACCCATTTCAAGAACTATTGATTGCCTTCTTTGACAGGGTCCTTAATTCTTCCTCCATGATCAAAGTCTTCTTCGCTATTTTTAGTATTTTAATAACCGAACCGCCAGATAAATTCAAAAATTATCCTTTTGGATCACTAGATTTTCGGTTAGAGCAATCATATATTATTACGACTAGTCAATAGTTTTCTATATTGCAATAAAAATAGTAAGTATATTAATAGAAATACTAGAACATGACTACAATCATTTTTTTCATTTCTCCAGCTAAGTTTGATATATGTAATTGTTACTTTTTCTTATAACAAGTTTGAAGTCGGACCGTCGGTTACATATTTATTCTTTATACTTAGCTAAAACGATAACTAGTTTTGGATAAGGTTTAGTATTATTGATGATATCATGTTTGTCGTAAGGGGATGATGACGAATCTTTTAGTACCAAATGTCACTTGTAATAAAAGAAGGGCGAATATTATTACATAGCTTATCATTTGTTTAATACTACAAGTAAAATGAAGCAGAAGTATTATTATTGCTCGCACATTTCGATTGCATATATTTCAGATTAATTATTACTGTTTGGGTTTATTAGCCATTCCTTTTTTGTTGTCCTTGAAGAAACCAAAATGATTATTCTTCATGCCTTTTAATTTGTGTTTTGAGGCTCTGCAAGTTATTCCATTTCTGCTTTGTTCTTTAGTTTTGTTCCCCTACTTTTGGACATTTTATGTTTGATTCCTACTATATAAAAGAACCAGAATAATTTTTTTGTGACTCAAATCAGAATTCAGAACCATAACCCAATATAAAAACAATTAATGATACCAATGATAAACCAAACCGTCTTGTCAACAGCTTCAATAATAGTTGTAATGGCGAAGGCTAGTGTAAACCATGAAACGTTCATAATGCTAGTGTGTGATATTTAATGTAATGCTACATGCACATGATGATAGTGTAACCATACCATGTAGCTGTTGTGGAGTCGACAGAACTCGAACAAACATTACAATACAGAATTGCGTAGCACAGATTCAGACAAATTTAGCTGACTCAATTAAATTATTCAGTAAAAGAAACAAGGTCAAAACAGACACCTCAGATTCATAAAACAAAAAGATATTCACAAACAGAAGCAAAGCTGTTTCCTGGAATTTACATGCTTCGATGCAGACAAATAAACTCAAAAGTCAATATCACATTCATGTAAGAGAGAACTCTCAGATTTCCAGAACACACTTAAAGCTTATCTCTTTCCAATGCTGACAAGGCATATTAGAAGGATCTTTCAAGGGTTTTGCTTTTCACCCTTTATAGGATCAGGACTGGTCTGATGAAGTTTGGCCTAGAGAGACAGATGCGAGCGATGAAGCCCAGGCTTGTGCGTTCTTTGCCCTTTCATGGAAGCTCCTTGTTTTGACGAGTCTTAGTTTCAACCACAGCCTCCTCACATCGACCATGTGAAGAGCACGGCTGAACAGTTGGCTTATCTCTCCAAATCTTTCCAGGTTCAGATTGGGAACATAAGAAGCCCATAACGCTTTCATGCGCGATTCTGCTATGGGGAAGACGAGGATCGCCACTTGTAAACAGATAAACATCAGAGATAGTACCAAGAATGGATCTCGTTTGAATACTTCACTAACAGATGTCCCATTGCGTAACCATGTGATCAGGTTACCATCCGCAGCGTATAAGCTGCCTGTTAATGGTTCCGCTTCAGCCACATACTGGACAGGTTGGAGACCTGGAAATCCGACAGAGTCATCATCAGTTATCATTGAATTTTTCAAACCGAAGTGTGCTACACAAAGATTCTAAGTGAAACAGAGATAAGGGAAGATAAGACAAGCAAATACGTGGTCTGGCGAATCACCTGTTGATTCCTCATAAAACTCAATCAGGGATGTAAGATCCTTTCGACCATGGTGTCGCACCTTTAGAGTTTGGTTTACCATCAGGATTGAAGGTAAGCTATGTATACCATACCTTGAAAAGACACTGCAGCGAAATCAATCAATTAATAAAACTCAGTTAGTAAGAAAAAGGGAAAGGCAGATAGGGTAATGATGAATTAGCTAAACTATATTTGTGATCAAAAACTATAAATCAAATGAATAACTGTTAATGAAAAGAAAGATAAAGTAAGAGCAAAAGAGTAGGCTTCTTACGATGGTAGTGCGTGAGAATGCTCCACAGCTAGGTGCTGTATTTGAGGGAACATCGAACTCAACATATCAAACTTGGGGCGGACAGCACGTGAGAACGGGCACCAGGAAGCATAAAAGAGTACTGACATGTAAGCATTTTCAGGGCTCAAAGCCATTAACCTGTCAAGTGAGTCTCCATCTACCTGCACAGCGCAAATTTAGACTGCTTTAGTTACAGATACAGCTTCAGATCCGACTCTGTGCTGCCATTTACAGTATGGTACTGCTGACAGGTACAGAGAGATATAAATATCCTAAAAATCTAAAAAAGGACAAAATTGAAACAACACAAGAAAGCAATGGAGCATTGAAAAACATTAGTGACGCTTTGGCTAATAATCCTATAGACCATGCGTTAAACAAGTTTCATCACTTGAAGCTATTGGTCCACTACTTCCCAATTCACCAAACAGGGAAGAGTTATTATCTGAGCATCTCTGCACCATAGTTATCAAAAGCCACCATTTTTTTTTCCTAATTTCGATTTCTACGCCATTGCAATCAAACTCATCAAAGCAAGCCTCAATCCAATTGCAACAAGAAAGCTGAAGCTGGAGTATTGAAAACAAACACTAGGAGCCGAAATTGAGACAACGTACCTCAATGGGAGGAGTCGGATACAGAGAGCGAGGGCACTTGGCCTCTATATCAAACCGGAACACTTTGAATTCGTGATTGCAGACGGAAAAGTCCACCCGGGATGAAGCCGACCCGGAAGGAAAGCATGACGCAGCTGCTATCGCACAGAGGAGGAGAATCGGAACCCGAAAATCCATGAAAATCGAGGTACTGCAAGAGCGAGATTAATCTAGGATCCTAATAAAATCTCAGGCGAAAAATCAAAAATTTAGGGGAAATCAAGGATGGATAGAGAGCAAAACTGGAGGATACAAAGCAAGCCAAAGGGAAAAATCAACCAAACCGAATGATTAAGATAGGCGAAGAAGAAAAGCTAATGTCTCAGGAAATCAGAACATCTAGGGTTGAATTGGGGGAAATCCCGGATCCGATAACACCACAAAATTTTCTTCCTACCCTTTTTATTAATTAATTTTTGCAGATCGAAAAAACGCAAAATTTCGACAAATGCTATTCGTCTCGTTGGGTGTGTTTCTTTCTTCTTCTCTCTTTCTCTCTCTCCCCAACACTTTTTTTTTAATGTCGGGTTTAAATACCACCCGATTTTTGACATTTCCAGACCTCCATTTAATTCTGCTTTGCTCAAATACACAAGTGGGAAAATTAAAAATTTCTCAAGATATTTTTACTTATTTAACATTATCTTCTACAAGCGAAAGAAGAAACGAGAAATGTAATTTTCCATTCATGTATAATTATTTTTAAATAGCTCTATAGAAGAATATACTGGTTCTTTGGTATTTTATAATTAATTTTCGTATTTCTTTTCTTTCAATATTCTAATTGTTGTTGACTTGTCGTTTTGCTGTAATAAAAAAGTAGGGTTTTAAACAAATTGGGCCTATGAAAAATATGGAAGGCCTTAATTTAGCTCAAAAATGGTCAATAGAAGTGTCGTCGGGAATCTTGGCCTCTTCACGTACAGCAGAGAGCAGTAGAATCAGTCGAAAGCTCCTTTCGCTCTCTCTTCCTGGCAGATTCCTTAGGGCACTGGAAACGTAAGAAGAGAAGCTGAAATCCAAGTAGAAAAAATGGAGAGGAGCGAAGAAGAAGATATCGGAAACGTTAAGTCTCATCAGTATCTCTCCGATTCGGAATTCGATGACCGCCATTCTCGTGAGCTCAAGGCTGGTCTGCATCCTCTTCGGGTTTGTCTTCATCCCCTGTTGATCCATCTTCAGTTTTCTCTATCTTGCTGAAATTTCGATCCGACATTTTCGTACATGATTTTTGTTAGTCTAAATTTATCATTGTTTGGAATAATTTTTCAAATCTTTTGAACAATTGGTAAAGCAAGCTTTCATAGTATTGCTCTCTCTGTTAATATATACACGCTGTAATTTAGTCATATGATTCAGTGCTTTGGCTGTACGCAAATGGCTCTAGTCTCTCTTATGGTTTAATTATGTTATCAGTACAAGTTTGCAATTTGGTACACACGTCGAACACTAGGAGTTCGGAGCCAGACATCTTACGAGGATAACATCAAGAAAATTGTGGAGTTCAGCACCGTGAGTTAACGATTGCATCTCATCCTTGTTGCTGTTTGAAAACTTCACCTTGTTCATTTCTGCCTCTTAAAACCTCTCGTGTTTGGTTTCTTTTAGGTTGAAGGGTTTTGGGCGTGTTACTGTCACCTTGTTCGTTCCGCTTCCTTGCCCAGTCCAACTGATCTCCATTATTTTAAGGACGGGATTCGACCATTGTGGGAGGTAGATCATATCTTCACATCAAGATGTTTACTTGTTGGGTGTTTAATACAGTAGATAGCAACCAAAACTTTCGAAATACTAAATCCAGAAATGTAACAGTAAGGTGATTCATCTTTTTCAGGATGCTGCTAACTGCAATGGTGGGAAATGGATCATACGTTTCTCGAAAGTTGTTTCTGCTCGCTTTTGGGAGGATCTGGTGAGTTTTCTTCAACCATATTATGTTAACAAACTTGTGAAAGATCCTCTTGTAAATTTTGTTACAAAAGCCATTCCATTCTCTTGATCATGTCATGTTCCCATTTTTGTGGTCTTGCTCTCAGCTTCTTGCCTTAATAGGCGACCAGCTCAACGATGCTGATAACATTTGTGGAGCAGTTCTTAGTATCCGCTTCAACGAGGATATTATTAGTGTCTGGAATCGCAATGCTTCTGATCATCAGGTGAGATACTATTTGCGTAAAGGAGAATACACACACACACACACACACACACTCTCTCTCTCCTTCTGTGCACTAACACAGTGCAATACTTCAACAGGCGGTGATGGCTCTTAGGGACTCGATCAAGCGGCATCTGAAGCTTCCTCATGCATATGTGATGGAGTACAAGCCACATGATGCTTCTCTTCGTGACAACTCTTCGTATAGAAGAAACACTTGGCTCAGAGGCTAGATCCAAGGCCTTCAAGTTCTCATCAAACTGTGCAAAGTGGACCACTTTGTTGCATGATACATGAGATAAAATATGATTTTGATGCTCCTGAGTCTGATATGCTGCCAGCCATCCATTGAACGATGACGATGATTGAAGTTGAAAGCAAAGATTGGCTAAAGGAATTGCTTCATCTTTGTCTGTGGAAGTAGGATCACCTCCAGGCTTTTACTAACATTTCCAGTTTACAAAGAAGTGCGTCATTTTGCTACCTGCAGATCTTTATTTTATTGTATGTTCTTTCATAGTCCTTTCTCCTGTGATTTTACCGTTGTCGTGATTGACTTGTCGCAAATTTGATGCCATTTATTGATTCTTGGTTTGAGATTTTTGCTGTTTATTACACATCGAAGACACTAAATAAAAGAATCTCAGAACATGAAGTCAATATGGGATAGAATCACAAAAGAAATAAGTTGTCACTTGTAATGATCTTTTAAAACTCCACCATCCAACATTTTGCCATCTCTTCTCGTCTCTAATGGAGAACCTGAAACTTTTCCTTTCCCTTTCCCCAATCTCCTTACCGGTCACAGTCGCACCATCCCATTCAGCAACTTTAGCCTGTGGGGGCAAAATTGGAAATAGTCAAAAAAAAGTTTATCCGTAAATGATTCGGGGCTTTGAACCCGACGTGAATCGAACACGCAACCTTCTGATCTGGAGTCAGACGCGCTACCATTGCGCCACGGATCCGGATGTAAGTGTCTCTCTATACTATATATATATTAGAAATTCTCTCTTTTCCTGAAGGACTTCTACTGCTACCCTTTTTGTCCTCTTTTCTTAATCTCTGTGGTTAACAATTTGAGTTCTCATCGCTAAATCTTTCTATAAGAACAAAGTTATGTGCGCACATGAAGTTTTTGACCAACAGAACAAAAGAGTACTTGTCATAAAGTTGTTCTCAACCGTATCCAGAAACAGAATCACATGAAAACGCTGAAATATGATGTGATGATGAAGAATATCATAACTTATCGATGGAGAGGGTCCCAATTATTAATGTGATCGACAAAGTCATATGCTTGACTTGATAAGAGAAAAAGGTAACTCCACATCTTCAGGAGCAGCATTTTGTCTTCATTAAAAACAGAGTAATTTAGAACAGCTTCCATCATTCCATGGTGTTCCTGTTAATTTCAGGCAATCATTCAGAGACTCTTAAGGTTAAGAAGAGAGATGTAAGAGATTCTTTGTTCCATCCTCGTTCTTAAGCCAAACTCTGCTGCAATGAATAAATTTTCTAGGACCATTTACATATTTGCAGTAGCTGATATTTAGATTGCTATGTGATCAAGTGATATCTTTGAAAAATTTGTTTCGTACTTGTTGAAATATTGATCAAGATTCTTCTTTCTGTAACTTGTAATAATTTGATCTCTGTTGTACAAAATGGCATTCACATCGACACTTTTTAATCCTCTGGAACAAACTCTTAAAAAAGAAAAGAGGAGTAAAAAAAAAAATTCTATTCACATACTATAACTCCTCCATCTCTAGTTTGAGTTAAAAAAGAAAGAAAGAAGTATATGTTAATGGTTTTTTGTTGGGTCATCTTCATCCTTGAAGCTGAGAAGTTATACTGATAAAAGTATCTACAGGGCAAGGGATCGTCAAGCCGCCCATAGGATGATCAAACCCAAACTCTTCTTCAGCTTTACTGAGAAGAACCTGAAAGGAAGGCTGGGTCAAGTATGAGACTGGCACAATATACCTCTGCTTCTTCTGGCTCTCACCGACGTACACCGCAAGAAACCCTTTTGGTGCTTTGCTTGTTCTTGCTAAGGAGCCACCAAGAATCTTCTTTGCACTCAAGAGACTTCTCATCAAAGCCATTTTCCTTGTTTGGAGAAGTTTGCTTCTTGAAGCTTATAATGAAAGAGATTTGAGTTCTCGATTGCTTGTAGTTGATGATGCTGAAGAATTCGTTTCTTCTGTGTATATATATAGATCTGTGAATGAGTTGAAACTTCAAACCTGTCTTGAAATCAATGGTGTCTACAAGTGTGGGACATATATGAACAAAGCTTTCCTCACATGGTTCTGTTCTCACATCTAAAGCAGAAGTATTACAATCTGTACCTACATAGGACCAAGAGAACAAGATCACATGTTACGGCCATAGAAGAAGTTTCTCTTTGTTGATTGATCTATCTAACTAACCCTGTCACAATCTGTCTGTTGAACCTTGATCAGAGAAAACACAACAAGAAAATAATCAATACATGGGACCAGATTTGCTAGGCCACGAAAACGTCCAATCTAACATGTGATCTGTTCTTGAATAAATTGTGATGGAAACTTCTTCTCCAAAAGCTTGAAAGCTGACCACATCTGTTTGTTCTGGAGATATTTGGCTATTAGATGCTGGTTTTTGACCACAGAGATCCATTCCTCATCTTAAATTCAAGAAACATGACAGAAATCATTGCAAAACAATGAAACATGATAGAACAGAACTGGCCCAGTGTCTCTTCATATATTGAATTAGTATTTTCCAAATTAGCATTTGACAGAAGATGGACAGAACCATGTGAAGCTCTCTGCCCCACGCTTTTCTAGATCTATTTATAAGGACTCAAAACAGAACAACATCACATCTTCATTATCATCAACAATAAGAAGTACAAGAACTTTAAGCTTCAAAAATCAAGACTTTCAGATTTAAAAATGGCTTTGATGAGAGGTCTCTTTGCCGCAAAGAAGATATTTGGAGGCTCCTTAACAGGAACGAGGAAATCAACTTCAACACCAAAAGGGTTTCTTGCAGTGTACGTGTGTGAGAGCCAGAAGAAGCAGAGGCACCTTGTGCCAGTCTCATACTTGAGCCAGCCTTCGTTTCAGGCTCTTCTCAGTAAATCGGAAGAAGAGTTTGGGTTTGATCATCCAATGGGCGGCTTGACGATCCCTTGCCCTGAAGATACTTTTATCAGTATAACTTCTCGGATCCAAGCATGATGATCATTCAACAAAAAATCATTAACATCTTTTAAAACCTTTAGATAGATGACAGTTTTTTATTTTTTCTTACGGAAAGATTTGTTCCAAAGCATAGAGATTCTGATGTAAATTCAAGTTTTGTGTATTGAATGAATGAATCAATATACATTGAGTTGTCTAATAACTTGACTTGTTCCAAAGCATAGAAATTCTTTGACTGTTGAACGAAAAATATTAAGAACATGATTAAGAAATGACACTATTGTTCCATTCTATAAAACAGTTCAAGTAGCTATAACCATCTCGGATAGCATACTTTTGTAATAAAATTCTCAACAAGTACAAAAATGAAGAAAATGTCAGTGAAATTCTCAACAACACACATATATATATATATATATATTGGTTTGATTTGTAGTGCTGAGTATCGTAACAACTTCAAATGCTGAAGCAAAACGTTTATTACCTGATGAACCTCCTCTGTTTGTGTTGTATCATGAAGGTTCACCGCAGGCTGAAGAACCACAATGTTTTTAATGCGAAAAAAGTGTCATGTATTTTGATTGATAATGATTCTATAGATAAAGGATTTTTTTTTCTTTCTTTTTGAATTCACAGTAAATACACAATTGGTCAATAATCACATCAGATGAACAAATCTCAGAAACTTTTTCCTGGAGTAAATGTTTGATGCTATCGTTTTATTACACAAAACTGGCATTCACATCGAAATTACTATCCTTTGGAACAAATCTCTTGATTAGAAAGATGAAAAATTGTCAATCTATTTACAATAAAAATGTCAAGTTATTTTCTAACGACGACCATCATTGATCATCCTTGGATCCGAGAAGTTACAGCGAGGATGATCGAATCCAAACTCTTCTTCGGCCTTAATGAGAAGAGCTTGAAACAAAGGCTGATTCAAGTAAGAAACTGGAACTAAGTATCTCTGCTTCTTCATCTGGTTCTCACCGACGTACACCGCAAGAAACCCTTTTGGTGCCTTGTTTGTTTTTGCTAAGGAGCCGCCAAGAATCCTCTTTGCACTGAATATACTTCTCACCAAAGCCATTATCTTTTCTGGAAGTTTGATTCTTGAAGCTTCTGAATATGTATGAGATCAAAGGAGGGAGTAAGGAGATTCAAGTTCTGGATTTTGCTTGTGGTTGATGACATTCTTTCTGATTCGGGGTTGTATATATAGATCAAATGAATGAGTTGAAACCTGTCTGAAATCAATTGAAAACCATGGAGGCTACAAGTGTGGGACACACAAGGACACAAAGATTCACATGGTTCTGTTCTATTTTAAAGCAGAGCTATTACAGTCGATACTCACATAGGACCAAGAGAACAAGATCACATGCATGTCAAGGCCATATATAGAAGAAGTTTCTCTACGTTGACTGATATATAATTAAATCTATTTAACTAACCCTGTCACAGTCTGTCTGCAGAACCAACACAATAAGCAAATGATCAATACATGGGACCGGATTAGCTAGGCCATAGAAACTTCTAATCTATATAGCATTTGCCATGTGCTCTGTTCTTGTATAAATTGTCTAACAACTTGAAACCTGACCCCATCTGACCATAGTTTTTCCTGGAGAGGTTTGATATTATAAACCGTAGAGATCCATTTCACATCTTAAATTCAAGAAACAGGACTGAAATCATTACAAGACAATGAAACATGATAGAACAGAACTGCCCTCTTTTATTTATTATTGTATTACTATCTTTCCAAATTAGCATTTGGTAGAAGATAGACAGAACCATGTGAAACTCTCTGTCCCACGCTTTTAGACCACAGATTTCAAAGATCCGGGAGAAGTTTCAAGTCCTTCATTCAATCTATATATACATCCACAAAACAGAGTAACGTCTTCATATTCATCAATAAAAAAACATTCAAGGAACTCATACGTTTCAAAAATCAAGACTTTCAGATTCGAATGGCTTTGGTTAGAAGTATTTTTGGTACAAAAAAGATGATTGGCCGCTCTATAGCAGCTGCAGCGGCAACAACGACGAGCAAAAGATCTGCGCCAAAAGGGTTTCTTGCGGTGTATGTAGGCGAGAGCCTGAAGAAACAGAGATACATTGTTCCAGTTTCTTACTTGAATCAGCCTTTGTTTCAAGCTCTTCTCAGTAAATCCGAACATGAGTTTGGTTTTGATCATCCAATGGGCGGCCTGAGGATTCCTTGCCCAGAAGATACTTTCCTCACAGTAACTTCAAGGATCCAAGGATGATCATCATCCTTCTAGGAGAAACATTAACATTTTTAAATCTACATTAGAGTTTTCTTTACTGTAAATAGATTAACAATTTTTCATCTTTTCTTGCTGAAAGATGTATGAATGCCAGTTTTGTGTAATGAACGATGGAATTAAACACAAAATCAAGAAATATTTCTCAGAGTTGGTGCAAGTGTATTACAGTACACTGGTGTAACATCCAAACGAACTTTCATTTTTCAACAGATTATCTTATAAAGGTTTAATTGGAGAAAAGGTAAACAGAATGATTGAGGAGTAAAGAAATAATTAAAGGAATTGAAGTTGCCACAACACCTCAATAAAGTAATATTTGAATCCTCACGAAGACAAGGACATAGGAACGTTTGAAGATACACTGATCATTTACCAACACTGTTCAAAATATATCAACATAGATTATACTACCTTATCCTTCTTGCTTCTTGAATTGCAGTGAATGTTTCTCTAAACTTCAGTTTCAGCGTATATCTCACAAACCGTATTATTAAGATTCATCAACACGAAGTGACCTCCACGAGTTGACGTAGCCCGCACTCTCCTATATGCCAATCGTTACGGTCGACCTTGAACTCAAAGACAAGCTCGCTGGAAGTCACATCTGCTTCGACTTGGAATGTGTACAGATGCTCTGTTAAAGGTGGAAATATAAAATGATCCGTTTTTTTACACGTAACTCTGAGAGCCTCATAGTCACCTATACTATCATCCTTGCCTACATTAACCAGCAAAATGCAAGCCTTAAATCTCATGGACGTAGGGAGAGGCTTGTCTTTCAACTTGATTGTCAAGGAACCTCCAGTAGTAGCTCGGTGAGTGAAGTATGCAGGCACTTCTCCACCTGGTAAGACCGCATACCCACTAGTCGGTGTCTGGATGATGAGGTCTCTTGCTTCTTGATTCAGCTTGAAGCACTTTGCAAAGTTGAAACAAATCTGTGGATTGTGAAAGGAGCAATCCAGTCTCTCCAGGGACTCACAATCATATGCATCAATGACAGAGACGGAATCTGGAATCTGTGGGAGAGATACCAACTTTCTGCATCCCCCAAGCACGAGTCTATCCAGACGAGAGATTCTCTTGATCCATGGACGAATCTCTTGTATTTCTGTATCGCTCAAGTAGATCTCTGTGATGCTGTCGAAAGCATGAGGGGATTCATTGAGGTCTTCAGTGTATGACATATGCAACCTATCAAGACGAGGCCATGACCTGATGGAGAGAGGCGCTCCTGTTATTGCAGTACCTTTGAGCTCGAGAACCCTAATGTTTGTGGAAATCTCAGGAAATCTTTTCAACGTCGAGCAAAGAGTGAGATCAAGTCCATCCAAAGATTCCAAGTTGATGTTGGTCGGAAGAACTTGTAGCTTAGAGCATCCTTCTAATCTCAAACACAGCAACTTCTGAAGGTTTCCAATAGAAACGGGAAGCTCCACCAGATTTGAGCAATGACTAAGGTCTAATTTTTCAAGATTAGTGGCATTTCCAATCCAGGAAGGGAATTCCACCACCCATGACATCCCGCGAAGATCCAATTTCTGTAGGTTAGTGGCAACCCCAATAGAGGAGGAAGGGAACTCCACCAAACTTGAGCATCCACCAAGATATAACTTCTCGAGACTAGTGGCATTCCCAATAGAGGAAGGGAGATTGATCAGACTTGAGCACTTACGAAGATTCAATTTCTCAAGATTAGTGGCAGTTGAGAGATCAGGAAGCTCCTTCAAGTTTACAGAAGAACTCAAATCCATCCACTTGAGATTTCGAAGCGACTGTACAAACAAATAACAAGAACACGTTTATACACTAAATGGTGAACACAAGAAAAAACCACTTAAGCACCATAATAACTAACACACGTCCATGCTATCAGTATTTGAAACTTTAAGTGAAATAAATCAAAATCACTTACTTTAATTCCTTCCCATAACTTTTCAAGCTTGCTGAAACTCAAGTTTACTTCGACCAGGAACTCCGAGTTTAAAGTAGAAGGCAGACATGCCAATGGGAACCCAATCCAGTGTAGTAATCGAAGCTTTCGAGATAGATAGTCTAGACTATGGGGCTCTCGAAGCAATATATTGCACTCCCCAGAGAGTCTTAAGAATTGGAGATTAGACATTCCTTCAAAGGCTCGCTCGCTTATATCTAATTTGTCCTTCACTCTATGGAGCCTGAAATCGATGCCTATGACACTTCTACTACCCTGAAAAAGAGGAAATAGAAATGGTTAGTTAGTTATCAAATAAACTCGATCTCAAGGGAGAAATGTCAAAACTTACTGCTGCATCATCAGTCAGTAGTTCACAAATCTCTCTTTTATCCACCAAAAACTGGCGCTGTCCAGGTTCACGAACAGCTTGTTTACGCACAATTTCTCTACCCAGTTGTACTAACAAATTATGAATCTCTATATACCCTTTGTCCATGGAAATGAGAGATTTCTCAGCTAATTCGTTAAGCCCTTGCCTCACATCCAAGAACCTATTTGCGAGGTGGTTCTCAACTTTCTTAATGTTTTCATAGCGGAAAAAGCAGGCCAAGTGAAGAAATAAATCTTTATCTTCTTCGTCTAACGCGTCATAGCTGAACTTTAAAATGCTCCCAATTTCTGTATTGATGGAAGTCCTCAACTTAGGTAACGCTTTTGTCCACTCCTGCTTGGACATTCTCCGGAAATAAGAGCCCAGGACCCTTAGTCCCAAAGGGAGTTCACCAGCAAGTCCTGTAACTTCTGAAGCAAGCTGCTCAAAACCATCTTTAGGAGACTTTTGACCAAAAGCGTTCATGCAAAAGATTTGCAGAGCCTCATCAGTTGCTGGAAACCCCACCTTGTAAATATGGTTGATCCCATGTGCTCTGAAAAGGTTTTGATCTTGTGCTGTAATGATAATTCGACTCCCAGGACCAAACCACCAGGTTTCTTTCGCCATGGCATCCAGTTGCATTGACTGGTCCACACCATCAAGAACGACAAGAACTTTCTTGTCTTTCAACCTATCTTGGGCGATTCCTAAATGAGGAATCTCGATATCCTTCTGGTTGGTTATTTGAGACATAAACTGCTGTTGTAACTGCAACTTGGCACTGTAGTCATCGGAACAAGGTCTCGTATACCTCTCTCTGATGTTCTCCATAAAGACACTCAGTTGAAAACCGCTGGAGAGTTGGTTGTAGGCAACTCTGGCGATGGTGGTCTTCCCGATTCCAGAAGGACCCCAAATCCCAATCATCCTCACTTCATCTGAGTCTAGGCATAGCAACGGTTCCATCTTTTCCAAATGAGCTCTCATCCCAATCAACCCGTCGAAATCACTTGATGATACGGAGTTATTCAGCTTGTTTGAAACATCCGTGACGATCTTCTTGATCATGGCCGCTTCATTATCCCTAACAATAGAGGGGAGATGAATAAAAACAAAACATGTAAAGATCACAAAGACAGTAGAAATAAACAAAGACTAACCAGTTGCTTGAATGGTAACCGGCTATTGTGGCCACTTTTGCCAAAGCTTGTCTCCATCTTATAACGACCTCCTTTGTCTTACCGGCACAAGTTTTCTTGAAGATCTCCCCAAAGTCTCCGGTGAGCTTCTTTACATCAGATGGATCCACTTTGTAGAAGACAGCCATCACCGTTTGACCAAACTCTTCCCTGCACTTCATAATCTCGGCCAATTCGTCAAGACACCAGCTCGAGGAAGCGTAGTTCCTAGAGAGCAAGATAATGGCGATCCTTGATCCTCTAATGGCACGGATGAGCTCGGGACCGATGGATTCTCCTCTCTTGATCTCGTTATCAAAGAACGGTGTGATTCCTTTTCTTTGAAACTCCATCTGAATATGGCTGAGAAAGTCTCTGCGGACATCCTCCCCTCGGAAGCTGGGAAAGACATGGTGCGTCCAGATGCGAGACGAAGAGGATGGAGGAACTGGTGAAGGAGACAGAGAAGAAGAAGAAGAAGATGGAGGTGATGAGGAAGAATGGTTCTTTTCTTTGTTAACTTGTCGATGGAATCTGAGTCTTCTGAAAAGGGTGAAGAAGCCTATCGCAGCAGCAGCAGCAGTGGTAAGGAGAAAAGAAGAATCCATTAATCAGCATGAAAGATTGAAAAACACAGAGCTTTAAGGAGAAGTTAGAAGCTTTGTATATACATTGAACACAAAAACGTTGACTCCATTGACTCAAGAGAAAATGTTGAAACTAGTAGCGAAAACGAGGATTAAAGCATCCTGCTTTTGAACAAACCTACTAATTCCTCATAGAATATTATAAGAACGGGTCCTACACTAGCAACTAGCAAGAGAGGAAACTTCGTTCGTTCGTGGATGTTTCCTTTGAAAATTATAAAATATATGAAGAAAAGAAAACATAAATAAATAACATGAAATCGGTTGTAGCAATCCGTTGTAAGAAGGAAGACACAAGCAATTTCAAGGAAAGCAGTGACCTTGAATTCACAGGATTAAAATTTAAAGAAGGAATGCAAAAGGAGTTAAATTAACTTACATGAACGTTCATCTCTCAAGCTTGAGAAGCTGAAATCTTAAAAATCAAGTCCCTCTTTCTCCGATTTGCGAATGAAAAAGCCATTGAATCATCTCCTGATTCTCCTCCATATCGATCGACTTGTCCGTAATCGAGCATCCAGCAACTTTAAGCAGTGAGGGCAAAAATGGAAAAAGCAAAATAGAGAAGAAAAAAATTCCAGAATTGATTCGGGGCTTTGAACCCGACGTGAATCGAACACGCAACCTTCTGATCTGGAGTCAGACGCGCTACCATTGCGCCACGGATCCGGATGTCTGTAATACGCTAATTTTAGTATTTCATCAGCTACACTTGTCTAAAACATAAGCACGTTTGTTTAACGTTCTTCTTTTTGAATTGTTGTGATTTGTGCTTTTGAATTGTTATTGATATGATCGCCTACTCACATCATTTTTTTCACAGTTTGATGAATCTACACTATTACGTGTGTATACTATAAACCCGGTTTGGCTATTTACGTGATCATCCCTCAAGTATATACTCACAAAATCTTTTGCATTTTGATAATGAACATATCAGGTAAACAAATTTTAGAAATTATTCTGGATTTTTTTTTTTTTGATTCCATCATTCATTACACAAAACTGGCATTTACATCGGAATATCTAAGCTACTGATCAAATCTCAGTTAAAAAAAAACTGTCATCTATCTATAGAAAAAAAAATGTGAAGTTATTTCTTTGGATGGTGATCAATTGTTCATCCTTGGATCCGAGAAGTTACAGTGAGGAAGGTATCTTCAGGACAAGGGATCGTCAAACCGCCCATCGGATGATCAAATCCGAACTCTTCCTCGGCCTTAATGAGAAGAGCTTGAAACAAAGGCTGATTCAAGTAAGAAACTGGCACTAAGTATCTCTGCTTCTTCTGGTTTTCGCCGACGTACACCGCAAGAAACCCTTTTGGTGCTGAAGTTGATTTCCTCGTTCCTGCTAAGGAGCCTCCAAAAATCTTCTTTGCAACAAAGAGACTTCTCACCAAAGCCATTTTTTACAAATCTGAAAGTCCTTATTTTTGAAGCTTAAACTTCTTAGATTGCTTATTGTTGATGATTATGAAGATGTGGTTCTGTTTTGGGTCCTTATAAATAGATCAATAAGAGAGTTGGAACTTCTCTGAGAGATTTGAAAACTGTGTGGTTTAAAAAAGTGTGGGGACTTATATGAAGAGAGAGTTTCACATGGTTTGGTCTGTTTTTCAACCAAATATTGATACATATTGGGCCAGTTTTCTTCTATAAATTTTTATTGGTTTGTATTGATTTTTTTGTTCTGTTAATTGAATTTTAGATGTGGAATGGATCTCTGAGATAAAAAAAACCAGTTTCTGAGGGCCAAAACCTCTTCACAACAAACTATGTTCAGATGGGGTCAGGTTCCAAGTTGTTGAACAAGTTTTAATCACAATTAGAGCACATGGCAAATGCTTTATAGATTAGAAATGTCTGTGGCCTAGCTAACCTGGTCCCATGTATTTGATCATCTTCCTATTGTGTCATTATCTGATCAAGATTCTACAGACAGACTATGACAGGATTAGTTAGATGGATTCAATCATATATCAATCAACACAGAGGAACTTCTTATATGGCCTTAACATGTGACATTGTTCTCTAGGTTCTATATGAGTACATATTGTAACAGTTCTGCTTTAAATGTGAGAACATAACCATGTGGAAAACTTTGCCCTTGTGTGTCCCACACTTGTAGACACCATTGTTTTCAATTGATTTCAGACAGGTTTCAACACATTCATTTGATCTATCTATATATATACAACCCCGAACCAGAAAGAATATCATCAACCACAAGCAATCCTGAACTTGAATATCCTTACTCCTTCCTTTGATCTCATACAGGAATTTCAAGAATTAAACTTCCATAATAGAAAATGGCTTTGGTGAGAAGTCTCTTTGGTGCTAAGAAGATTTTTTCCGGCTCTGTAATAGGAACGAGCAAGGCACCAAAAGGGTTTCTTGCGGTGTACGTCGGTGAGAACCAGAAGAAGAAGCAGAGATACTTTGTGCCAGTCTCATACTTGAACCAGCCTTTGTTTCAAGATCTCCTCACTACGGTCGAAGAAGAGTTCGGATTTGATCATCCCATGGGTGGCTTGACGATTCGTTGTCCTGAAGATACTTTTATCAGCATAACTACTCGGATCCAAGGATGATCAATGATGATCGTCAGTCGCAAAAGCTTAACATTTTTTTATATTGTAAATAGATTGACAAAATCTTTTCATTATTCTAACCTAAAGAGACCTCGATGTGAATGCTAATTTTGTGTAATAAACGATGGTATTATACAAACAATCCAAAATGAAAATTCTCAAATTTGTTCATCTGATGTGTTTATTGACAGTTATACTGTATATGTAATATGAATCCAAAACAAAATTTAGTTTTCAAAATTTTGACTGAGACCAACATAATTTTAAAATATTAGAATAATGTACGCAACAAATGTCAAATAAGTTTTCTTATTAGTGAAAACATATCTGAATTATTATTCGATTAAACAAGACAAAACAGAAAATTAGCATAAACAAACACAACGAATAACGAGTTGAATGGGAACACAGCTCACATGACAACCTTCCCTACAGTGAAAGTCTTGTGGTTGGGCAACCTGCGGTAAAACTTCATCGTGCAACATAACCTGAAGAGTTTCTTCTGCTAACAAACGTTTTGCCTCAACATTTTGAACTACTACGATACTCATCACTACAAAACCAAAACCAATATATTTTGTTATAAATAAAAATAGATTTATGTAAATGCTTTTTTGTTTCGTACATATGAAAGATGAGATTTACCGGACGTAAGAGCTAAGAAAACAATGAATGCAAATTTCATTGATACTTTCTCCATTTTTTTTATTTGCAGAGAATGTTATTGAACCATTGAAGGAAGATGTTTTAGCTAGTGTGGAACCGTTTTATAGAATGCAAATGCCATTTATGTCAACTTAATCAATTCTAAGAAGAAAATCATGAAATTATATATTACCAAATTCGATAAAGATATATGGACTAAAATCGATATTTTACCAAATTCAATATATAAGACCAAATCCAATCAATTCTACGATTTTACTTTTTTTTTTCTAGTAATCAAACAGATTTGTTCGAGAGGATAGAGATTTTGATGTGAGACCAATTTAGTCACTAAAGAGACCAATTTCTGTCCTGGTATGGACCGGTTAACCCAATCGTATTTAATCTTAAAGCAGTTGTTTGACCCCAAAAAAAAATCTTTTGAGTTTTGACTATCTTTTTCACATCAGACAATTTTTAAAATATATTTGAATAAACAAAAACCCAATCTTCAAATGTATGTCTGTACATATTATCTTTTTTCGGATATCCGTGTGAATTTTCTCCATAAAATTCTCAAATGTAATGGTCAATGCACACCGAAGATCAAACAAATATTATTATTAGAAATGAAAGTTTATTAAAACTGAAATTTATAAATTTTATTTGAATAAACGAGATGCAACTGAAATTAGCAGACACAAATACATTGAACAATAAATGGATTGGGAACACAATGTACATGACACCCTTCTTTGCAGCGACGATTTTGGGATTTCACAATCTGCGCAGAAGCTTCTTCATGGTGTAACACAGTTTGAGGAGTTTTTTCTGGTAATAACCGACTTGCCTCAGCTGTTTCAATGCTCATCACTACAAAACCAGATCAGTATATTCATCTTTGTTATAAATAAATAAAAATTTGCATGTACGTAAACTATCAAACATGCATTTTCGAATATAAAATATGAAATTTACCGGATGTGACTGCTAAAAAGAAAAGGAAGGCAAACTTCATTGAGATTTTCTCCATTATGTTTAAGATGTTTGAAGATTAAATGTGGAACCTTATAAAATATGAATAAATGATTTTAGTTTAGTTAAATCAAATTTATAGAAAGAAAACCATTCAACAAGTATAAAATTTCTTACTGAAATTCAGGTGTTGATTGGCAGGTGTAGTAGAACCAACAAAATTCTAGGGTTGATTGGCAGGTGTAGTTTTTTTTTCTTTGGGCTGTAAAAAACACAAAATTATAGGCTCTCACTCAATTTCTCTTCTACGAGAATTCACTTACTTATATACTCATATGAGGTTATGCTTGTGTAACTTACCTATTAAATTTCATCACAAAGACTAAACTGATTTTTTTTTTGTTTACCATAAATATACATAAGACCAAATCCTGAAACTGATCCTGGAAAATTTAATACACTTTGACTGAACATGGTGTGGTCGGGCAGAGACCTAAGACGTTTAGGGTTGACGATAATTCAGTTTGATTTGGAAAACCTAGATAGTCAGATTTCGCATCATTTCATTTAAATTTCTTCTCTTTATTTCCATCCATGTTAGACAAGACTTCCATGGCTGAATATTTTGTTTAGAATGAGTAGTCCAATGGGAAAAAATGGTAAGAACTTGAAAGCTTACGGTTTCTGTTCAATCCGTTTTGCATATTGTGAATTATATCTGTTGCTTGCGTCTGTAAAAGATTGAAGCGAAGGTAATACCTGCTGAATCCTCTAGAAACCTCAAGAACATGGTTTTCAACGAAATTAGGAGCTTAGGTCTTTTATAATTCGCCAGAAACGTGACTTAAGAGACATTGTTGTGTTAATAAGAGACACAAGCTTAGGGTTGTGTTATATTCACAAGTTTTTATCAAAAATAAAAACAAAAAAAAACTAGCACAAGCTTTGTCAAGAGTTGTTTTATTCTGATGGTTGTTGGCTTGATGAAGCTTTACACCTTTACGTCGCTCTTGCTCGCTCTCTCTTTTGAATCTCGACATAGTTAAAAGAGAATCTAAACAGTTTTGCTAGCTGATGTATCTATTTTTTTTTTTAAATGGTATCTTTTCTTAGTTAACGTTACTCTGCTTTATAATGAAGACAAAAGCTTTAATTGTGGAGATCTTAATTGTGCCCTTGATGATGTGAAGTGACTTTGTCTCTCATCAAATCAACCATATGACTTTGTCTTCAACAGTGACGTTTGGGACCCTCCATTGATACATTATGATTGTGTTCATCATCGTATCAACACCGCAAAGACAATTCTATATATATAAAAAAAACTTAAGCCACAAAGTATCCTTTAAATCAAAAAGAAAATCAAGAAAAAAGATTCCTTTGTAGCATTGTCATGTGATCCTGTTTCTGGATATGGTTGAGGACAAATTAACTAGTGACAGATACTTCTTGTTCTGCTGGTGAATAACTCCATGTACCCCACATAAGTTTGTTCTTGTAGAAAGACTTGGTAATGAGAAATCCGTTTCAGTCAGTGAGATTGAGAGAAGAGGACAAAAGACTGACTCACTGTGAAACATGGAGAAACAAGAGCATATGCCAATATCTTTCTTTATTTTTCCATGATTAGCATCTGAGAAAACATAACCATGTGAAACTCTATTCATGTATGTCCCCATGAAACACTTCGTAGATCTATATATACCAACACAAAACAGAATCACATCTTTATATCATCAACAACAACAACAAGTAATTCAAGAACTTGAGACTTCAAAGAAGAAAGAATTGGTTTAAAAAACAAAAATGGCTTTGGTAAGAAGTTTCTTGGCTGCAAAGAAGATTCTTGGTGGGTCTGTAGCTGGAACGAGGAAAGAAACCTCAGCACCAAAAGGGTTTCTTGCGGTGTACGTCGGTGAGAACCAGAAGAAGAAGCAGAGATACTTTGTGCCAGTCTCATACTTGAACCAGCCTTTGTTTCAAACTCTTCTCAGTAAAGCCGAGGAAGAGTTCGGATTTCATCATCCCATGGGTGGCTTGACGATACCTTGTCCTGAAGATACTTTTATCAGTATAACTACTCGGATCCAAGGATGATCATCATCTCAAGTTTAAACTTTTGAACATTTTTTTTTTTAACTGTGTAGATAATAGATGACATTTTTTCATCTTTCTTAATGAAAGATTTGTTCCGGATGACGAATGTAAATGCCAGTTTTGTGTTAATAAGGAACGATGAAAATCAGACAAAAGATCAAGAAAGATTTCTCAGATTTGTTTATCTGATTCTTTTATTAAAAGTTATCAATACTCTAAAATCCAAAAGATCTTTCATGTTTCTACAGAATCAGAGAATCATGATCATATATAATTTACCCAAACCAGGTTTATACGCAGAGCTTAACGTGATCGACACCGTGTGGATCCATCAAAGGAAGATCCGGTTTATTATTTTTTGGTTCTTGGATAATAATTTATCGGTTTTTACGAATTTCCCAGCCAAATTAATTGAACATAACCGAAGCCATGACTTCGAACCGACAAAATAATTTGGGCTTCGGTTGACGGTTAAAGAACGAGTGAAGCTTATCAAACCGATAACCGGGAACAGAAAAGCTCCTAATGGAATGAAACCGAGAATTGTAAACCGAAATCGAACCCGGTTAGTGATACTGTGGAGTCCGAGTAAGTTGAGTTCATAATATATGCAGAGTTTGTCTGTTAACAAAGCAGCCCTCGCAGCAAAAATATATTTTCCGTTCTTCAATTTTCTGGAAATCTGTCAGTGAGTTGTCTCCTAGTTCTCTCTCTCTCTCTCGCTTTCTCGATCTGACTCCAATTTAATTCAACTACTTCCTCTGCCTGCTTGCACGAGTTTTTGTTTGTTTCCCCCCTGGAAAGTTCGATTGAAAAAGATGCGAGAATTCTCCAGTTTTTGATTCATCTCTCTAATCAGATCCTAAGCGTGCTTCGTTTCTCGTGCAATTCGAGGCCATTGCAGCGATAATTGTCCTCGTTTGACCCTGGATCTCGCCTTGAATTCTCCCTCTTTGGGTAGAATAATATTTTACAAAAAGGAGAAGCTCGTTCTCGGGTTTTGTAATTCCAAATCCAAATTCCGCCACTGGATTTTGGATGCTTTGAATTTGGAGATTCAGCGTTTGTTTAGTTGGGGAAGGAGCTCGGATTTCGGGCTGGGAGAAGATGGTGTTCAAATCTAGAATAAAATGGATTGCGCTCCTTGTGATGATCTTATCAGTGGGATCTCTGGTTGTTCATCTCTCCATCACAAAGTCTACGGGTGTACAGTTGGCGTATAATGCAAGAGATACCCTTTGGCAAGACTTTGATTCTCTGTTAGGGGCACAGGTAAAATTGCGAATTCGAATTGGGTTATGGGGTTTCAATCATGAATGGGTAATTCGAAGAATGTCTGTCGTTTACCTTTTGAATTGGTTTTTGTTATTTGCGTTTCACTGTTGCAGGATTTTAGAAATAAGCACTTATGGCGGCCTGTCAAATCGTTGGAGACCTTGCAGCCCTATGCCAATCCAAGAAATAGTTATCATGGTACTATATCTAAATTTGTTTGCATGCACCTAATGCATTTAAAAGAGTTCTTCGATAACGCCATATAGGTTTTTAGCTGCTTTGAAGTGGAATGCTTTTTTTTTTTGCGTCAAACCATTGAAGGATTTATAAGAAAGCTATAGTGGATGTTATAAGTTGTGTTCAAGACTTGTTTGAACATGAAAAACCTCTTGGGGTCTTTTTTTTGAATTTTAATCTTTCTTGGTACTGTCTCTTTGCAGCGCCCAGTTCAAAAAACAATGGCTTCATTTATGCAAAGATATTTGGTGGATTTGACAACATAAGATCTTCTGTATGTATCAATTGACTCGATAGTCTAAAGTTCCTCTTTATTCTTTTTTTCTGTTATGCATGGTGATAACATCTTTGCAAATTTTCTAGATATGTGATCTTGTCACCATATCCAGGCTTCTAAATGCTACTCTCGTCATTCCAGAGCTTCAAGAAAGTCTTCGCTCAAAAGGCATTAGGTACGCTTTGCTCTTTCCATTAAGCTGTGTTCTTTTTATCTTTGCACGTTTCTCCATTGTTTTCTGTTAATGCACGTTTCTTTGCCTTGGTATGAGACTCTTCTTTACTCAAGTGTATTTTTTACATGCTGTGCAGCAACAAGTTCAAGAGTTTCTCCTATCTTTATGACGAAGAGCAGTTTATATCCTTTCTTAAAAATGATGTTATCATTGCGAAGGCACTCCCTGAGAGCTTGAAAGCCGCAAGAAAACGGAATGAGTTCCCTCTTTTTAAGCCCAAAAACTCTGCATCGCCGAAATTTTACCTCGAGGATGTATTGCCAAAGTTAAAGAAAGCTAATGTTATTGGATTGATCGTCTCTGATGGGGGATGCTTGCAGGTACTCAGTGCATTTTTCTCCCTTAGAGTGTTATATCTTGTCTGTATGCAGTAACTTCTAAATCTGTAGAGATCTCTGAGTAATCTTTCTGCTTGACAACTACCATCACCCGTCATATCACGTTCGAGTCATTTTCATAAGAACAAGTAAATATATTAGTTAAACAAGGTGTTTTGTCCTCAAGAAAGTTGTCTTGTTTTCAGTCAACTTTGCCAGCTTCAATGCCTGAACTTCAAAGACTGAGGTGTAGAGTTGCCTTCCATGCCCTACAGCTTCGTTCAGAAATCCAGGTGCTGGGCAAGAAGATGGTTGACAGGTACTTTGTGATTTCCTGCAATTTAAAATTTAATGGACGAAAACAGGCTTTGGATTATTAAAGGGGTCGAGGAGAACATTGCATGCTAAACTTTTGTTTCTTTAATGATGAAGTACCTAGCTGAAAACTATTATAGATTAGTGTCACGATTTTGTCATCAACCCCTAAAAACCGCCCGTCCCTGACAGAATTGAGGTATGTCTTTCACTTTTGCCAGGTTACGTAAATCAGGTCAACCCTTCCTAGCTTATCATCCTGGCTTAGTGAGGGACAAATTGGCATATCATGGTTGTGCTGAGCTTTTTCAGGTAAAAGTTATCAACTTTCTCCATCTATGTTCTTTGATAGAACAAAGTGTTTACATCAGATACGCTTTTTCTGCCTACCCTTTGTGCTCGAGGTACATGGGAAAGTAGTTCTAAACGGTGAAATCGGTTTCTGACTCTACTCATCCTTTCAATTCTTAAAGGACGTTCACAGTGAACTCATCCAGTATCGGCGGGCTCAGATGATCAAGCAGAGGTTTATTTCAGAAGAACGTACTGTAGACTCGCACTTGCGTAGGGACCATGGCTTATGTCCTCTCATGCCTGAAGAGGTAGAACCTGAAGAGTCTCTCAAGTTATACTAATAATGCTTATATGTGTCATCTTGATACCCTTTATGTCTGCCTTCATGGTGTCTCTTAAAAGCTGAATCTGCCTCGGAAACATGTGGCCCCCATATAGCACACTGTTTTCAAGCCTGAACATCCCGTATGCTGAAATGAATTGACCAATTTGATCGTTTCCTTACTGCTGTTCTGATGGAACTGCATTGACTTTTGTGATGCTAAGAGTTTATCGGTATTGAAATTTCGCAGGTCGGAATTCTTCTGAAAGCATTGGGTTATTCTCAAAAAGCGATTATCTACTTAGCTGGTTCCGAAATGTTTGGCGGCCAACGTGTTTTGATCCCTCTACGGGCCATGTTCCCTAATTTAGTGGACCGAACTTCTTTATGCAGCACGGAGGAATTATCGGAATTGGTTGGTCCTGAGACACCTCTTCCAGAAAATACATTTGAAATGCCTCCTCGAAAAAGCGATAAGCAGCTCAAAGAAGAGTGGAACAAGGCAGGTCCTCGGCCTAGACCTCTCCCTCCTCCTCCAGACAGACCTATCTACCAGCACGAAAAAGAAGGGTGGTATGGTTGGATTACAAATAATGATACAGAACCAACCCCTTCACCTATGGATCTTAGGAATCAAGCACACAGGTTGCTGTGGGATGCTCTTGATTATGTCGTATCTGTAGAAGCTGATGTATTTTTCCCTGGTTTCAACAACGATGGTAGTGGGTTGCCAGATTTTTCAAGTTTGGTAATGGGTCAGAGGCTCTATGAAAGACCCTCGTCAAGAACATATAGACTGGACAGGTAAGCAAGATAATTAGTCGACAGTTGATGACTGCATTTTGAAATTGAAATTGATCTAGAGCCTATTGGATTTATCCATAGTTTGGTTGAATGAAGATATTTGGTCTATCTATTTGGCTGATACACAGATCTTATATGTTACTACTTCATGGAGTATCTCTTTTGCAAATTCATTAACGGCTATTTTACTGGTTTTCTCAAACAGGAAAGTTATTCAAGAGCTTTTCAACATCACCCGTGAGGACATGTACCATCCCAACCGTAACTGGACACTTCGTGTGAGGAAACATCTTAACTCAAGTCTGGGTGAAAGTGGGCTTATCAGGCAGTCTATGCTGTCAAAACCCAGGGTGTTTCTTTCGCATCCACTTCCTGAATGCTCATGCAGAACATCGGCCCTTGAAGATTCCAGACAAATACGAAGTGATGATGGCAGATTTCTCTATGGAGGCGAGGATGAATGCCCTAAATGGATAAAATCAGCTGGTGTTGAAAAGAGTAAAACTGATGATAGTGATCAGACTGATTATGAACATGACCTTCTCGCTGAACAATCAGAAACTGAAGAAGAGTTTGCAAAAAGTAAGGTGGCATCAGCTTTTGACCAGGATGAAGAATGGGATCCTAATGACTAGCGTGACAACAATGCAAATTCTGCCGTGAGGTGTCATTTGATTTTTTTCCCAGATTCTTTCAGGAAAGGCGAAGAAGCAAACAAACGAAGGTTCTTATCTTGTTTTCTATAGTTTCCGGCTTTTTTTTTATCTCTTTCTGAGAATAAGCTTTTAGTGTTATTCTTTTGTTAGTAGTTCCTTGCAAATTAGTTGCATACTCTTTATACGTCAAAACCTTTTCAAAGATATTGGTAGTGCCTACAAACGCCCTTATGCAGCGATTGATGACTGACGCAGCAAAGGAAGACAGTTATGCTTCATCCTTCTCTAAGGTCTTTCCATGAAGCCGTGAGGTATCTTTTCTTTTTTCTCATCATTGTAAATCTGATAAAGGTTAAAATTCAGATTCTTTTGTCCTCTTTTCTCCAATAGTTTTTTTTTTTCTGGGTTTTGTTTTGACACATTACAGATATAAAAGATAAACGTAAATTTTTACAGAGTTTGAATATCCACTTGCTGTCTTATGATTCTATCCGCATTTATATATTCATTAGAGTGAGATGTTCACTGAAGTGGTATTAGACTTTAGCCGCTGTAGAATAGTTAATCATTGATCCAATCAAAAGAATACATCATTTTCATAGTGAGAATGGAAGGATATTGTTCGATACTTCGATGCGATGATACATGTATGTATATGCAATTTATACTGTTGTATACTGAAGCTCCAGAAGCAGGGCAGAGAGAAGAGAACCCCCTAAGCACCATGTTTCTGTGTCCATGGTTTGAGAACAGAGATAACGGTAATGATGATGATGAGAAGAAGGATGAAGATGGCAACGCACATCCATTTCCTTGAACTTTTCTGGCTCTTTATTGCCTTTGTTAGGTTGTTGTTCCCGGATTGAACATGATCCACAGCGCTCGAGACCTGTTTGAACAGAAACAGAGTAAGAAGGAGTTTGAAGAAATCTAAACTCTGGGCTTCATTAAAGGTGATGGAGAGTCTGTTACCATATTCTCTATGTTGTCTAGCATCTCTCCCTGTGCATCCACCAGCACGGCCATATCAAGAAAGACCTACACCAAAAACATAAAACGTTGAATCACTTTGAAAAAAATCTTAATAGTTTTTGGTAATTTCGGATCGAGGTCTACCTGTTGTAGGTCTAAAAGTTTCTTCTCTATATCTCTTACTGCGTCATGGCGTTCCTGTATCTCAGCCAGTGTATCCATTATCTGCACAGAGCCAGAAAATAACGTAACTTGAGATACACGCAACAGTTGTCTTCGTTATACAGGTCATCATGTTTATTGTCATTACGTAAGTACCAACCTGACCTCGCCCTTGCTCCATGATTGCTTTCTGGAAAATCTGCTCACTGTCTCCGGTTTCAATCAATCTATCGACCATCTACACACCAGAAAATGAAAACGATTCTCATGAACCCATGCTTAAACCGATCAAATAGATTCAAAATGAGGAAAAACAGAGTTTTATATGTCCTTGCCTCTTCATCAGCTCGTTGGCCAGTCACTACCATTGCCAAGAATCGAAACAACGCAAAATCATTTTTAAAAAAGTTAGCTATCAGGAGATCATTAGTGGAACAGTTGAATATTTTAGACAGATTCTCAATTCAAAACCTGTAAACACACGCCTCTCTACAACTTCTCTGTACTCTTGGTGAATGTTCTGTCTTAGAGTCTGCAGTAAACAACAAATTTAAAAGCTTAGGACAACTTTCTTAGAGAGTTTTTGCTTTCGAGAATTTGCAGTTCCACTTCTTAAAACTTACTTGGAATTCAGATATCTTGTCCTTGAACTTCTTTTTGATCGAGCTGTGTATTTTTTTTAAAAAAAATATTGCGTTAAGGATGAAAGAGAGGGAATCTTGAAGCGTAGTAATAAGATACAGGAAACAAAACTCACATAGTTGTGGCAGTTCTTGTTCTGTCTACTCCAGTTCCTTTCCCACAACCCGGTTGAGTCCGGTTCTCTAGATTCTGTAGTAATCAATCCGGGTCTCGTAAGATTATAGAAACAGATGCAGCAAATTAATAATGTATTCATCTCTGATCCTAACCTCTCGATCCAGTTCTTCGATCTTTCCTTTGATGAAACGAGAGATTCTTCCCACTTCATCAACGTCTCTCTCCATCCTCTGTTTGATCGCTGCAGAACAAAAACACACACAAAAAAAAGAAAAATTTCAATCTCGGATCAAGAACTTGTTTCTGCGTTTTATAATCAAACTCGTTTTGGATTACATTTCATTGCAGGAGCCTTAGTGACGGCTTTAGTCTCCTCGTGTGCCCCCTGAAGCTTCTTGAGATGCTTCTCAAGCTTCTCATATTGCTTTTCGATTTCTTGGACCTAAATAGATAATTATATGATCTCAATACACACATTTGACACTGATTGAGAAGAGCTAACGTATGGATAAAAAGCTCACCTTTTTGAAGAAACCAGAGAGCCCGAGATCGCCAGAGTTTCCTGGTCCATGTCCTGACTCGATATCGCTTCTGTTAGATCGATCTCTGGAGAACTCTAACGAACCCTGTCCAATCAAAAATAAACCCTATGAGCTTGAAAATTTGATTCTACATAGAAGCGTTTCTTTTTATTCTGATATGAATGAATTACACGGAAACGTTTCTTGAGTTACAACAAAATTCGTCATGAGCACGTAATGCCAAAAGCGAAATGGAGATAAGTTCGAAGGAGAAGAACAAACCTTTAAGAGGTCGTTCATTGTCGGGGAACTGGATTAGAGAAGAAAAAGATCTATAAAAGGGGAAAGAAACTTGTTAAACAATCAATCAAATTTCAGATCCCCTATGCTTAAATAAAATTCAAGAAATGGCTACGATTAGAATTTAGAAAGAACGCAAACCTGGTTTAATCATAAACCCAGATCTCTCTTGTTCTCTTTCTTTTTTTGTTTTTCCTATATTTTTATCCCAAAGATTAATAAAAAAGATAATCCAAAAGAGAAGAAGAGACAAGGAGCTTCGTTGCCCTAAAAAGTAGAGCACAATGATGAGATTGTTACAGACACGTACGGTTAGGGTGAACGGTTAAGATTTCATTTTGATTGTTTCTTTTTTTAACAACAAAAAAGTTGGTAACTGATCAAATCTTTCGTCAAACTCTTATTTTGAGACAGTAACTTCAATAAGAAGAATCAAACAAAACACACAAACAATGTCTGTATATCTGCTCACAGATTTCTTGCTATACAAGGTAACCTAAGATCACACGTTTATACGGCACATAACATATATGGCTTCACCAATAACCCAATGTATGTAAAAAAAGAAGTCAAAGACTAATTCGGTCAAAGGAATTTCAATACTGTATTAGAAATTCGAATCTGTAGTACTTCAGGGGGCAATTCAAGGCTGCTCCAATGGGTGTTTTGTTATAGATTATATGAACCTTATATGTTATGGCCTCTTATAATAAATCCTAAGACCTTTTCATCTATATCACCTCATCGAATGTGATTTCAGTCAGGTGATGCATAAAGTTTGTTCTTTCACAGAAGTTTAATGGATGAGGTTAGACTCGTTGTATTTGTACCTCAAGGATTTGATGATTTAACCTACCTCATAATTAAAACTTTAGTCACTTCTACACTGGGATTCATGTATTCATCAAAATCGGTATGCAGGGGAGAAAATTGGAGAAGCTCTGGGATGGAACCAAAGTCTTGGTTTTCCTGCGTATACCTCTCTATGTTTTCTCCATGTTTTGGCTCCTCAAGTTTGGATTTTTGTCCATCATCAGTATGTTATGTTCTCTTCTGCATTTGCTAACATTCGTTTTGGAATCTGAAGAAGAGTGCGCAATCTGAAATATTGCAAAAGTTAGGATACATCTCACCAAAATATGCAAGTTACAGCATCTCAGTGAGCTACGTTTTAAAGGCTACGACCAGAATTTTTCCTCATATAAACCAATTCACAGTGTTTTTGGGATTGGGGTCATAAGTTGCATGTACGTTTGACTTAATGCAGTTTCTTTCGGATGCTTCCTAATTCCACAAGACAATAGTGTATTCTGTTTTTGGCTCTTTATAATATCCTTCTACTTGAAAGTGTTCAAAGGTAATACATTTTTTTGTGAAACCAGTTGAAAAATTTCATGACAATTTTCTTCTTTTACGTTTCTGAATTGGTTGGGGCATTTCAAGTCAAACTATACATATGTTCCTAATTATTCTTTTGTTTTTGAGTACGATGTAAAAAATATATACACGATGTTTGGGTCAGATCCGATTTTTTGACAGCATCTTTCCTTTCCAATATATAACCTTGATGAAAAAAGCCTAATAAAATTTTGTTCTGAGATAAATCTTTTCGGTTAAAAACTTAAGAGTCAACTGACAAATAATTTACATCGGGGATTAAGTGTATCTTGTATTGCAAACAATATGTATTTGTTAAATTAATGTTAAATTATTGCATTGAAAATCTGTATTCGAATATAGAGAAAGCAAAAAATTGCAATCAAAAATTAAACTTCAGAAAAAACAGCCAGATAAAATATCATAAAATAAATACAATTACAAAATCCTAAAAGAATAATGACTAGTTGTCGGGAAAGCTTTAACCTGCAACAATACAAAAAAACAACATGTTTCATGTTAGAATTAGATTCGAATTTCATTAAGTGTTACTATTTTTTTTTTCTCTAACAAAAAAATCGATTGATCTGCATTAGTTGTAAAAATAAATTAAACATAAATAATCTCTAACGAATTCAAATGGCTGGATATCATGTCCGGTTAGTTTCACAACTAATGTAAATCTAATCGATTTTAAACTAATTCAAATTTTAATATAAATAAATAAATAAAGAGAATAGAAAACATATCTTTTTTTCTCTGAGTTTTTTTCTCTCGGCATTTCTGCTTACTGCTTACTGGTTTTATTTCATAGAGAAAGTTTAAACATGCAACAATACAAAAAACAACACCATATTTTGTGTTAGGATTAGATTCAAGTTTTAGTATTACTATTATTCTTATTATCATTTTGTTTCCTAATAAAAAACGATTGATTTACATTAGTTGTGAAAACAAATTGAACATAAATAATTTCTAACGACCAAATGAATTCAAATGGCTGGATACCATGTTCGGTTAGTTTCATAACTAATGTAAATCTAATCGATTTTAAACTAATCCAAATTTAAATTCGAATAAATACAAAAAAAAGAGAATTGAAAACATATCTTTTTTTAGTTTTCTTTTCACGGCATCTCTGTTTCCGATTTTATTTTGTAAAAAAGTTTAAACCTGCAACAATACAAAAAAAGAACACCGAATTCTATGTTATTAGATTCAACTTTCATTTAGTATTACTATTATTATTATTATTATCATTTTGCTTCCTAATAAAAAATCGATTAATCTACATTAGTTGTGAAAACAAATTAAACATAAGCAATCTCTAACGACCAAATTAACTCAAATGGTTGAATACCATGTCTGGTTAGTTTCACAACTAATATAAATTGAGTCGATTTTAAACTAATATAAATAATAAACCAATAAAAAAAAAGGAAGAAGAAAATATATCTTTTTGTGAGTTTGAAAATGGAAATGATTGTTCTCCTATGTATCTCCACCAACTATGTTGTCTTTCTGACTCACCGTACTGTGGAAAGTAGAGTAAATTACAGAGTGTGAAGAATTATCAGATCAGATTTAAACAAGATATGGGTTTTTTTTGCTTTTAGTAATGTAAAGAAGGTTTTGTTGTTTACCGAGTGCTTAGAGAAAGGCACATCATCAAAGTTTCGGTGTAGTAGTTGTCGGATGAAAGCCTCAACCGCACCTGAGAACCTAGTAGCTGTCGGATTAGATTCAAATTTCAGTTAGTATTACTATTATCATTTTGTTTCCTAATAAAAAAACAATTGATCTATATTAGTTGTGAAAACAAATTGAACATAAGTAATTTCTAACAACTAAATGAGTTCAAATGTCTGGGTATTATGTCCAGTTAGTTTCACAACTAATATTATTCTAATCGATTTTAAACTAATCCAAATTTTAATTTGAATAAATACATAAAAATAATAGAAAATGTATCTTTATTTTAATTTTTCTTTTCTCGGCATCTCTGCTTCCGGTTTTATTTTGTAGAAAAAGTTTAAACATGCAACAATACAAAAACAACACCATATTCCATCTTATTATATTCAAGTTTCATTTAATATTACTATTATTATTATTATCATTTTGTTTCCTAATAAAAAATCGATTAATTTACATTAGTTGAAAACAAATTAAACATAAGTAATATCTAACGACCAAATATATTCAAATGGTTGAATACCATGTCTGGTTAGTTTTACAACTAATATAAATTAAATCGATTTTAGATTAGTCTAAATAATAAACAAATAAAAAAAAAGGAAGAAGAAAACAAATTAAATCGATTTAGATTAGTTTAAAATTAATTTAATTTACATTATTTGTAAAAACAAATTAAACATAGATAAATAATAAACCAAATGAAAAAAGGAAGAAGAAAACAAATTAAATCGATTTAGAATTAATTTAAAATCGATTTAATTTACATTATTTGTGAAAACAAATTAAACATAGGTAATCTCTAACGACCAAATGAATTCAAATGGCTGGATACCAGGTCTGGTTAGTTTCACAACTAATGTAAATTAAATCGATTTTAAATTAGTCTAAACAATAAACCAAATGAAAAAAGGATGAAGAAAACAAATTAAATCGATTTAGATTAATTTAAAATCGATTTAATTTATATTATTTGTGAAAACAAATTAAACATAGATAATCTCTAACGACCAAATGAATTCAAATGACTGGATACTATGTCTGGTTAGTTTCACAACTAATATAAATTAAATCGATTTTAAATTAGTCTAAATAATAAACCAAATGAAAAAAAAGGAAGAAGAAAACAAATTAAATTGATTTAGATTAGTTTAAAATCGATTTAATTTATATTAGTTGTGAAAACAAATTAAACATAAGTAATCTCTAACGACCAAATGAATTCAAATGGCTGGATACCATGTCTGGTTAGTTTCACAACTAATGTAAATTAAATCGATTTTAAACTAATGTAAATTATAAACCAAATGAAAAAAAAAAAAGGAAGAAGAAAACATATCCCCTTTTTTGTGAGTTTGAAAATGGAAATTATTGTTCTCCTAGGTATCTCGACGAACTCTTTTGTCTTTGTGACTCACCGTGCTGTGGAAAGGCAAAATTACAGAGTATGAGGAATTGCATCAGATCCGATTTAAACAAGATATGAGTTTTTTGCTTTTAATAATGTAAACAAGGTTTTTTGTTTACCGAGTGCTTCGAGAAAGGCCCATCATTGGAGTTTCTTGATGCCCAAGCCTTCAAGCGGAGTTGTCCAATGAAAACCTCAACCGCACTTGAGAACCTATTGCTTATTTCCTTTCCTCCGCAATAAATAAACCAGTAAGTGCGTGGGAAATAGACTTGAGATTTTTTTTTTACCGAGAATGAAAAATGAAAAAAAAAACAGAGAATGAAATTTACCGGGTTCATTTCGACAGAAGTCCTGCTATCAAACCCGGATTCGCAGCAGTATGATTCTGGAAAACATGAAAGATTTTTTATCACTTTTACGCTTGAATACGTAGAGAAACTTTAGAGAAAGGCGAATAGATTATTATTACCCGACCGGAACTTGAACCAATTTGCGGATACTTGAGGACTGTCCTCTCAAATACATAATCAAACTGATAACCTGCCATTGATAGTGAAATTTGAGAGAATCAAGAAATTTGGAGTGACGAAAGATGATTTGCTAGAATATTGAAATGTGCGATAAAAAACCTTCTCGAATAAACAAGTCGCGGAATAGCCTCTTCAGGTAAGAGTGATCAGGTTTGTCATGAAACCGTAGAGACAGGCAGTAACGAAAGTAGAAAACAAACTAAGACGGTTCATTTCTACACAGGACCTGTTCTTCACACATCATTTATGATATAAGTCATCAAAGCTAGACAACGAATCAAAAGCTTAGTAATGTCAGATTTTCCTAAATGAGCACATAATTATGCTTTCCAGGATATGAAATGAGAACAAGTTCATGTTCAAGAGCAGTTCTCAGAGATGGCACCTGCTTAAAAAGTTGTCGGGCTTGATCTCGCGGTGAATGAAACCTCTAGTATGCATATACTCAACTCTGTTAGTCTGAAACCAAGAAAAGATAAGTGTAAACATTATGGATGAAGACATGTAATTCAAACTGTGAAGAGCCTGCATGATATGACTCACTCGTTGGTCTGCAAGCATGAGAAGGGTTCTCAAAGAAAGTTTTCTGCTACAGTAGTTGAACAAGTCTTCAAGACTTGGAACCCTTACGTTGTACTCTCCTTCAACTCCGTACCACTTGATATTATCGTTTCTTGTCGTAAAGATGATGATTTCAGTCTCATCTCCAACAAGACATTCTGCAATCCGCGCATCTCCCTACTAACAAGACTATGCTGGAGTATAAATAAATCAATTCTAGATACAAAGTCTAATCAGCAAAAAGAACAGAACTTTAAAGCTGCAAGACCACAAGCAATATGACAACTCTTACCATTCATTTCATTTATGGCAGTTTGAGCATCCTGCAAATTACATTTACCATTTAAAAATCAATATAAAATCAAGAATGGGGCTAAAACAAACAGACACCAATGATTTGAAGAATATGAAACCTGCTGATTGCGGAAGGAGACAAACCCAAAGCCTCTTGAGCGTCCAGTTTTCTGGTCCCACATTACTCTTGCATCCCTACAAAAACAGATATCAGATCAAAGATTCAGTTGGAATGTCCAAACAAATAAGCTCAATCGATAAGTAAACGTTTGTATGTGTAAGGAAGTTTTTTTTTAAACCAGCTAGTCACTAAAAGCAATTGATTAAGCACAAGAACTTACGAGCAACTGTTGAAGCCAGAAAAGCTATCAAACAATGCTGCATCAGTAACCTCTGGACTGAGATCATAGAAACGAAAACATTCAGCATCAAGCCTCTCTTAGAGGACAAGCAAACAAAAGGCAATTCTTTCAGAACTTACTTGATGTATCTTCCCTTTGACCAGTGGCATACGCTCAATTAACTTTGATAGGCTGTCCAAAGCTGTGAAATCAAGTATTATAATCTACAGAATGTATGAATAGATTCAAATCAAGAAGAACACGAACTATGAATGTCAGATGCTTACAGATGCCTTCCGTTAAGGGACATTATAGCCAGACCAGCAGATCTCCGATCAAAGTAGTGGACAAATCCATAAGATGACTGTAAAGTGTGAAACATGTAACATTAAGATGCTAACTCGAACAAGTAAAAATGGAGATTTGCTTCCGAAATAAACCAATAAGAAGGGGGTTTTAACGAAACTCCACCTTATCCTTCCTGATGAGCTTACAGCTTTCAACAGGGCCGGTACTTGAAAAAATCTCTTGAAGAAGAGCCTCAGTGACCTGCGTATGGATGTTGCCAGCATGCCTGCATAACCCAGAACGATTTTAGGAGCTGAAGCATCAAACTCAGCACTTACAAATCTCCTTGAACCTAAAATATGTTTGATTCCAATAAACCAAAATGCGGAAAAACAAAAACAAAAACCATTCAATCTAAACACTCACACACTACGGCAAGTACTGGGATCAAAACCAGGAGGAAGGTTTCCACTTGGTAAGGGCTCCATCTGCAAAAGCATAAACTAACATTTTAGAACAAGTACCAAAAGACCACTCCTTTTATCAGCCAAAATCTACATTACAAGCGTAAGCGAAAAACCCAACAAACTGAAGCAGACAATACACAAAGAAATCAGGGGAAATCAGCAGATAAACTGAAATAACTACCAGAGAAAAATACGAAACTCTCTGCATCTTCATGCTGACAACTTTCACGTTCAGCGAGTGACCGTTGGTTCCTGGTCTCAGCTCACTCACCTTGGTAAACACAGGCTTCCTCAAAGCAAGCGTTGCCTCAGCCATATTTTTTAGAAGATTCCTACAAATTAGCCATAAACAAGAAGAGTTTCGCTCAGATCAGCAATACGAACAGTTCAATTCACAAGTAACAGCAGCAATTACAAATCTGATAATCAGACCATCAAAACAGTCTGATTTCACACTCGCAGGAAACGTTTAATCCCAAATAATTGAACAAGACGAGATACAGTGATAAAGATGAATCATATAGTACATGAGATGACCCAGAAACACGAGATATAACAATTACATCCTGGAAATATGATTTATCTCTATAACTATAACGATTTGACAAAAATCGCCCCACGCGAAGAACTGAGATTCCTCTTACCAAACAAAACGCTTGAGTCGTCGTATCCATGTGAGAAAGTCTTCGACTTCTTTCTCGCCACCACAACAAACCTCCGTTTTAGGGTTCCGACTCTGATTCTTCAGCGCCAATTTCTTCCTTTTCCTCCTCCGATTCACTTCGTTTTTTTCGAACAACTCCTTTTGCGATGCCACACAAACGCACGTCTTCTTCCTCTTCGTAAACCCTCTATCCTTCTTCCCCTTCCTCGATTTCATTCTCGCCATTACAACAAACCTCCGATTCGGCGCTGGATTTAGGGCTCCGACTCTGGTTCTTCTGCGCTAATTTCTTCCAATTACCATATTTCAAAAGCGGATTTCTTGAGCGGAGACTTGGCCAGTGTAATTTTAGGATTTTCATTCTCCGATGATCTGAATGAATCAATCCATAGAATACAAGGCGATCGCTATTGTTCGGAGAAAAATCTACAACGGCTATATTTTTGTTTTCTCTCTCTTTTACTTCTTTAAAAAGTCAATGTTCTGGTTTTATATTTGCAAACTGATTAAAAAAAAAAAAAAATTCTGATTTTAAGTTGACATCTCTTTACATTTACAACTTTACATTTACAAACGGAAGCCGTGGATCAATGTCCTTATATATAAGATCAACGTCCCAAAAATTACTAAACTTTATATAAGTTGAATCCATCAAAATACATCACAAACTAATATAATAATAATTTATTTTATTTTTGTAAATATATAGTTTTATCTTAAATTAATAATTCAGTTTATGATGAAAATATGGAATAGATGATCTAAGGATTTTTATTATTATTTCGAGAGAAATACATCTAAAATGGCTTGTGAAGACTAATAAAGAGCTTCAGGTACACCAGTGATGTGAATGAACGTGAACATCACTTTTACATCTACCAAGTTGAAATGGAAAAGAAAAAAAAATGTGGAGACATCATCTGTACAAGTACAACTACAACACTTATGAGAATGAGACCTGTTGAAGTAATGTCTCTCATTCAGTCACCATCACTCATCATGGCTGCTTCCTGACTACCTTCACACTGCTGTAGAAGCGGCGCAAATCCTTCATGGCTTTTTCTTCCACCTGAATAGAGCGGATTGATGATGGAGCATCGATCTCTGGCTTGTACCACCGGTTTGTTCCAGGCGAATCTGATGGAGATCCTTGCCCGGTTGTAACTGTGAAGCCTGATGTCTTTGTCTTTGGACTGTGGGACAAAGACTGTTGCTTCTTCACCTACATTGGTTCACCCCCCAAGAAAATGAGCTTCGACTAGAGGAAACAGAACAATTTTGCCCAAACAGAGGAACCAACGTACCTGCTGCATCTGGATATCTCTGAGAGAAGGTCGAGAAACGTGAGGAGGAGTTTCGGAGGAAGCCCAAGGAGGAGTTCCTCTTTCCATATCAGCTTGCTGAAAGCTTCTGGCTGATTCTACAGGAATAGGCTTCGAAGTCAAGAAAGAACTCAGTAGTATCTTTCCTTCGGTATTACCAGAAGACTCATCCCCTAACTGATGTTTAGTTGTCGTCCTAACAGGTTCATGAGGCTGGGTCTTGCTTTGTTCATCTTGAATATCTCGAAGAGAAGAAAACCCTTTTGAAATCTTAGCTCCGCCCCATGCAGGACCTTCGATCTTGGGCTTTGGTGGAGGAACAACGACAGGCTTGGGGTTAGCATCAAGAGCACCAGTCAAGAACATGGAAAGCCCTCCCTTTCTGTTCTTCTTCTTGTTTGCTGCCGTCGCAAGTTTCTTGTTACTTGGTGAATCAGGTGGGTATTCTTTCTTCTGCGAGAGTGAGACAAAGTCTGATTCTTTGGTGATCATCGTCACATCCAACATCGTAAAGCCATCCTATTTAGAAGTAGCAAAGGGCAAAAATGATTCACCAGTGCAAAAAAACTGAATGTGATAAAACCTCAACAGAGGACAGTTCATCATGGAAGAGATGTTATGGGCGCTAACCTTTGGGTTGATAGATTCAGAGATTTTCTCGGCGTCTTTACTCTGCATTGTATCTGTTTCTACTTTAACTTCATCAGAATCAGGGAATGTCTCAACCTGTGAAAACCTCTGTTTTCCCTTTTTCTTCTTTTTTCTTAAACCGTCAGCCTTCTTGTTGGCCTTTCCATCTAATGGCAAAGCTGATGATGATTTTGCCTCTGGCGACTCTTCAACCGAAATACCAAGTTCTACCAGTGAAATTTCGATATCTAGTTTCTTTTGAAGTTTTGCTATTTGCTGACCATCAAGAAGTTGTCCTCTTGATTGTTTTGCTTCAAGGATCTCAATTTGTTGCAACTTTTTCCTCAAAGCTCGGACTTCTTTGGAATTACGTTGAGCCAGCTCATCTTCTGGTTGTAAGAAGGAATCCATTCGAGAGCCTCCTCTAGTAACACAGGAGAAGTGTTTCACATGGTTGTCACGAGTTCTTAGAATGTCGCTCTCACTTTCCTCTTCTTCACTATCAATAACAACAGGAAATGTGGCCGTTGGGGTTGGAAGTGGTCGGGAGCTCCATGCTTCGGATGATCTGTCATCCAGTAGTTTTTCAAGATTGGCAAGAACATCAGTTGATGTATTTGCAATTGTTTGAGGAGAAACGGTCAAAATAAAGTCTAGGTTTCTGATCACAATGTCCTGCAGGAAGAACACACGGTGTAAGGTAATCATCACACAAGAACATCAAAAGAGAACACTGAACACAAACTTCTCTTTGTTTCTGCCTCTGCAGTTAAGTGTGCAATCATCACTAAGGAAGGTTAGCAATTACCTCACAATACTTCTTCAGATCCTCCGCTCCAAGTGAATCCGCAATCTCAAGCAGTTGAATAGCATTTCGTGGCTCTACAATACACTCCGCTGCCACCTTCTCGCATAAACTTTTCAAGCTAGGTGCTTTCCTCTCCATAGGTTTATCGTGTTCCGCGGATGGTAACACCTTAAAAGATTTATCATCATCAAACATAAAACCCTCGTCAAGTTCTTCATCCCTACTTTCATCCGCTTGTAGAGTCAGAGACTTAGTAAGCACATTAGGAGCATAGGCAGGATGATATAGAGAACCCACAACCAGAAGATGTGTTTCACCAACAGCAACCGTGGTTGCCCTTTTCAAGTTGTGGAGGCGAGAAAGAGACGGTGGCACATCTTTACCTTTCTTCCCATCCCACATGTAAACTTCACCTGTACTAGTAGCAGCAGATGCCCAATATTTACCCGCTGAAATGCTCACAACTGTTTTCCCATGAATATGCAACTGCAGAAATCAGATTTAAACAAGGGGTTTTTTTAAAAAATATTACTATGGAGTCATATTGAGTTAGTTAATTTAGTAGAGAACAAGAGAAGGTTGAATCCAACCTGTTGGCATCTAAGACTGGAGTCAGAAGAAACCCAATAAAACAATGCACCATCTTCTGCTAGAGCCATGCTGTGTACCATTCCCGCAGCTATTGCAGTCACACGAAGAGGCCTCCTTCGATGAAAATTCAATAGTGTGTTCCCAGCTTTCTTTAGATTCCGGGATGTAACAACACGTCTTGGAGTCACCAGCCGATGACCCCAGGTGTAAACCTGGCCACAGAAGAAAGAAAGAAATACTAAAGAATAATAAATTTTTTATCCAGATTCGAGATGAGATTTCTCATACATTCAATAGACTTCAAACACGGAAAACATAATAGCAATAAAAATTTTATGTTACCTCTCCATCTTCTCGCAAGACGAGAGTGTGGTATTTTGCAGAAGAGATAGCCGTGAAAACTTTCCCTTTCAAGTAATCAACCAATCTGGGAGAGTAGTTTGATGCAGAGTTGGAGGTTCCATAACCAAGCTGGCCTTCCTTGTTGCATCCCCAAGTGAAAACTTCACCGCAATCAGAAACTACGGCTGTATGTTTGTTTGCGGCAGAAACAGCTACAATCTTCGCCTTCAATGAAGTCACCTTGCGGGGTGTTGCCTGAGTATCCACAGAGGTATAACCAAGCTGCCCCTCTACAAGAGCATCACAAACAACATCAGGCTCTATGATAAGAGACTGTGACAAAGATCAAACATTTAACTCTAGAGACCCCATCCACTGATAATTGTTTTACCTCTATTGGAACCCCAAGTGAGTACGTCCCCGCTTTCTGTAGCAATGACTGTATGGTGCTTCGCTGCTGCAACTGCCTTGACTCGGCGAGATCCTAAACCAGATATCACCTTCCGGGGAGTGATAACTGCAGCTTGACCACTGAGATAATAAAAAGCTAAGAATTAAATTTAATCGTGGTTTACATAACCTTTCAAACTAAATTTTAGCATTCTATGATTCTATGTACAGTATAGTAGATATACGGTACAGTCATTCACCAAATAATCCCCTTGTCAAGTCATAAATTAATAGTACCTGTGAATGTCAAATTCAGGATGTCCAAGGCGGCCACCTCTTCCAAATCCCCACGTGTAGACTTCTCCATGAGAACTAATGGCAACACTATGGAACTTTGCAGCAGAGACCAACTTTATAAAACAACCATGAAGTGAATCAACTCTGCCAGGCAGCTTCTGAACATCTTGACTCCCAGTTCCAAGCTGGTAGTTTGCACCATTTCCCCAGCTGAAAACCTCTGTAGCCACTGAAAAGGAAGAAAATGAACAAAGGATATTAAGGTCAATGTTGTGTGAGAAAGAGTGACCAAAAGATATTAAGGTCAATGTTGAGAAGAGACTAGTCACCTGAATTATGCTGCTCACCAATGACCTGAGCCACCGGACCTGAGACCAGATCAACGGGTGTTCGCGACTTTATGTCTTCTAGAGTAAAAGAAGCACCTGAGTCAATTAGCACACTAGCCACCGCGAGATGTCCAAAATGCAAAGCTCTGTGAAGACTACTCCAACCAGATTCTCCATCCTGAAACGAACATTGTACAATACAGAGCAAGCTCAATTCTAAGCATTATGAATACACAAAGAGACGGAAACATGGAACTTCTAGATTCCAGGTTATAAACTAAAGAAACATTTTTTTTTTTTAGATTTATGAAGACACAAATAGAGGATAGGTCACGAACCCTTGCATCAGGATCAGCACCAGCTGCAAGCAGTCTCCTGACAATAGGAATGTGGTTTCTCCAGATTGCAATATGCAGAGGAGTCAGGCCATAGGCATTCCTTAAATTTATATTCCCACCGCTCTTCTTCAGCATGTTGAGTGCTGAATCCACATCAACCAATGATCCTTCCCGTATAGCAAACCACAAATCTTTCTTAGATACTGAAAGTGAGCTTTTACGAGGAGTTTGCAAGCTCGTCATCTTCTGTGTTTGAGGAGAGACCGACGCTTCCATATTTCTAGACAGGCAACTTGTTACGCTCGTCGCAGATGTTGTGTCTAGACCAAATACCTCTAAAGAGTTAAGAGAGAGGACAATCAAAAGGATCTGTATTGCCCTCCACAGAGTTTAATGCCATCTAACTTCTGCTAAAGCTGATTTTTCATCTTGAAAAAATGAGTCAAACAAATCACGCAGCTTTCTGAAGCAAATTACTCAAATCTTCACAATCACTTCATAAAAGTCCTGATCATAAAAGACAAGAAGGATGTAAATGTATATTGGATTAGCAATGTTCATAAAGCTTCTGAGAGAAGTATAGGCAACAAAGAATAAACAAGTAGAAAAGTGTTACGGAAAGCATCGCTCCTTTTATGAAGAAACAAAGGAATAGGCATCTAAGCACAGATTAAAGCGGACTAATACTTACACCAACCACAGAGTAAAGAATCTCGTTTAGTGTTCCTCAAACATGACTAAAGAGTGGTGCTACATTAATCCTAAATAAGGATCTCCACAGTGAGATTGGACACAATTAGCAAAATCAGTCCAAAATCCAGAGAAAAGATCGCGTCTTTGATACACAGGAGAACGCTAAACAGATAGAAGAAAATGATGAGACATGTTTTCAAGCATTTGGTGGGCATACACTCATTAATCCATAGATAAACTCACAGAAAGCGCACAAATCGAGAATGACAAACAGATAAACTCGATCCCCGAGACACAATGACCACCAGAATTTGATCCAGAAATTACCAGTTTTGGAAGCAAACCATCACTCAAATTCAAGACTTCGATGAGATAAAATTCGCCTCATTTGCAATCACCCATCAAGGAAAGAAAGAAAAAAAGTAAGAAAAACCGTTTTCGATGCTCTATTGAAAATCACAAACTGCCATTTGAGTTTAAAATAATTGAACAGATGGAAAAAGAGAGAGAGAGAGAAAAAAAAAAACTAATTTCCGGTACCTGAAACTGAAATTGAACTCCGGTGAGAGAGAAGCGATCAAAGAGAGGTATTTATTAATTAGAGAGAGAGAGGAGAGGATAAATGAGCACAATGGAATCTTCTATGACAATTTCAATAGGTAAGAAGCGAATCAAACAGAGAATATACCCTCCATAGGAGCAGAGGCGTAAATAAGTTTCTGAATGAGAGCGAGAGAGAGAAAGGAGGGGAAGAGAGATCTCCGAGCCAAGGCTAATTCAGTAATTAGATAGAGTAATATGAAAATGACGATAAAGTCCCTTGAAGTTGAGAGCTTTTTTGTGTTCGTTTATTTGACGTGCTAACGACTCGGAGAAGTCATCTCTCTCTCTAGCCACCTAAATTGGTTTGCTTTCGAAAGAAAGGATCCTCGTGATGACATGTGGCGACACGTGCGGTGCGATATGTCAGAGTGAGATGAGGTCGTACACAGAGTCATAAAATGTCCGAAACTGAGGATACTTCTTCTCTCGACCTCTTTTTAAGGGAAAAGGAAAAGTTAAGGTTTTTTTATTCATAGCCTTTCAATATTCAACTGATAAATTGTATATTATCTCTGTATCAGACTTTTTCTGCATAACATTTTCGTTTGTTCAAGAGTATTTATTTTATTTTATTTTTGTTAGAGCGATGGCAATTTTGAGGGACAAAATCGTAAAAGAAAAAAGAAAATCAACAGAGCCAAATCATAGGAGAGGCTAAATCAAAGGCAAAACGTGACGCGTCAGCTATCGTGACAAAAATCTGATGACGTGGATCTCTCTGATTGGACCTCATGTCCTCTCTTTACCACCAGAATGTCCACGTCACGGAAAATGATCCAGGCCTAAGATAACGTTAAGTATTTATTAAGCAAATTCCTAATTTCACAGTCATCTCATGAAATGATGAAATCATGGCTTCACTTCATAACATCAAACATTGTCATAGATAAGAGAAGAGTTCTCATAGACTAGAGAAAAATTAAACATTGTCGTAGATAAGAGAAAAATTATGTCCAAGTCATTCATTTGTAATTTGGGTCCCATAGCCATAGGTGCACACTTTTAGTTCTCAAATATATCACGTCAGGTCTACAAGTAATCGTTATGTGCACGATTCGAAATTAAAGTGTAAAACCATGCACCTTTGGCTTTAACCTTTTCATGGTCTCAAATCAATCTTATCATTAGAACCAAAAAAACAAAAAAAAAACAACCTTGTCGTAGTACTAGTACCGCCGAATGATCTTATAGAATAAACATTAATTTTCAGTGAATTATAATTCTAAGTCAGTAAGGGTTTTGATATAATTTGTCCATTTCATGGGCTTGCATAAGATATAAATCGCCAATTCGCCATTCACATTACCAAAGAAGCATATATTTCATCAGAGAAAACAAAGATACATATAACATTGCAGCAAAAGAGAAATATAGAGATGAAACCATAACCCTCTTCAACGAAAGAGAGACGCAATTTCATCAAAAAACCTAATTTTGGCTAAGAATATATTTTCTTGGAAGAAAAGTTATTGAAAAATTAAAAACCAAACAAGCACAAACCATCCCGGGAATAGAATATTGAGTAATATATCTTCAAGCTCTTCACTTGGCACTAGAGAGCTGGGAGCGGATAAGCTTGGCCGCATCAACCATGTTCTTAAGTGCTGGCTTAACTTCAGTGTACTTCCTTGTCTTCAGACCACAGTCAGGGTTAACCCACAAGATGTTTTGCTCGAGAACCGCAAGCATTTTGTTGATCCTGTCTGCAATTTCATCTGTGGATGGTATTCTCGGGGAGTGGATGTCGTAGACACCAGGTCCGATCCCTGCACCGTACTTCACTCCTTCACGGAACACCGAGAGAAGCTTCTCGTCTGAACGGGAGTTCTCAATGGTGATGACATCAGCGTCCATGTCGATGATGGAGTGGATGATGTCGTTGAAGTTTGAGTAGCACATGTGAGTGTGGATCTGTGGAAATGAAAAAAAAATATAAGAAAGCACCCAGTTAGAAGTTAGTTACAGGAACATTCATCACTGTTTGATAATTGAAGTGTATTATAGTGTTTACCTGAGTGCTGTCTTCGACGCCACAGTTGGTGATTCTGAAGGAGTGAACAGCCCAGTCCAAGTAGAAAGAGTGTTCGGCTTTCCTAAGAGGCAATCCTTCCCTAAGCGCGGCTTCATCAATCTGAATGACTCCAATACCGCCTTTCTCGAGGTCTTCCACTTCGTCTTTGATAGCCAAGGCGATCTGGTAACAGGTTTCGTGCCTGGGCTGGTCGTTTCTGACAAAGGACCAGTTGAGAATTGTGACTGGGCCTGTAAGCATACCCTTCATGGGACGCTTGGTCATGCTCTGAGCTGTTGAGGACCAGAAGACTGTCATTGGCTTGGGACGGCTCACGTCACCGTAGATGATCGGTGGCTTCACACAACGAGATCCATAGGATTGCACCCATCCATTTGCTGTGAATGCGAAACCTGACAACTGCTCTCCGAAGTACTCAACCATGTCGTTTCTCTGCAATGTTGTCAAAGCAGTCAGAAACAGAACGACGTGATAAGTTTTATGTGTTTCGCAGATGATTGATAAACTCACCTCAGGCTCTCCGTGGACAAGAACATCGATGTCAAGATCCTCTTGGATGTCAACAACTTTCTTGATCTCTTCCTTAATGGCCTTGACGTAATCCTCTTCAGAGATTCTAGTGGAAGAGAGATCAAGGGATTCCAGTTAGCATGATAATCAACTTACTGACTAAAATTGCTTAAATGATCAGTGCCAAATGATTGTGTTTAAGAGACTAACTTCTTGGCCTTGTATTCACGGCGAACCCTCCTGAGTTCGACGGTCTGTGGGAAGGATCCAATGGTAGTGGTAGGGAGGATTGGAAGGTTGAGCTTCTTCTGCTGAGCATCTAGCCTTGCGCTAACTTCAGTTGCACGACGGTGGTCTGATCCCTTCAAAGCAGCAGCAGCCTTCTGAACAGACTCGTTGGTGACTCTTGGGGAAGACCTCCTCGAAGACAAAGCCGCAGCGTTGGCAGAGAAGAAAGCCTCGTTCGTCTGACCGACCAAAGCCTTGGCCAATGCGTCAACTTCAACAACCTTCTGAGCAGCAAAAGCTAACCACGACTTGATTTCAGCATCGAGCTTGGTCTCGTTAACAAGGTCAACGGCGGTGTGGAGAAGAGAGCAAGAGGTTGAGACCACAAGCTTGTCTTTACCAACAACACCCTCAAGTGACTGCAAGGCGATGAGAGAGGCAGCGAGGTCATTGGCCCAGATGTTCCTTCCGTCGACAACACCAGCAAATAGGTACTTGCCCTTGGGGAAACCAGCCTTGATCAAGTCAATGGTCTTGGTGCCACGAATCAAATCAAAACCAAAGGCAGTCACACCCTTCAAGGAAGTAAGGGTCTTGTATGCTTCAGCAGGGACATCGGCGAAGTAAGTCTCGACAAGCACATTCAGACCAGAGAGAGTTGACTCAAGCTCAGCATAGGCACCGCTAAAAGCCTGGAGTTTGTGACCCTCGAGATCCATGACAAAAAGAGGCTCATCAAACTGAATCCAGGTGGCACCAGCTCCCTTAAGCTCCGCAATGACTTCCTTGTAGATTGGGAGAATTTTGGGGAGAAGGGAGAGAAGATCAAAAGACTTGTCAACACCCTTTGCAAGCTTGGAAAGAAGCAAGTAAGAGACAGGGCCAACAAGTACAGGGACGGTCTCAACACCAAGCTGCATAGACAACACCGCATTATCAGGAACAAAAGAAGCATACGTTTAAATAGGTATATATAAGTGAGCAAATGGTACGTACAGCCTTGGCCTCCTTGTACTCATTCACAGCCTTGTGAGATGCGTAAGAGAATTTCACTTCAGGGCCCAACTCTGGGACGATGTAGTGGCTGCATCAAACAGAGAGAAAAAGGTCCGTTAACGACACAAAGCTCAAAAATTGGATCAACAACGAATGTCACCGCAGAAGAAGATAAAAGAGTAGGAAACTCACTAGTTGGTGTCAAACCACTTGGTCATTTCCATGGCTGGAACAGAGGCGTTTCCTCTGGCCATGGAGAAGTAAACATCGAAACCGATCTCGCCACTGGTCCATCCGTATCTGGGAGGAACCGCACCGAGCATGGCGGTGGTGTCGAGCACCTGGTCATAGTAAGCAAAAGTGTTGCTTGGGATGAACTTGATCCCAGCAGAAGACATCTGCTTCCAGATGTCAGACCTGAGATCAGCCGACACCTTCTGCAAATCCTCGGCGGTGCTCTTGCCATCCCAGAAAGACTCCAATGCGAACTTGAGCTCTCTCTTTGGGCCCATACGAGGATATCCAACAATGTGGGATGCCATTTTGATTCCTTTTTTTTAGTTTATATATAAACTACATTTAACCAAAAATCGAAGTCAGCCACTGAATCAATGAAGCATAGAAAGAACAGAAAAAAGTAACAACTTTAGATATCACGAATCGCTTAAGCTAAAATAGATTATTATGAAGCGGATCGGAAAATAGCCAGAAACCAATCAATCATTTGAAGATGATGTGAGAAAAAAATTGCAGTCAGAATCAGAATCAGTCACACAAAAAAGGTTCCACGAATCTGAAAACATCAACTATCTCCAGATCTGTGAATCGTAAAAACTAACTCACCGGATTAGATCTAAGTAAAATAAAACACACAAAGGGCGAAGAAACGAAATTCGAAATTGAAATGGGGTGGTCCGAGAGAGGAAAAGGGAAATGAAAAGCGAGGAAGGCTAAATAAGAGAGGGGAAGGGAAAGACAGGAATAGTCATGAGGAGGCCATGGAAAATCGGGAAGCGTACCTTACGGAGGTAGAACCGGAGAGGAAGATGGTGAAGAAGAGATGGCGAGAGAGCGAAGATGGAGAGTGCCTCTGTTAGCTTATTTATAGCAAAAACAATTATACATCGTTCGTCTCTTTCTCTCTCACTCTCGTGGTGGCGGAAATATTTTCTATTATAAAATAAAAATTCTAAATAAAAAGATTTTACATGATACGCCGTATATTAACAATAATATATCGTATTTTCAAGTATATCCACCACGTTTTAACTATGGTCCTCATCTGAAACTTTTAAATTAACAAAGGGCATGGTCAATGTTGTACAACTTTTTGACAAACTATATCTATAGAGTAGAGACAGACCGGTTATACGGTATAACAAATGTATTTGACGTCATGGCACTAAATTTCTAAGATGTTTGGGTAAAAAAGGCTGAACACATTAATAAGGGTTAATAATGTAATTTGTGAAGAATTAGAGGGGTTAACTAGGGAGGGAGTGAAAAGGTGAAACGGGGTAGGGGAGGAGAGTTGGTGACATGAGGAGAAGGAGGTAGCGGGATTGGTGGGTGGAGCCTACACTGTGGGGTTGGTGAGATTCACACACAATTGAGTCTGCAAAGCGACGACGTTTTTATGAGAGTCACTACCAAACTATGCCACACAAAATCGAGATTTGTTTGTTTGGTAAACAAAGTAGGTGAAAGATTATGAGATCCACGTCCCTTTTTACAGGCAGCCTTTCTTCATATATAATCTTTTATTTTTTGAATAAGTGGTTTTTATCTAGTGGTGGATAAAGACATTGCAAATCCCCCTAGGTACATTGAAATGTCAAACCTATTAACCTATAAAGTGTCACAAATGAGGATTAAACGTGTGTATAAATGTATGTAAAGAGTCTCCTCAACTATGAAATGATAAACCATGTGAGTAATGAATATTCCATGCTCTTCTTGGACGACTAATACGAATATTCTACGTTTCGAATATAGTTGTGTACAGTTTATCAACTCGGGTAACTTCTTCTGTTGCAATACACCCTTTTTAGTGTTTTCAGATGAGAGATGAGTCTCTACTTAATTTTGTTTTTTTTAAAAAAAAAATCAATAATTAAGTTTACACATGACGCTTAACAAACAACTTCAAACGTAAAAAGTTTTATTTGGTTTTATGCAACTAGCGCCATATATTTGGTTGAGTGAATTTGCTAAGCCATTCAAAGCAGTTTGGTATGAACTATGAACTGCTAATCACACAACACGGAAAGCATTTTCATCAGTAGATAGATGCGTGTGCCTTCCCATTGTTTGTCTCCTGTCGGTGGAAATAAATCTGATTCTACACATACATATCCACAAAATTAAATGATAGCAATCACACGAGCATTTAATGAGATTTTGTTTTTTCTCTTGCTAATGCCCTGGTGCAGCAATAATTATATATCCTATTCATACGTATTCTATAAAAGTAAAGATTGTATACGGCAGTGTATAAGTAAAACTTTCGTGTCTGGTAAGATTCTATCTACTTTTCTTTCATCTTCTTCTTGTAGATAGTTAATTGAATGAATAAGCACGTTTAGATATCAATATACTAATACTAATCATGTGCTCAAGACGATAAAAGTTCAGGCTTCCGGCTTTATAAACTTTGTGATATAAATAGGTGAAAAGACAACTTTATGCCAACATATGTTAGATACAATCACTAAAATATTCGAGCACAAGAGCTTCACGCATTAGTAAGAGCTAAAAAATGAATCTGAATCATTCCAAAAGACACAATTAGTAAATGGTATTAGAGTCCAATCCTTACATTAACCTTGGTAGAGTTCACATACCGCACAAAACATCGAAAACGGATCTGGTGCGAACCAAACACCAAATAAAATGCCAAATTCAGTCAAAGAAACTGGGAAACTATATCAAAGACAACTAAAGCTGATTCCCCTAAGAAACCTAAATCAGAGGTAAACCCGAGCAAACCGCAGCAACTAAGTGTTCGGGTTGAGTCAGGTGATCATCCTAAACCACTCTGCTTCACTTCTTAATCTTCTACCTTTTCTTCAGCTTCCGAAACAGAGTTGGCTAGCTACTTGCTTCTTGCCTTTTCCAGATCTGGAAGATCTGTTCAAATACATGTTTAATATAAGATCAATCACAACAAAATGATTCGAAGTATAGCCACTAAAACTTGTGGTCTAAAGCACAATGATCCATCAATCGTCTCTATTTGCAGGTAAGAAGATTAAGGCTGTTGAAACTTACAGAGCAATCCATCGTCATCGCTGCTTTCACAATCTTGATCAACAAACTATGGAAATAAAGAGGGAAAACAATCAATAAGGGTCGTCGCTTGGCTAAACAACAATAGAAAGAAACAAAACAATTATGAGAAAGCGCTTACTGCACTCTCATCATCGGAGGCTGTTTCAGCTGAAAAGAAGCAAAAACAGAGAGTCTATAGTTAGAAACAATTTATCTTCGGATTTTATCTGTCTCTTTCTAGAGAGAGATTAGACAAAACAAACATCTACTGTATACAAGATTGGTGTAAATCTACTTATTCAAGCATGTAAGAAAAAGAGACAGCGCAGGTTGGGGCGGGGAACAAGTAAATATAGCTTTGTACGACTCACAGTTGTCCTCGTCATCCTCATCACACCATTTATTCCAGTCGACTTTAATGTAAGGTGCAGGTTTGTCTTCTGACTTCAGAATTCGTGGCCACCAGCTTCTCTCTTCTTTCTGAATTGAAAATATGATGTTCCTTAGCCCAACATTCTTTCTATATTCCTGCATAAAACATAACAGAGGACACTTGTAAAACGAAGTATATGTAGATTTAACAAAAGAAGATAATCTCTACACCTAGAGAGCATATCTAAAACGTTTCTGAAACCTGTCTTCCAAACATCAGGTCTAACTATCAAAGGTGGCAATTTTTTTTACATATCGGTTAAAAGACAAAGCAGTGACAGTTCTTGTCATTCAAAGGGAGAAATGGCACTTACTGGCACAATTTTCCCATAAAGCTCCAAGCTGAACTCAAAGAGCTTGCCTTGGGGACCAAGAGCAGAGAAACTAAATAGGCCCTGAGGCTCACATTTTACTGAAATGTCCTCTGCGTCAGGTAAGGCCACGGTTAGGTAAACCTTATCAGAACGCTGAGCCCAAAGAACCTCCGGGTTATGACTGCGTACAAGACAAAAAAAAAACATACTGTGTTATCACCCAATTACACGAGAAGTCCGTCAAAAGACAGGAACTTTATATGAAGAATCTCTAGTACAAACATCTTCAGTCTCGAATTTCAGAAGTAAAACCAAAGTCCAGTTTTTCTTTATAAACTCTAGGCATGACTGCTGAAGCCAACCATAAAATGTGGAAGCACCTCAAAATGCACATATGAAAAAGGAATGTTACAGAAGGCGGTATCAAGTGAAGGATCTAGGTGACATTTTTGAAATCATTATGAAAAATAGTTCTAGAATCTGCGCAATAACGCTCTTATCACCACAGAGAACATCAACTTTTCCGTCAATAATAACATTCGAGCTTCCCTTACGGGAGCGTAGCTCTAAAACACTAAAAGAACATGTAAGTATCTTCTAATTAAAAACCCATTAGTAAACGAAGTAAAAGATAGTGGCTTTGTGTGTAGATCACAAATCACGCCAAACTTTTTTTATGGATTAAGCCAAGGTACACCAGATCGAATCGAGATTATCGTCTGGTTTAAAGTCCATCAGTAAATTTCAAAAACCCTAGAAATCGAATAGATACCTCATGTTTTGCAGCGGAAGCTAAATTGGATAGACGGCGCCGGAACTGTGTGGACGGTCGATGGAAGAACGGCGATTGAGTTCAAGAGCTCAAAATTGAAGAAGATTCTGGAGTGAACAAGGTAAAGGTTAAAAATGTACATTCATCCCCGATTGTTTTCCAGTTATTTCATATAGATCCCTACTTTATAGAGAAATAGCGAATTTATCCAAAAAGGTTAAAAGGTTTCTACAAACACCTCTACTTGGCCACGACCAGAGATTTTCAATTTCACCCATTTGGCATTTTGCGATAATAATTTAAGCTACATAGCTACTAGAGTCAAACAAGAGCAAAATTGACAAATATGGTGGGTAAATGAAATGAAAAGACAACAAGTGTCATAGTTTGTAAGAAATCATACATCAATAATGAATGACACATGCTATTTGCAACATTTGCACACAAGCCATTATAATAAAATTATTTGGTGTGTACACAAAACAGTTTGCCTTATATAGTAAGCCACAAATAATTAAAAAACCAAAAAACAAAACTTGTCACGAGATAATATATTTTTGCATGAATTTTTCAATACTTGCATTAGCTTTAACCTGTTCTAGTTTTTTTCTAGATGCTAATTGCTAAGTTTATAATTTTCCTACACCCGAATTTAATAGATTATTATATTTGTTTTGGATAAAGTTGAAACTTCAAAATACATTGTATGAAGATACTATTAATAATGTATTTTAAGCAAACGCAATTAGACAACAATTATGATCATGTATAATAGAATTGCATACAAGTTTAAGGATGCGGTTTATACTCTCTTTTGACTAAATTTTTAATTTTAGTTTTAAGTTTTCGATGCGGTTATATAGTTAACTTAGTATATGATCACTTCACTGTCTTCACAATTACGACTCACCTAACAAAAATATTAAATATAATAGTGAACAAACCATCTAACCTAATTTATCACACCGCAAAGCGAAAATGACACACACCTCTAACTTACGTTTTCATGAATAATTTCAAAAGATATTTTTACGAAATAAGCTGATATTACTCCACTTTGCCAATAAATTTTGATAAGTACATAAAACTATTAGTTTTCTTTTCGAGTACATAAGATCAATCTCTTTATATCGTTTTTTTGAGGGTTAAAAAAACCACACTTTATATATTTCGTGTACTCTAAAGTTGGCAAGTCGATTTTAAGCTGCACCAGCAATTTTTATTTGATTCATTGTTATCTAAACCATGAATGAATACGACACTGATCTGTAACCAATAGAAACAAAAACTAACCAACAAACAAAATACAAAATGAAGTAAAATATCAGAAAATCTTAATTCAAATATAATGCACAGAAGAATCTAACACGATACATGTATATATAGAACTAGGTGGACTAAAATTTCACAAAATTTTGTTTTCTTATGTTTGTAACTTGTTACTTTACTTGTGTTCTCATGCATCTCCAAATATAAGTCATAAAATACGTACAAGATACAAAATTATGTGGAAACGTCGGCATATATATATATATATATACATGTGGAATTGCTTTTGGCACGTGACTAGTGGAGAATTTTTTTGTTGAGTAGTCAAGATATTAAGACATATATCTAAGTTTAAATTGCAAATATGCAATATATATATTGCAGAATGTGGAGAGAGTGAATTTCGAAAACTAAAATGTAAATATGTGTTATGAATTGTTAGTGGAACTAATTTTTCATACACAAATTATTAGAAATGTAAATTAGACTAGTATGTTACTATATGATATCCTATTGTGATCTGTTTTGTTATTGTAATGTTTTCTCGAAATATGTAACATGTTGTAAAGGTAGAAAGTGTGGGATCCATATGTGTCACTTAAAAAAGTCTGATGTGACTTTTCTGATGGAGATGCCATCGTGCGAAAGATTACATAACAGTCTGTGCCACAACTTCACTTTTTTTTTTCACATTAAATAATAACTTTTCAGGTTTAAGCTTTGGTTTTAAGCCTGCTTCTGACAACAACAATCTATAGCTATTTAATTTTTCATACCGTTTCTGTTTTGATTCATTCCATTTTACTCCCAAAATATTAGTTCGAATGATCTGATTCGAGTACACAGTTTTACTCAGCCTTGTTTAACAAGTTAGATCATCACATTAACTGATATACAGATCTTTCTCAATAATATTAGATAATACTCCTACTTAATAAAGACTTGTTTGCCTTTTCGACCAAACAAAAGAGACTTGTTTGCCTCAACTCTTAGTATTTGTAGACTTCACCCTAAAGCCCTACAGAATATTTTCTCTTATCTTTTACTTTTTTATCTTCTTTTGGGGTCTTTTTACCCTTTTTCTGTTGTGTGTGTCACAGCTTTGGCGCGAGTGGGTTTCTCTTTGGTCCCAGTTTTTTTTGAAAGTGATGATAATAATATGAACATATTTAATGGTGGGAAAATAATATTAATAGTAATTCAACCCGAAAAAACAAAAGAAAACAGAAAAAAATGTCGGCCAGAGCCGGTGGGATTCCCTATTTGTAATGCATGTGAACAATTTCAAGATTTAATTTGTAAAATTCTATTTTTTTTTTACTATATTCCTTTTTCTACTCAATAATCTTTTAAAAATTCTTCTTGTTGTCTTCTTCTTGTGACAGAGAAGATTAGAGAGGAGGACCAAACTCTGATGTCGTCAACTAGTGACAGTTTACTTAATCGTATGGTTGTTAAAATGTTTTTACTTTGATTTTGCAGAATTTTTTGTTTCTTTAAAAAAATTATATTAATATTTTGTTGGGTGAATGAATATTGTTCTCATAGTATTCTCTGTTTTATCCTTTTTATAAAATACTATAATCACTCGTGAAGGAATCTTGAATGTTTTTAAGCTCCTCGAGGAATTTTCCACTGTTACAGAGGATTTTCTTGGGAACTTTTCACAATTTCTCCCATAATTCAAGTTGCTACCTTTCTCTTTTAAATAAAATCAATACTCCTTTTCACAGTTCCTTCATAAGTTTGCAGAGGTATTTCTTCATCTCAAAGGAAACGATTTGTCTTCTCATTTCTCATTCTTCTTTCTTTGATGAAACTGACTTTTTTCTCTTAGGCTCAAAATCTTCCTGCATTTCCTCTTCCTGCAACTGCAAGGTGTCTTAAGGAGGAGAATCTGTAAGCCCAGGTGGTTAGTTATTCCTGTTTTTCTGGAATTCACATGCAAAAGTTTATCCTTTTAAATCGTTTCATTACCTCTCCACTTAGCCTTAAAAATTGAAGATTTGTTTCTCTAGCTTCTCTATTGTTTATTGCATTAAGGAGAGAAGAAGAGTTAAATATCAGATCTTGAGAGTGGACCCAGTTCTGAGTTTAAAATTCAATTTTAGTTTCATTATTATTATATACAAATGTGATTCTTGAATTTAATGTGTCTCTCTTTTGCAGGTGCTAATGATGTCTATGTGATTTTATTGTTGAAGTAGTTGTGTGTGTGGCTATGGAGAAACTCTTTTGTGGCTTTCCTTTCCTGCTTCTGGTTCTGCTTTTAGCCTCCATTGATGGATCAACACAGCTCCAATCATCTCAATCTCAAACCCTTTTGAGGCTGCAACAGCTTCTCTACTATCCCAAAGTGTTAAGCAGCTGGAACAACTTTACTGATTTCTGCAATTCCGAGCCAAATTCTTCCCTAACCGTTGTGTGTTACGAAGACAGTGTGACGCAGCTTCACATCATAGGAGACAGAAGAGGTCACATGTTGCCAAAGAGTTTCTCTATCGACTCATTTGTTACTACTCTTGCTAAGCTCCCTGATGTTAAAGTTCTCACCTTTGTCTCTCTCGGGTTATGGGGTCGGTTACCTGAGAAAATCAACCGTTTATCCTCATTGGAGATTCTCAATGTGAGTTCTAATTTCCTCTTTGGACACATTCCTCATGAACTCTCGTCGCTTGCTAGCCTTCAGACGCTTATACTCGACGAGAACATGTTGTCTGGTCAGTTACCGGATTCGATTGGTTCTTTACCCGGTTTAGCTGTGTTGAGCTTGAGAAAGAATGTGCTCAATGGCTCGTTGCCTTCCTCACTGAGCAGCTTGTCAGGTCTTAGAGTTCTTGCTCTAGCTAATAACCGGTTTAATGGGGTTTTACCTGATCTAAGCCGTTTGACAAACCTTCAAGTGCTTGATCTTGAAGGAAACTCTTTTGGACCGATGTTACCTCGGTTAGGTCACAAGTTGGTTACTCTTATACTCAGCAAGAACAGGTTTAGATGTGCAGTTTCAGCTGGCGATGTGAGTTCTCTGTATCAGCTTCAACATTTGGATCTTTCCTTCAATACATTCGTCGGTCCGTTTCCTACGTCCTTGATCTCTCTCCCTGCGATAACTTACTTGAACATCTCACACAACAAACTCACCGGGCGGCTTTCAGCAAATCTTTCTTGCAACTCACAGCTGATACTTGTGGACCTGTCATCAAATCTTCTTACTGGAAGCTTGCCTACTTGTCTTAAACCGAGTTCCGGAACTAGCACAGCTGTTGTCTACGCAGGTAACTGTCTGGCTGCTACAAACGAAGACCAGCGTCCTGTTTCATTTTGTAGCAACGAAGCTCTTGCTGTTGGAATCCTACCACAGAGGAGGAACAGAGCTACCAGATTGGGTGTTGCCTTAGGCGTAACCGCAGGCATTCTCGGGGTGACTCTCCTCGCAGGTGCAATATTTGTGGTTCTTAGGAGAATCAATGCCAAGAGAGCAGCAACGAAAGCTTCCCCAAGATTGATCAAAGAGAATGCTTCAATGGGATACACATCAAAGCTACTCTCAGATGCAAGTAAGAAGATCAAACATCTCCTCGTATATTGTCACATATTTCCACATATCAAAATGTGTGCTTACTGATTAGTGGTTTGCTGCAATACTTTATAGGGTATATCTCTCAAACAATGAAGCTAGGAGCACTCGGTCTTCCAGCTTACAGGACATTCTCACTGGAAGAACTTGAGTATGCGACAAATAACTTTGAATCCTCTGCTTTCATGGGTGAAGGTTCTCAAGGACAGGTAAAAAAAGATTCAAGTTTTGATTTGTTTTACATGTTCTGAAAGTGGGATTTTTGTCTTCTCATCTTTTGCTTGTTGTCTTCAGATTTATAAAGGGAGGTTAAAAGATGGATCCTTTGTGGCAATTAGATGTTTGAAAATGAAGAAAAGTTGCAGCACCCAAAACCTGATGCATCACATCGAGCTCATCGCTAAACTGAGGCACCGTCATTTGGTTAGTGTGCTTGGCCACTGCTTTGAGTGCTACTTGGATGATTCAACAGTCAGCAGAATGTTCTTCGTCTTTGAGTACGTCCCAAATGGAGAACTCAGGAGCTGGATTTCTGGTATGACACTGGAACATGTCCCAAGGATTCAGAATATTTATGTATATATCTTATGATGACTTAAACCGGAATGTTATTGTGATTTCTTCTGTGTTAGATGGGCATATGGGAAGATTGCTTACTTGGGAACAACGCATAAGCGTAGCGATAGGTGTAGCAAAAGGGATCCAGTTCTTGCATACTGGAATCGTGCCTGGTGTTTATGATAACAACCTGAAAATAACAGACATCTTGCTTGACAATAACCTCGCGGCCAAAATCAGTAGCTATAACCTTCCATTGCTCGTGGAAGGTCTTGGAAAGGTACATGGATGTCAAAATTTGTTGAGTCTTGTTTGTTTCTTGAACCCTATATGTTGAATCTGCTTTTGATTTCCTTTTTAAGGTTGGGCCAGTAGTATCTCGAACCGGACCCAAAGGCACTCCAAGGTATGTAAACCGACTTACATGGTCTAATTCTCTGTTTCTTAAACCAACTTACATGGTCTAATCCTCTGTTTCTAAACCAAGTTACATGGTCTAATCCTCTGTTTCTTAAACCAAGTTACATGGTCAAATCCTCTGTTTCGTAAACCAAGTTATATGGTCTAATCCTCTGTTTCTTAAACCAAGTTAAATGGTCTAATCCTCTGTTTCTTAAACCAACTCACATGGTCTAATCCTCTGTTTCTTAAACTAAGTTATATGGTCTAATCCTCTGTTTCTCATCAGCATCAAAAACGAAGATAAAATCGACATCTATGACTTTGGAGTGATCTTGCTTGAACTTATAGTGGGAAGGCCATTGAGAGCAAAGGTTCAAGTCGATGTTCTGAAAGAGCAGGTAACGCCATTGGATATTATATATAACTAGAAACGAAATTGCGATCATCTACTTTACAAAATGTTTTCTTTTTCCGTTATTTTGTAGTTACAAGCGAGCATCTCAGCAGATGATGGGGCGCGTAGGAGCATGGTGGATCCAACGGTCCATAGAACTTGCTCAGACCAATCACTGAAGACAATGATGGAGATATGTGTAAGGTGTCTTCTCAAAGACCCTTTAGAACGGCCTTCCATTGAAGATGTTCTGTGGAATCTTCAGTTTGCTTCTCAAGTTCAAGAAGGTTGGCTTCAAAACAGCAATCCCCCGAGCATACGTGGCTCGCCTTCTCCTGCAGCTTCTTCTCTTCCTCCTCCCTCTCGTTTGCACATAACAACACTCGAATCTCCCCGAGATTCAGGTAGTTTCAAAATCGATATTGCAGTGATCAGTTGATTATTCAAAGTACTTGATTCAGAGAACATCAGATTGATGAGATTTAATTGAGTTTCTTGATCTGAGATTTATTTTGTGTTTGTGTGGCTGTAAAATTGCAGGATACGAAGAACATGAGAGGTAGAGAGACAAGAGTTTTTGTTTGGTCCGTTGTTTTGTTCTTCACTTCTATCTATATCTATCTAATGAAACATAACTTCTATCTATAGTCTTACTATATGATCATAGTTTTGCTTTTTCAAGAACTTTCGGTTGTTGTTACTGTTTTATTTGTTGGAAATGATCAAAAATGTTAATACTTTTAGTGAAGACCCAATAATTGAGTACCATGGCATCAAGGTTCAATCTTTTATATTAGTGAATCGAAGTAACTTAAACCTCTACGACAACTAGATGATATGTTTGTTTTCAATATTATTAAAAAGGAGAGATATAAATTAAAGACAAGCCTAGTTATATATATTCATCTCCGGTGAAAACCCTCGTCCGGAAATATAATCTCCGGAGGCACGGTCGTGGAACCAACAGCCACCGAAAAATCAGCACCACTCTCTTCCTCATCCTCATGCTGATCTCCTCTACCTTGTTGATGCGATGGCATTGGTTGCAACGAATGTTCTAAGTTAGCCCGAGCCATGACGTCATAGCTGGCGGCTGCTACATCCGCCGCAGCGGCAAAGCCGTTCATGGCGGCTCCGGCCAGAGTAGTGGAGGCGGAGGAGTTGTTGGAGTATTCGGGTTGTTGCATAACGACTAGTTGTTGTTGTTGTTGTTGTTGTTGGTGATGGCTTTGTTGTTGCATAACGTTGGCCATTGCGACTCTACTGTTTATTAGTTGTGATTGCACCACCGATAACTCCGCCTGTAGCGAGGCCACCTAATATTTTTTTTAGTTAAAAAATTAATTTGATCATCAAGTATTGTTACATTCTTAAAGTGAAATTTGTACTTGACGAAAAAACTAAAGAGAACAACAACAAAAATATGAAGAGAGAGGCAAATTTATTGCAACCAAAGTTATTCGAATTGACTAGTAATTTTTTTTAATCTACCGTGTTAACATTGTCAGCAGGAATGTATGTAGAACTTTAGCTAAACAAAATTATAATGAAATCATTTTTTTTATTGACGTCATGCAATAAGCTTTTATATGAACATTCGAATTTCACATTTTACTTTATACAGTATCTATAATATTGCCACATGTATATTTTGTTTACCATAAACTTAATTTGTGTCCCTCGTCCATTAATTTTAACCGTTACAAACTTTACTAAAGAACAACTAGCATTAATATGTTATGGTAATATATCACTGTTGTTGCAATAAATATTATCCATTTTTTTCTCCATTATATACGTAAATATGCAATAAATCACCTGTTGTTGGAGAGCAAGGATTGTGGAGACGCAGCCATAGACAGGATCGGAGAGTCTAGCCTGAGCCTCATAGGAGATCGTAACCACCGCGTCATGGCGACGGTTCACCGGAATATGATGCAACAGCTTCGATACGTTGCTGGCTCCAAAAACTTTATGGACCGCCGCGAACCTAGCCGCTCCTTGGTCGGACCCGAAATGTGGGGCGAAGATGCATCCACTCACACACTTCCTTCTCAAGAACTTGCAAGCCCCACATGGCGACGCCGCCCCAGTCCCCGTCGCAGCCGCCGCCATGGTTCCTCCGTCGGAAGACAATGAGGATGGCGTAGTATGTTGTGAGGTTCGTTTTCCGGCTGCTGATTTCCGGCGAGAATCTGAGGTGTTGTGGCCTCGCTGCTGATCAGCCATCACGAAATAAACATTAATAGTAGGTTTATAATTAAGTGGATGAGAATTTCTTGTAAAAGAGATGATATCTATATATATACAATGTATGTTAATCTATGTGAGTGTAACATGTGTGAATGTATATAAGTAAAAGAAAAAACGGAGGAGGCCACGTTTGTTTCATGAAGGAGGTCGCGAGGTGAATGTGGTAATCTTTCTTTTTTTTCCATTTTTCATTTTATTTTAAAATTAAATATAATAACACAACAAGTCAAAAAAATATCTATAAGTCGAATTATTTTTACCAAACTTTAGAAAAATACTGTTACACGCAAAAATAAATACGTTAGAAAACTAATTTGGTTGCATCTGACGGCTTTAAACCGTTATATATTTTTGAAAAGCTAGAAGTAAGGTTAAGTTGTATCAGTTTCGGTATTCCTTGTAAACCGGTAGAAGAAAATCTCTCAGTATTATACATGCATGTACGTAGAGAGTCTAGAGACAGTATGGTTGGTATTGTTAGGTGCAAGAAAGAGAGTATATATAGGTGCACGTGCAAAGAGAGCAAAGAGAGTGTATATATACTTATATAACTTAATAATTAGTGCTGCGTCATGCATTATAACGAAATATTCACGTTATTTCAAGATTAAGCAGACCATTTTAACATTCTTTCAAAAAAACAAGATTAAGCAGACCAAATCAAAAGATGGTTCCGTCGTCACAAAAGATTAATTAAAATGTGTACGATTGCAATGATTGATAACAAATTGTATACAACTAGCACCGTCTAAGTATAAATTAAGTATGGTATTCGTATGGATAAATAAGTATATATATATATGTCTGAGGGAGGAGAGGCACAAGAATCGTGTTGACCGTTTCGTGTGGAGTTCTTTGGAAGCTAACCAACCTTCATGTCCGTCGTGCTCCTTTTCTTCACAACATTATTCCCTTTTCTTTTCCTTACTTTGTCAAATTTCTTTTTCTATATATAATTTTCATGAAAATTATAACATTTCATTACTTCTAAATACTGTTTCACGAGACTTGGTAAGGAAGCACGGAACTTAGTACAATGTATGTATTTAAACTGTAATTGTATCTAGACTTATACCAAAAGGATGTAGATTGTTCAAGGCAGCAAATCAGCAATGTATCAGATGAGCACACCAAATAAAATAAAATAAAGAAGAGAAAAGTTGTGAGATTCTCAGGGAAAATACATTAGCTGTGAATCATTCTCAATATCTCTGTTTGATTTGTTACAAATGGTTATGATGAAATCAGGTGTTCTCACAAGGCAACGTTCCAAAACAGCAGGAACTACCACAAGAGCAATTTAACTTGCTGTCTCCGTTCTCCCCGGCAGTGACACGGACATCTCCATAGCTGAAACTTAACTCCTCATCTGCAACGATGTCCCTTGCTGCAAAGAAACAGAGCCGAGGAATCAAAGCCCCTGAGCTTCTCAACAGAACGGTGGAGAGATTTCCTCCGTCACAAGAATGGTTTATGAATCTAGCAACGTTCCCGATTCTCGTGGCGTCGATGTTCATTCTTAAGCACGCTTGTCCTGAAGGGAGGTGCTCACGTATGACCAGAAGCGCTGAAGAGAAAGATCGCGTTGACCTGAGTTTATCGTAGAGATTTTGACGTCTACGTGCTTCATCTGTTGTTAATAGCTCGCCTATAACAAGAGATAACAAAAAAAACCAGCTTCTGAGATCATTGGGACAGATCACAAAAACAATTGAAACAAGAACATATCAAAAGATCTAAACTTTCACTGTAATTTGATGGAGATATCACTATGATACAATGCTAGAATCTCGTCCCAATCCAACTAGCTAGATCTTCAAGCTCCCTATGCTTTGGAACTTAATGGCTAAGAACTAGTGCTATGTTCGTCTAATCATGTATCATGTATGTAATATTGAGCTTGATTTTCAACTTCCAAGACAAATCTTCCAAGTACTGCAATAAAACGACCAGTACACTAATCTGAAACCGAAATGGTTCTCGAGTTTTGGAGAGTTTCAGGGCAACGTTACCTAATGCTAGTGTTCCTCTAATCATGTAATGCTAATGTGCTCCTCTAATCATGTAATCTTGAGCTTGATATTCAATTTACAAGATGAGCCATAACCCAAAAAACAATCAACTTTAGCAGTTAAACGATTCCGAAAATCGAAATGGTTCCTTGAGAATGTTACCAGCGTATTCGCAGATGAATCGGCCTTTCTCGATGAGCTGATCAGCGTACAAACACCAACCTTTCTTCTCATCTCTTACGATCTTCAAACGAACCGAAATCCCCTTCTGGGTCACCCGGTTCGGACAATCCAACCCGCAACCACAACCCGACCCGCACTCGTTGGCTATCTCCTCCATGCCCGCGAGTGCTAAGCACCGGCAGCATCCTTCCTCGCATCTCTCGCACTCGCATCCATGCACCCCCTCTCCCGACTCGTCCACTAGACTCACCCCAAACCGTCCGCGTTCACTCACTGAGTCAAGAGAGAGCCTCGACGACGCGCTCTCGGATTTTGAATGCGGGATCGAATCTGAAACTGACCTGGTTCGACTAGCTGGATTATCGCCACCAGCTCCGTCGGAATTACACTCGTCACTAGCAGATCCCCACCACTGCCGCGGAGGAGGAGAGGAAGCTGGAACCTGATAAAGTGTGTAGACGAAACACGCGTATCGTTTGGAATCCACGGCGTTTCGAAACGGGATCGGGAGGTTCTCGAGGGACCGTGCAGCGTCGAGGGATCGGCGGGAGGTTAGGGATTGCGAAATTAAGGATAAGGCTTTACAGGTTTGAGATACGGCGGCGAGCTCTTGAAGGTTTAGCCATGGAAGAACCAAATTCGCACATCGGAGAAATGGATCGGTGGCCGGAATAATCTCTTGGGCTTCTTCTCCGAGACGAGGCTTCTTCGGTGGTGGTAGTAACTCTTGCTGCATTTTCTCTCAAACCCCAAAAAAAAAAAAAAAAAAAACCAAATTTTTTTCTTGTTTTAATCAGAGAAAAATAAACAAAACGTAATCCGTATCCGACCGTTCGTCTCAGTTTAACTAAAAGCCGCGTTGAGAAGTCAAGACTGTCATTTTTTTCCCAGGAAACAAAAAAAACTCTCATAAGAGAATCCGTCTGAGAAAAAAATTTGGGGGTGAAAATAAAGAAACAAAGGCGAGGAATTTCTGGGAAAATGCCGTCGCCACCGACGACGACTTCTCTCTCGGTGACGCAAACCATAAACGGATCGCACAGCTTCACAATCAAGGGGTACTCTCTGGCGAAAGGAATCGGGATCGGGAAACACATCGCCAGCGACACTTTCACCGTCGGCGGTTACCAGTGGGCTATCTATTTCTATCCCGACGGCAAGAACCCGGAGGATGGCTCCGCCTACGTCTCCGTCTTCATTGCCTTGGCTAGCGACGGCACCGATGTTCGGGCTCTCTTCGAGCTCTCCCTGCTTGATCAGAGCGGGAAAGGGAAGCACAAGGTCCATAGCCACTTCGATCGTGCTCTTGAGAGCGGTCCTTATACCCTCAAGTATCGCGGGAGCATGTGGTTCGTCTCCCTCAATTTTGCCTCCGATTTGTCTTTTTACCTCCTGCTAGGGTTTGCTCAAGCAATTCCCTTCCTTTTCTCTTCATCAATTTTACTATTTCTAGGGATATTTTGAACTTGTTACAAAATTGGAATCTTTGGGATCGAAAAAGGGTTTAGATTGTGGAAACTATGAGTTTGAGACAATGGTTTGTCTGAGTTAAGCAACATAGTATTGTCTTTTGCACTCAATAGCTTCTGTTGTTTGGTCTGCCTGTATGAGTTAATCGCCCATTGTCTTCTCCTTGGCTTTGATTGGAATCATTCCCTCATTTTATCTGTGTAACTTCCCTGTCTCCCTCTGCAGTTTTTTAATCTCTGTTTTGTTTGGTTACAGGGGATACAAACGCTTTTTCAGAAGACTTAACCTGGAAACATCTGATCATCTGAAGGACGATTGTTTGAAAATCAATTGCACCGTGGGAGTTGTGGTTTCGGAAATAGATTGCCCACGGTTACATTCTATCCATGTCCCTGCGTCTGATATTGGGTCTCATTTCGGGATGCTTCTGGAGAACGAGGACGGTTCAGATATAACTTTTAATGTCTCTGGTGAAAAGTTCCGTGCTCACAGGCTGGTCTTGTCTGCTCGATCTCCTGTCTTTGAAAGCGAGTTTCTTGATGTTACCGGAGAAGAAGATCGTGATATCGAAGTCACTGACATGGAACCTAAGGTTTTCAAGGTAAACTCTCTTCTCTTAACCTTTTTTCACACGAAGTATGTAACATCACACACTGCTTTTCTCTCTAAACTCTTGATGCATTTTGCGGTGAAGGCTTTGCTCCATTACATATACAAGGATGCTCTCATCGAAGATGCAGAGTCATCATCGTCTTCCGGTTCATCTCTTGGTCCATCAGCAGCAGACACATTAGCTGCAAAGCTGCTAGGAGCCGCTGATAAATACAAATTGCCTAGGCTCAGTTTAATGTGCGAGTCAGTGCTCTGTAAGGATATATCAGTAGATTCCGTCGCAAACATCTTAGCCCTCGCTGACCGCTACAATGCTTCAGCCTTGAAATCCGTTTGTCTGAAATTCGCAGCGGAAAATCTGATAGGTAAAATGATCTTTGCCTTATGTCTCATATAACTGAAGTTGATTTTCGCATTAACCTCAAGTACTTGCACAACCCTTTTTTTTTTTGTTTTGATGCGCAGCTGTAATGAGGTCAGATGGGTTTGACTATCTAAGGGAACACTGTCCGTCACTTCAGTCTGAGCTTCTGAAAACAGTTGCGGGATGCGAAGAGGAGATAAGCGGAGGAGGAGGGAAGACGAGAAGCGTGTGGGGTCAATTCTCAGACGGTGGACCTGAGACGAACGAGAGAAGCGTAAGGCAACAACAGGCTTGGGGAGAGATCAATGGAGGCGGATCAGAGAGAAGCCAGAGTGTTTGGGTTCAAGTCGTTAACGCTAATGCAAGCGGTAGAAACAATAATGACAATAACAGTGATGACCCCATGGCTGAAGATTGAGCAAATAAAGGGGTAATAAAATGCCAAAAGGAGAATCCGAGTAAGCTGATGTAGGGGATCAGACATTAGTGTTTTTGATGCTGTGAGATCTTGCAACTTGAGTGTTTCTTGATGCTGTGGCTGAGCAGACCCGATTCCAAGCAAGGAGCATTAGGAGACGGTTCAGTGTTTGTTGTATTACTTTTTTTTTGTGTGTGTGTAATAATAGTTGGAGTCACTATAAACAAACACTCATCATCAATATAATATAACCTCCGTAAGATTTTTTTTTAGTTTTGCAGATATGAGAAAAAAAAAAGAACTAATCTGATAAATGTTTTGAGAATACTTTTTATGATTCCAAACATTAATTTGTAATAAGATCAAATCCCTACAAAACAAAACCTGAAAGGCTTTGTTAAAAGCAACCATTTGCCAGCAAAATTTTGGCACTATATACTTTTAATTCAATCAATTAAGATTCAATTGTTTTGGCACCTTACTCCTTAGCTATAGACATTTATCTGATTCTGCCGCTAATTCAAGTCTAACGAAAACCTGTTTAATGTTTTTAATTTGAGGTTAGATAAATTTCGTTTAAGTTCACAAATCAGGAGTTGTCATAGCATTAATTTGTGTATCAAAAGAAACCAATCACAAACGTCACCTATCATTTTCAAGAATCTTACCAACGATAAAAGGATGATGATCTTGATTCCCCATCTCACAAAAGTTTGAATCGTCCACGTCTCTCCAAGTATATCTCCGGCTCCGATACACCGCGTCGGATCTTTTTAGGAGAAAAAGGTTTCATTTTTGTTGGATTTTCTTTCTGAGAGAGAAACCAGATGTGTTTGCTCTGAAGCGATTAGAAAATCAAATCCGTGTGGAGTCTTCTTCCTTTTCTCATCTGCGGGTTGGTTGATATGAACGAGAACGGTGGTTCATGGGGTTTGAACAGTCTTGTGAGAAGGAAACAAGTTGATTCTGTTCACCTGAAAGATAACGATGGACGTCATCAGCTTGCCAAGAAATTAACCGCCGTTGATCTTGTCGCTATTGGTATATCATAAAGATCCAAACTTTATCCTTTCTTTTACCATCAATCTCTACCTTTTATCCCCTTTCTTTGTGAAACCAATCACCAGTTTTGTTCCTGGAGATGTTGATTCTGCTCCTTTTGCACTGTTAAATCGTCAGGAGTTGGAACAACGATTGGAGCAGGAGTGTATATACTAGTGGGAACAGTAGCTAGAGAACACACGGGACCTGCTCTTGCTGTGTCGTTCTTCATCGCTGGAGTAGCAGCAGCTCTCTCGGCGTGTTGCTATGCTGAGCTCGCTTCTCGCTGTCCATCTGCTGGGAGTGCTTATCATTACGCATACATATGTCTTGGAGAAGGGTATATAGATGGGTTTTAATGTCAAAAGAGTTACTGAAACATTCATTGCCTGAACATGTGTACTCGTTGTTCGTCTTAAAGCTGATGCTATCGATGTTCTTAATTCATCTTAGGATTGCTTGGTTGGTTGGTTGGGCACTGGTGTTGGATTATACGATTGGTGGTTCGGCCATTGCCCGTGGCATATCTCCAAATCTGGCATCTTTTTTTGGAGGCCTGGACAAACTTCCTGTGTTCTTAGCTCGACAAACCATACCCGGGCTTGGTATTGTGGTTGATCCGTGTGCAGCACTTTTGATTTTGATTGTCACAGTACTACTATGCTTTGGGATAAAGGAGGTACTTCACTCAAAACTTTTGTAATGCAGTTCATTAGTAATGTTTTGTAATGTTTTGTAATGCAGCACTTTTGTAATGTTTGTCTTCACAGAGCTCAGTAGTACAAGCAGTTGTAACATCAGTGAATGTTTGCACATTGGTTTTCATCATAGTCGTTGGTGGATATTTAGCTTGCAAGACTGGATGGGTTGGATATGATCTTCCGAGTGGGTAAGTAAATAAACCCATTCTTCTTCTTCTTCTTCCATTGAGCTAAGTTTTGTGTAGAATAACTTATTTCCTAAAGATCAATGTTTAAGGGTTCTTGTATTTACAGGTATTTCCCTTTCGGATTAAATGGGATACTCGCCGGATCTGCTGTAGTATTCTTCTCATACATTGGATTTGATACTGTAACTAGTACGGCTGAGGAGGTACACATAACTTGTCTTTACTATCATACTTTTCGAATCATAGACGACGATGTTGGTCTTAGTATAGTAAACTCCTTTCATAACTCGGCCAATTTATTCTGTTAAACGTTTGGTATTGCCACAACAGGTTAAGAATCCTCAAAGGGATCTTCCATTGGGCATTGGGATTGCGTTACTGATATGCTGCATTTTGTATATGCTTTTATCAGTAGTTATTGTTGGATTAGTCCCATACTACACATTGAATCCTGATACTCCTATCTCCTCTGCATTTGGAGACAGTGGGATGCAGTGGGCAGCGTAAGCATGATACATCTCTTAAGACTCAAATTTCTCTCGATTTCATGAGTGAAGTATATACACACACTTGCTTTTTTTCTCTTATTATTCCTCAGGTACATCTTAACCATTGGTGCAATAACTGCTCTGTGCGCGAGTTTGTTGGGTTCACTTCTGGCTCAGGTACTAACCAATTCTTATTGTTCTGGAAACCCAAATTCACAAATTTTATTGGCTGTAAAAGTAGCTCAATGCTAGGTTTCTTGTGGGCCTGGGTAATGCACACATGTCATTTTGACAGTGCTTTGTGGTTTCTTTTATCAGCCGCGGATCTTCATGGCAATGGCTAGGGATGGATTGTTGCCAGCTTTCTTTTCAGAAATTAACCCAAGAACTCAAGTACCGGTGAAAAACACAATAGTGATTGGTGTGCTGGCCGCTTCACTGGCATTTTTCATGGATGTTTCACAGTTGTCCGAGATGGTAAGCTGATCTTTGCCTACACTACATGTGTCAATGTCCAATGATGGGATTCTTAACTACAATTAGTGGCAAATAGAGGTTTCATTGACTAGTATAGTTTTGATATTTGAGTTGAGACGGGTTGAAACTCATTTCTATTATGATAAAAAGATCCTTCTCTTTGTAACTCACATCGGTACTCTTTCATCAGGTTAGTGTAGGCACTCTGATGGCATTCACTGCTGTAGCAGCCTGTGTGTTAGTTCTCAGATATGTACCACCAGATGGAGTTCCCCAACCATCCTCCTCTCAAACTTTGACTGATAGCGATGAAATTAGAGCGCAAACTGAAAATTCTCTTGTGGGTGCTATAGAATCGTCTGATTCTCCTCTACTTGGCGATGAAAGAGCTTGGGGTACTAAAATGTGCTCATCCACGTAGTTACCCGTTGTATATGTTATTCAAATGACTCTGTACCAAAATCCGCATTTCATATGGTTTTCATTGAACAGATGAAAAGTATTTTGGAAAGAGAAGGAAAATTGCTGCCTGGAGTATAGTTCTTGTGTGCGTAGGTGTGTTAGGCCTTGCATCAGCAGCTTCTGCTGAGCGTCTTCCAAGGTCTGGTTCATTATCTGATATCTTATGTCTGTATACATGCGTCTAGTTGAGTCTTCAGTATATCTAAACAAATAGAAATAGACTTAATTTAAGTTGAGGTAGATAGCTTGAACGATGTCACTGCTACTTGCGTGTCGAGCTCAAGTAGAAGTCCAACCCTGTTTGTGAAACAGTTTTCAACTCTAGTGTTGAAAGATTTACATGTTGTTTTAAAAAAATATATTTGTATGGTTTATATCCTCTAACGGGTTTTCTTGACCTTCGACAGTTTTCCCCGGTTCACTATGTGTGGTGTCAGTGCAGCCATTTTACTTGGCAGTTTGATTACTCTTGGTTACATCGATGAGGATGACGAAAGGCACAACTTTGGACACCAAGGAGGTAAGGTCTGAGGCTTATAGCCTTTTGTTCCCTATTACAGCATTGAGCTTTGGTTGGTTCGTCACTTTCTCCAAAGGTGCTGGTTGCTCAATAGTCTCTATATATCGGCTGAGTTTGTTGTGAATCTGGCTAGGACGGTTTTTAGTTAGGTTTTGGCAACAACCATATTCCTTAATCTATACGCTATTCATTTTAAACTGACAGTATATATATGATTCGGTTTCAGGGTTTCTCTGCCCATTCGTCCCATATCTCCCTGTTCTCTGCATTTTGATCAATACCTACTTGATCATCAACATCGGGTGAGTGACCATCGTGAATGTGTGTATGAATGAAGATTGGATCTTTCTAATACGTTGTGGGTATTTGTAATGGCAGAGCTGGGACATGGATCAGGGTCTTGATATGGCTGCTTATTGGAAGCATGATCTATCTCTTCTATGGCCGGTCTCACAGCTTACTGAACAATGCAGGCTACGTTCCAACGACTTGTACAGGGAAAACAACAGATCATCTTGCTTGAGATGTGTGTGATTCATAGCAAAGCTGAAGGGGATCGAGCTCAAGCTTTGTTGTAGCATTTGAAGAGAGTTACACAGATGGCACAAAAGTAACACACAGGCCAACAATATATACAAACAACATTTCATGTATGTACATTGTTAGTCATTCTAAATGTACATCTCATATAATGCCAATTTTATCTTTATCTTTTTCCATTTCCATTTTGACATTTTCGGCTAAATGATCTTAGGACTATTAAACATGTCAATTCCATCTACTTCCTCGAAACATCAACGAAAATTTGGGAAAATGCACACTCTACACAAATTTAAAACAGCTAGTTTCCTTTTCTAAATATTGTAGTTTAAAAAACAATCCCTTTTCAATTATATTTTGACATAATTTAAACATAAAAAAGGAAATAATAAATATTTAACATATAAATAATTAAAAAGGATATAGTTTTGACAACTACACAAGCATAAAAATAAACCCTTCAACTATAATAAGGAGCAGTTAGCAAAAATCTATAATCATAATGCTGCCGAAGGAGGAGATGATCGGTTCCGAGGAAAAGACCTACACCGATTCAAAGTGTGGGATGCTTCTCCCTGATCTGGTTCGGTTTTGATGTAAACTAGATGAGATAAATTGAGTTTGAATTGAACCTTATTTTCTTTTGAACCAACTTTTTTTGTTGTCTTTTGTTAATAATGGTTAACAGAGTACAATATGTTCTCATGAGGACATAAATAGGGTGAAGCCTGGAAAGGTTAGAACTTTTTCGTAGAATTCCCTTCCCAAACATGGAAAGATGACAACTTTCTGGCAGAAGCTTATCCAACCTAATTGCCTTTTTGCAGATAATCATCAAAGGGAATGCAGTATCAGGGATAGAGAGGCTGGAAACATCACAGTGGAAAACGTGCATGGAGGAAGCTTCTAGAATCCAAAAACCCGGAAAGCATTACGAAGACAAAGAGGTTAAGATTAGGGCACTAGAAGAAGAAGGTCCTAAGCTTGTCCCCGACCTGATTCGATTGGTCTTGGAACGCTTGAACTTTGTAGCTTTTCTTAAAGCAAGGTCCATTTCTTCAGACTGGTATTCCACCGCGGAGTTATGCATCCGAAAAACCCCAACTCCATGGCTCATCCTCTTCCCAAGCAATCACTTGGACAGCAAGGCTAAGTTGTTTGATCCTCAAGAAAACAAAACCTACACAGTAAACGATGTCGGGTTCGATTTCGCTAGGAGTCGTTGTCTGGCGAATTCCGGTAGCTGGTTCCTGATGTTGGACCATAGAACCGATTTTCATCTTCTGAACCTGTTTACTCGACAGAGGATTCGTCTTCCCTCTATAGAAGCAATCCATGGGGGGCAGCTGAGGCTCAAGAGGATCAATGACTATGATTTCACGGTTACGACTCTCGGCTCCAAAGCTCGCATACGATTCTCTTCAGGGATAAGCAACATCATGGGAATACACAATGCTGTTTTGTGGGTAGATGAAAGAAGCAGAGATTATTTACTTGTGTGGAGTTTAGATAGTTTTTTCGCATATCACAGGAAAGAAGGCTATGTCAACAATAGCTGGAAAGTGTTTGAACCTTTAGAGCATCGAGGCTGTGTGGATAATATGGTGTTTAAAGAAAGCAAGCTTTACGTGCTTAGTGGAAGCCGACACATCACTGTCTATGATTTCTCTGGTGGTGGTTCTCCATTGGAATGTGCAAGTTTCTCAGCTCCGGATTGTTACCTTGCAGAGTATTTCCACAACCTTGCTGTGACTTTGTCTGGGCAAGTTTTGATCATTTCAAGAATGGGGAGAGACTTCTTGAACTTCTACAAGATGGATCCTGAATCATCAAAATGGAGTATACTCAAGTGTCTAGGGGAAGAAGCATTGATTTTGGATCAAGGAATAACGGTTGCAGCCAAAGATGGAGTTTTGAAAAATTGCATATATTACAGCAATGATCAGCATCATAGACTGTGCAATGATACTCATCATTGCTATACTCTGTGCAATGACATCTGCGTCTCCAATATTCGGACCAAGAAAGTAGTTCAAGAGTTTCAACATCTTACTGCTTTCAATGGTGCTCGTTGGTTTTTCCCCACTTTTGGTGCCAAATGGTCGCTTTAAATTACCAAACTTTGACTTCTGGCAAGGGCTTTACTCAAAGGTCTATCAGATTTTGCAAAAGAAATGAAATGTCGTTTTAAATTGTGGAGATTTATAGATTTTCGGCTAAATAATCTTTACGACTATTAAATATGCCAGTCTACTTCCTCGAAATGCAGAGAATATAGGCATAGTAGATATTAAAACATTGGACAAAAATCATCTAAATATGAATTTGTTCAATAAAATTAAAAGATACAAAATAACCTAAACGGGCAGTACCAACGAGAGTGCAAGAGAAAAAAAGGATCTAATGTTCTGAAAATCTCCCAACATAAGTAAGTTCTCTTCAAAATGTTATCCTCCATGCTAGACTTGCCAACATATATATATGAACAGCTTCAAGAAACTGCAAAGAAAAAGACATTATGAAAACTATCTGCTACATGTTTCACCCCCTCCCAAACAAAAAAGCAAGATTCAAGATTTCTCAAGTCGCACCTGAGCTTCTGTTGGAAGAAACTCTCCTCCTTTCGTAATGAGTCTAATTCACCAGAAACAGATATCAACACTGAGCCGCTTTGCATTCACTAGCTCACTGTAGCTTCGCCATTGACTAAGCTGCCTCTCTCTTCTTCTTCGTTGCTTTTCATTGGCTTGTCCCCACCGGATGCTCTCCTGACGTCTTTCTTCTTCCAGACAAGACCATCCCCAGATGCAACTTTTGATGCTCCTGCAGCTGCACGGTCCTTGGATGAAGTATTTACATATTTCCTTGGTGAACCCTTGTCTCTGGTAGAATCACCCGTCGGGGGTGGTTTCTGACTGTCTTTGTCTGTCTCTGATTCCGGGAGTAAAGCTCGTACACTAAGCCGAAGCTGACCTTTTTCATTCACCTGCATTATCAAATGTTTATTTGTTCAGCAACTCATCTACTTCTCGTTTCCAATTAGTTATAGTCTCTATGACGCGAGAACTCGCTGACCTCTATCAGTTTGACATCAATGCGGTCTCCTATTTGAAAGGCCTGAAAGGAAAGGACAATGTTCTTAAGTCAAAGCCTCAAGAAAAGATGAAACTTTCTATAGAAGGAAGGGATCAATGGGTTACACTCACATCCTCTGGTTTCGCAAGCCATTCAGCACTCAGCTCACTGATATGGCAAAGTCCTTCTCGTCCAGGCGCAATCTCTACAAAGGCACCATAAGGAGCCATTGATTTGATTTCACAATTCCTGATAAAAAAAAAACAGAGGTCAGAATCCAAATCCATGTAAGGTGGAGAAAAAACAAAATTTGGATAGAAAAACATACTTGTAGATATCACCAACAGCAGGAACCATTGTCATTCCACTGATAATCGCTTTTGCCCTATCCAGACTCGCCATATCGTTTGCCATAATTTTGACCTTGACAGAGAAAAAAAAATGTTAAAAAAGTTATGATGATGATGATGAAACACACTCAACGGACAAAAACACTGAAGAAGAATGGAAAAACAAAATCCTGTAAATCTCACAATTCCATCATCCTGCATATCAATGGCTTCGACTCCGGATTCTTCAATGATGCTCTTTACTTTCTTCCCACCAGAACCAATAAGGAAGTATACTTTGCTTGGATGGACCTGCAGCACATGAAAAGCCAACACTCTTTTAGTTCAGGGCAATAAGGCGTTAGGCTGAGTAATTATTGGGAAACGAGTTGAAGCCAACAAACCTTCATTATATGAATCAAAGGAGCGTATTTTGAGAGACTCAACGTAGGAGGCGGTGAGCACTTTGCCATTTCCGCTGCATAGAGAGGACCAGTAAATTACACATTTTTTGAAAGATTTATTAGTTCCACTATCTAGAAACTAAATATCCCAGACTGTATGAATAATTCATGAATTCCCCTGAAATTATTACCAAGAATATGGCGACGCCCAGCTTTCGCCTGGAACAGAGCCTTTTCCATAATCTGTAAAGTGATTCCTCCAACCTAGTTCATGGTTAAAGAAAAGAAAAAGATGTTACCACCAACAGATATATCTCTATTGCCAATTAAATCCATTTCGGCAGTGTAAATCATGAAACGGGTCATAACCTTAATGTCCATCTGAAATGCGGTAACACCATCTTCATTGCCAGCAACCTGTAGACAAAGAAAATCAAAATCGTCAGCATTCAAGTCAATGCAAGGGGTCTTCAGGAGCATCCCTTATATTTTCTGACCTTAAAGTCCATGTCACCGGATGCATCTTCAGCTCCAGTGATGTCAGAAAGGATCAGGGGAGATCCATCACCGCCAAATTCTTCGGTATCCCAAACCAATCCCATCGCTATGCCAGCAACAGAACATTTGACTGGAACTCCAGCATCTTGCAAAGCCAAGCAACCGCCACAGACAGATGCCATGCTGTTATGATTGCAGATTAATATTAGTAGCAAGCACAAATCTTTCACTCAGACAAACTTGGCACGCGCGATTCAACAGCCAGAGAAAGAAAAAAAAGCTGACCTAGAAGAACCATTGCTTTCAAGAATTGTACTTTCAACTCGTATTGTGTAAGGAAAATCATCATCACTAGGCAGAATGGTCTCCAATGCTCGCTCTGCTAGTGTCCCATGACCTACTTCTCTTCTACTGGGTGCTCCAATTCGCCCAACTTCACCAACAGATGATGGAGGAAAAGTGTACTGAAACATCACAAGGAGTAGCTTAGAAAATCTCTCTAAGCTCAACAAGAAAATGAAAGAAAACCATTAAAGTAACAGAGTGAAAGAAGAAAAATTATTGAAGAGACCTGAAGATAGAACCTCTTGTATTCATCAGAACCCTCAAGGTTGTCAATTCTCTGCGCCATTTGTTTATCACCAAGAGTAACAACTGCAAGTGCCTGCAAGAATCATACAACAATGTTTCTTTTTTAACGTATGAGAATAACCAACTTCCTTAACAGATTGGACAGAGGATCGAAATATGTAATAGCCACGCAGGAATTCCCCTGAAGACAACATTTCTATGTTACCTGCGTTTCACCACGAGTGAAAAGAGAACTGCCATGTGCCCTTGGAAGCATTCCACATCTTGAATTAATTGGACGAATCCCGTCCAGAGTTCGACCATCACTTCTTTTACCACCCTATGGATGGGAATAAAGGAAAGAAGAAAGATGTAAAGTGGAATCAGAAAATGCTTCAGTGAGTAAGAACATTTCCTATCAACATATACGTAATTGGTAGAGATGCCAAGAAATCAGATATTGTACCTCAACAATTCGCCTCCGCAGGAGCTTTGACGATACTTCTTTGAAGACCAGCTTCACATCTACTTCAGAAAATAGCTAGACAAAGGCAATCACTAGATTGTTAGTATAAAAGAAGAAAAAAAATGATTAAGAGAAAAGGTCAGTTTCAAGCAACCATGTAGAAAAAGGTTACGAGACTCACTAAAGGGATAGGTTTCCGAGGGATGGGCCTTATGTGAACATCACCTTGGTCCACCTCACCTTCAGGAACAACTTCCTCATCTTCGTCTTCATCCTCTAACAATTCTGGTTGTGCTTCTGTTGTTCCAAATGCTACCTCATCAATGACATATCCCTTTTCAGTCAGTATTGTCAAGACCTTTTCTTCCAGGGACGATATTGCTTTCCTTCTTGGTATTTTGCTCTTAATCTGTAGCGCTTTGGTCAATTCCTCACCAGCAAGTTCCTGTGTACAGAAAACAGTTGATTTGGCATCATATTTACGAGCTAACATCACCGCAAAACAAAAGAGAAACAAGGTGAATATAACATACTTTCACATGCTTGTATAGCTCAGGAGGTGGTAATCTGATAGCGTCAAGCATTTTGGCCTTTCCATATTTCTTTGCTAAAGCTTCAATAGCACTGCACGTAGCCTGTACAGCATCCTGGTAAAAAAAAAAACAAGAGAAAAGCGTCACATTTAGTACTTAATCCAGATTTTCGAAATTTGAAAATAATCTCAATTAAACTTTGAAGTACCTGTCCAACTTTAACAGCTTGGACCAGCATTTCCTCAGGAAGAAAGTTACTGTATCCCTGCAATACCGAATATTTGCAATAAGCAATGGCTAAAAGTCAAGATAAAACAGACGAAGAGGAAAAGAGTAAACTTTGACCTCTATAGTTAAAATTGCAGAATCTGTTCCAGCTAGAAACAAATCTAGCTGTGATTCTTCCATCTCCTTCACGGTTGGATTGACGATAAATTCGCCCCCAATGAGACCGACCCGAACTCCTGCAATCGCTTTTGAGTTCGGTACTTCCGAAAGAGCTCTGTGGTAGTCATTCATTACAAAGCCATGTCAATGTCGCCAACACACAAAAAAAAACTTCACTCATATAAAAACGAAAAACAAGATGACCCTACATACACAGCTATTCCAGCAGATGTAACAGCTAAAGCATCAGGTGCGTGTAACCCATCGTAGCTCAAAACCTGAAACCACAAACAAGCAACAGTTCAGTTACCAAGGAGATGAATACATGCATCTTCATATATGTTTTAAGTGGTTACAAAAATGCAAAGTAGTATCCAAGGAGAAGGAACATACCCAGGACAATATCTGGGTTTCGTGGTAGAAACCTTTGGGCATAGTGGGGCGTAGAGGTCTATCGATCAACCTACAAATCAGAACCTGCATAGACACCAAAAGTAGAAACATGTTAAGACGGATGAAGAGATAGAAAGAAGAAAAAACACAAATAGTATAGCGTTAGTATATACCTCGTGATCTTTGGTTCTCCCTTCTCGCTTAAAAAATCCACCACTGTGCCATAAGAAGACAGAAGTTCCAATCAGATCACCATTTAGGCTATGACCAAGACTGCGGAAGGATTGAAAAACGCTTACCTTGTTCGGCCTACAGCTGAGAATCGCTCCTGATAGTGAACATAGAGGGGAAGAAAATCTGAGGGCTCGCTAGGGACATCAGATAGACAAACGGATGTGTAGACAATCTACAGTGACAAGTAGACACACTCAAAATTAGATGTGCAGCACCCACCACAGCACACGAAAAAAGTTTAAAGCTTTGGCATTTGAAAGAAGCAGACTTACAGTTTCTCCATCTGTCACCGTAACTGAAGAACTTGCTTGTCTCCCCATAAGACCAGTCTCAACTAAAATCTATACAGTAGACAAAAGAGAGAAGGTAAAACTTAGAGGTTCAAAACATACAACTAAAGCAGCGAACTTTACTTCTCTACTATAGAGTTAAGGGTCACAAATTCGAGCAAAACAAACTCATTACCTAACCATTCTAATACTTTACAAAACCACTCATCTCCGAATCAAACTGAAAGCAAACGGGTACAGCTTTTTGAAGAGATTCTACCTCTCTATTTCCGAAAGGAATCTTGACGGAAATGTGATTAGGGAAAGCCAGAGTCCCATCGCCGACGGAATCAGCGTCCTCGGAAACATCTGGCGTGACTAGAGCTCTGACACGAAATCTACTGGCGCTACTTCTTGCGGAGAGAAGAGAGAGCGAGCACAAATTTGCTCCGCCGCTGCGTTGGCCGGAGTGGAAACGAGTGAAATTTCGGGAGCGGCAAAGCCTACTCCGGCGAATTGGCCAGAAGTGTGCAGTGCCATGAAGCGCGTTACTGGGACTCGTCAGCATCATCTTCTGCTTCTTTCACACACACCGAGCACCCAACGACAGAGAGAGAAAGACAGACTTTATCCGTTCCTTGCAGACGCGGGAGCGTTTCTGGCGACCGTGTGAGTTTTCAGGCGTAGCGATTGTAGTTTTGAGTTTCGAACCGAACCGGCTATTATACTGAATTGGTATTTTGTTCAAAACCCGTAATCAGTTTTATACCGAACAGATAGGTCTGATTTCTAGAAATTTTGAGAAATAAAAAAAATTTATTAGCTTTCATGATATTAGGAGATTGAAATTTATTAGTTTTCATGACAATAGGATTAGATTCATAACATGGAAATAGGAATAGCCAGTTAAACCGATTGGTTTTGGCTCTATGCCAAAAGCCAGACCCGGTTGTTATACTAAACTGGTATTTCCAAAACCAAAATAATCAGTATTATACTGAGCAAATAGTTCGGTTTTGATGTACCAGAGAACTAACCGATTGATTCCAACTTTTGATTCGATAGACAATTAACTCTGTGAAATTGCGTGACAACTCCCTGATTTGTGAATTTATCGTTCGAAATTTGTCTAATAAATATAGTTATGATAGTAACAGGTTTATTTCTTAAAAATGAACTATTTAAAAATAATTGAATTATAGTTATAATACAGTATATGATCGTGCCCAAATAATATGATAGTGTACATTAGTTTAACATTAATCAGTCAAGTAGAGAACATAACCACTCGTCTAAGAAAACGATGTGGAAATGTGAAATTTATACATTCTTAACTTTTTGAGTATGGGTTTTAAAGCCTTTTTGATTCCAAAACACCTAAATATGTGTACATAAGAAGATAAGTATCGAAACATCATGTAACAAAATAGTAATTAATAATAAATCCGCCAAAAGACAAAACTTGATAGTATATAGAGATTCAGAGTGATCATTTAGCACTAAAAGTGGGGAAAAACCAACGAGCATCGGAAGCAGTAAGATGTGGAAACACTTGGACTTGTTTCTTGGTTTGAATATTGCAGACGCAAATAACGTTATAATCGTTTTTTAGTCTACTCCCAATTCTTCTGTAAAGCTGATCATTGCTATAATATATGCAATTTTTCAAAACTCCATCTTTGGCTGCAACTGTTATTCCTTGATCCATAAGCAATGCTTCCTCTCCTAGAGATTTGAGTATGCTCCATTTAGATGATTGTCCCGATACTTGAAATAATCAAAACTTGTCCAAACAAAGTCACCGCAAGGTTGTGGCAATACATTATTGGACGGTAAAAATCTGGAAGTGAGAAACTTGCACATTCCATTGGAGAATCACCACCAGAGAAATCATAGACAGTGATGCGTTGCAATTCACTAAGCACGTAAAGCTTGCTTTCTTTGAACACCATACTGAGAGGTCGAACCACTTTCCAGCCTTGGTTTTTGAGAGGTTGAAACACTACAAACTACCTTCTAAAGTATTATTTAATATAACTTTTATATTTGTATTTATAGATTATTATAAAAATAAAGTTTTTAACAAATTTTGGTTTCAGAAAAAAGTTTGTGAAATATTAAAACAATATATATACAAACATATCAATATTTAGAAAAACTAATCAATATTTAAATATTACAGTTAACTATGTATATAAAGAAAAATTTATACTCGTACATATGTGCGAGCAACCACCTAATTGTTGATTGAATAACATGGATTTTTAATTATTTTAATTACTTTACATAAATTTCATGTTAATAACATCAATTTATATTTTTAATATGTGTGATTCAATATTTTTTATTTTATATATGTTCTCAAAATGCACATGGCTATAATTCCCTCCCCTGTTATTGAATTGATATAATTAAATTATAAGAGGTTGCTCAAGATATGGAACGTCGAGGTGTCAACTTAAAATATAGATACTCACTCCACAGTTACATTGCAGGGTATCTTTCTAAAACAACTATTTAGTAGTATCATTTGAATAATAAAGTTTTCTTTTGTTGGCAAGTGGCAACTACTGTAACTTTCTACGTTTTATTTTATTGATAGGTCACATGCAGATTGCCTTGGCTTTTTGGAACAAACCCTAAAACCAGAAGCACTAAGAGATATGTACCTCTTTGAGCACTTCGATCAGCTATCTCGTCTCATCAAAAACCGATGCACCATCAAGGAAAACTAAGAGATATTGACGATCAGGTGCCTTGCTAAGGAGCCTCCACCGTGCCTTGCTAGATCCTTAAACTGATCAGTGTTTCTCCTCCAATCACGAGTCTCGTTCACTTTTATACTTCTGTCCCGTCTCTCCGTGATGTTTTGGTTTGTTTCTGACCAGGAATTGTGTTCTGACAGTATGCATCTGTTGTCTCTTCTCTAGTTCATAGATGGTTTTAAACTACAGTTTAGAATTCTTATTGGCGGTGACTGTTACCTTCATTTTTTACCATACTTTATCGGACTTAAGCTGTACTATAGAGTCAAAACCTTCCTCATTTTTTTTTCAAACAAAAAAAAAATGCTGTACTATAGAGTTAAGGGTCACAAAGTCGAGCAAAACAAACTCATCACCTAACCATTCTAACACTATACAAAACCACTCATCTCCGAATCAAACTGAAAGCAAATGGGTACAGCTTTTTGAGGAGATTTTTACCTCTCTATTTCCGAAAGGAATCTTGACGGAAATGTGATTAGGGAAAGCCAGAGTCCCATCAGACGCGGGAGCGTTTCTGGCGACCGTGAGAGTTTTCAGGCGTAGCGATTGTAGTTTTGAGTTCCAAACCGAACCGGCTATATTATACTGAATTGGTATTTTTTTCAAAACCCGTAATCAGTTTTATACCGGACAGATAGGTTTGATTTCTAGAAATAAACATTTCTTGAATTATTGATTACTATATTGAAATTTATTAGTTTTCATGATAAAATAGGATTATATTCATAACATGGAAATAAGACGAGCCAGTTAAACCGATTGGTTTTGGCTCTATGCCAAAAGCCAGACCCGGTTGTTATACTAGACTGGTATTTCCAAAACCAAAATAATCAGTATTTTACCGAGCAAATAGTTCGGTTTTGATGTACCAGAGAGCTAACCGATTGATTCCAACTTTTGATTCGATACAGAATTAACTCTGTAAATTTGCGTGACAACTCCCTGATTTGTAAATTTATCGTTCGAAATTTGTCTAATAAATATAGTTATAATAGTAACAGATTTATTTCTCAAAAATGAACTATTTAAAAATAATTGAATTATAGTTATAATGCAGTATATGATCGTGCCCAAATAATATGATAGTGTACATATTAGTTTATAAAATGTGGCGGTTTAACATTAATCAGTCAAGTAGAGAACATAACCACTAGTCTAAGAAAACGATGTGGAAATGTTAAATTTATATACATTCTTAACTTTTTGAGTATGGGTTTTAAAGCCTTTTTGATTCCAAAACACCTAAATATGTGTACATAAGAAGATAAGTATCAAAACATCATGTAACAAAATAGTAATTAATAATAAATTTGCCAAAAGACAAAATTTGATAGTATATAGAGATTCAGAGCGACCATTTAGCACCAAAAGTGGAGAAAAACCAACGAGCATCGGAAGCAGTAAGATGTGGAAACACTTGGAATTGTTTCTTGGTTTGAATATTGCAGACGCAAATAACGTTATAATCGTTGTTTAGACTAGTCCCAATTCTTCTGTAAAGCTGATCATTGCTATAATATATGCAATTTTTCAAAACTCCATCTTTGGCTGCAACCGTTATTCCTTGATCCATAAGCAATGCTTCCTCTCCTAGAGATTTGAGTATACTCCATTTAGATGATTCAGGATCCATCGTGTAGAAGTTCAAGAAATTTCTCCCGATACTTGAAATAATCAAAACTTGTCCAAACAAAGTCACCGCAAGGTTGTGGCAATACATTATTGGACGGTGAAAATCGGGAAGTGAGAAACTTGCACATTCCATTGGGGAATCACTACCAGAGAAATCATAGACAATGATGCGTTGCAATTCACTAAGCACGTAAAGCTTGCTTTCTTTGAAAGCCATACTGAGAGGTCGAACCACTTTCCAGCCTTGGTTCTTGGGAGGTTGAAACACTTTCCAGCTCTTGTTATCATCTCCTTTCCTGTGATATGCAAATAGACGGCTAAAACTCCACACAACTAAGTAGTCTCTGCTTCTTTCATCTACCCACAAAACCGCAATGTCTACTTCAATGCGATTTTTCTTCTCTGAAGATAATCTTTCATTATCTTTGTAATAAAAAGTCGTAAACATCAAGTCAGAGTCACTGATTCTCTCAACTTTAATTTGAGTTGATTCCATTGTTTCCGGAGACAGAAGCGGAATCCTCTCTCGAGTAAACAGATTCAAGAGATATAACTCGGTTCGATCGTCTAACATGAGGAACCAGCTACCGTAATTCGACAAACAACGACTCCTAGCGAAACCAAAACTGATGTCTCTTACTGTGTAGGATTTATGTTCGCTAGGATCGAACAACTTACATGAACTGTTGTTGCTCTCTGGAAAGCGGACGAGCCATGGATTTGTTCGTCCCACGCATGATCTTGAAGCGGAATACCACACTGAAGAAACGCATCTGGCTCGATGGAAATCAATAAAGCTCAACCATTCCATGACCGATATAACCAGGTCAAGGACAAGCATCGGGTTCATTGACTCGGTGCATATCTTTTCCTCGGAACCGATCATCTCCTTCTTTGCCGGAATTATGACAGTCATTGAGTTTTAGGGTTTGTGCTTATTTATTTGTTCCCCTAAATTAGAAAATTATCAATTATATAAAGTTTGAGTATGTCTCATAAGGAATTGACACATAAACATTTCTTTCTATGACATATCAACTTAACAAAAATAAAATAGCAAAAATAAAAATAAAAATCAAATTAAAACCTTCAATTAATCTATATCATTCAATTTATTAACATATTTTAGAAACAAATATTTTTTATTAATTAGATTCTCTTGAAACTTAAAACAAAACCCAAAACAAATTGCATTGGTGTATTATAAATAGTTCGAATGAAATTTTTTTTTTCTTAATCTTCATAATTTTCATAATTTTTTGTTATTGTTTTTCAATTTTTCATCAATTGGTATACTATAAATATTAAATAGTATGTGTTGAATCAAAAAATCACCATTAAGTCGGAGATTTAAGATTGTGAGTTTTGGAGAATAAAAGCTTTATTAACTAGCAAAGTATCGAGGTCGCTACAAAATTTAGGATAACCGAGAGATTATGCCGAAGTGAAAAGAGTGTTTGTGAAGTAAACTAGAAAGCGTTGAAGTTCTTGACTTTAGCTCTGCTGCTCTCTAGAATGAATGAGTTGTCATTCTGACTCTCCAAGACTTCTTATTTATATGTACGGGAGGTCGGTCTCCTTTTCTTTTTCTCTTATGACCAATATTTGTGATATGGAAATATTTCTTATTCTCCAAAATAAATGAGAATCCTCCCTTATCTTTGAATTTTCCTTCTAGTCTTCTAAGTCGGCGTAAAAATTCTTCTCTTGATGGACTTTGGTTATTGCTAGAGTAAACCTTTTGAAAAATGTGTGCATTTTTCCTAACAGTATGAAAATTTATTTTTTCTTAATTTCCATAATTTTTTGTTATTGTTTTTCAAATTTTCAATCATAGATAGATATAAAGATAGTTTTGGTTCTCCCTTCTCGCTTAAAAAAAGCAACTAGCGCTTATTGTGCCGGAATTTTAAACCAAACCGGTTATTGTTCCAAATTTTTATTTTTTTCTAAGAACCAAGTTGTATTCCAAAGCCAGAACCGTTCGTTACCCCTTGGTTTAAATCGGTGGGCCACCACTTGGCCTAAACCGAGATTAACAGTACAGAAAGAAGCTCTTAATTAGGGGAAGATGAACCAGACATTACTCATTAGACCGAGTTTATTCCGGTCCGATCACAACAAACACACTTCTGACACGTCAGCAAAACTGTACTAGACTTCTTTAGTGGCAACCTTATTACGTCATGAGGTTGCTTATGACGTCATCAAGTAGTTCAAAACCGGAGAAAACAGAGGAGGGAGAAACTGAGACTCAGGCGCCTCATGAGAGACGCACCAACCACCGTCCGATTTGTCCGTAATCGGAGCCGAGAATCGCACACAGCAAGGAGTCATCTTCTCTCGGACCAGACATCAGTTGAACCTCACCGATCTCCTCACTGAACCGCTTCACCAAATTACAGATCCCCTTTCAATTGAAGACCATCAAATCAATCCGACGAAATTAAGTTTTCATTTGCGGTAGCGTTTCTTTTTCTGACTTTGAGCTAGTTTCTTCTTTCATTGAAAATCTCAGTTAACCATTAACAATGCACTTTTGCACACTTGTGTGTCATACTACTCTGCATATATTAGTTTTTCTTTGCTGCAGTTGATTTGATTGTATATAACTCAAGATCATTTCCGAGAGTGTGCATCATTTTGTTTATAGAGTATAAATGCTATATGGTTGTTGCTAAGTTCTTCGACTGATTATGCTTGACAGGCAAAGAAGCAGTCTAGTGTATTTTTGGTTACTCGCTGTGAAGCTTTAGGTGCATATTACATTGTGCATCTTACATAGTCATGTTTATGCAAACTTTTTACAAACTCTGAGTCTCTGATGAACTTTTTCTCCTGTGAACTTTCCAGACTTTTATGCACATTCATTCTTTAACTGGAGTTTTGGCATATAAGCACGTTGAATCTAGAATTTCCTATCAATAGAATCTAATAAGCTGGACAAAAGAACATATATAGTACTAATGCTCCTGTTTTGCTTTACATGTTTGTAGCGACCCTCCTAGAGCCTCAACAGTAATCACTATCTTGTCTCTCTCGACCAACCTCAAGCTCCCTGTTATCTCGGTGAGCACTTAACATTTGAAGACGCTGGATACGATCTGGGATTGTACCGTCAAAACGCATGCTCTGAGGATCTTCAGAATAAGCTACATAGTAAGCCAATACACACCCTTGTAGCCACGCCAAAGCTACCCTTCCCTGCATAACAAAACAATAACATAAGCTACTTTGTCTAATATAAGCCAGTCTGATTCTTTCTCTACTAGCCTTAGGATTAGCTATCTTACCACGAAATATCCAATTATGAAAGCATATAGAGTCACTTCCAGGGCATATTCCTTGTGGATCAACAACACCCATATTCCTGCAGTCAGTGAAGACACTGCTCCTACAGAAACCGCACTGAGGAAACATATGGAGCTTGTGAGATCCGAATCTATCAGTTTCTCTAACCCAACTGTACTTCTCAGCTTCTTCCAGGTATCACTCGAAGCCTCCACGAACCCTTTATCATAGGTTCCCACATGCACAAAGCCCCATCTGTTTCCACATGTTATCAGCTTGTTGGCGATGGCCGAGAAGCAATCTGCACCTGAATACATGACCTCGTCGCTGCTCCCTGACATTAGATTAACGCTTCTGATTGATCCTCTGATGAGTACGATGATTGGAACAAGCGTCGAGCCAATGCAGACGCTCCCGATCAAGTGTCTCACAGTGACTCGGAAAGCACCCCAAGCGTCCATGTCTTCTCCATGTGCAAAGTTTACATATCTCGCCCTCGAGATCGCAACTTGTTGTACGTTCTTGAGAACTTGCATTGTCCATGATAAACTTATCAAGATTACGGATATGAACAAGAGATCAATATTTGTTCTTGTGGAAGTTGCACCTCCGATTCCAGTCACCAAGAAAGCAGAGTAAACGACGCTTATAACGACTGACAAACTGACAACCTCTCTGGTTCTTGCAGGTGGAAAAGCTGTGGAAAGCGATAGTATTTTGTCGGTGTATTCAAGCCTCGGAGTGATCCAGCAACCATACAGAGACTGCGTAACGGCGAAAAGCACAAAAACGGCACCGATCCCTGCATCTACCGCGGAGCCAATCAGAACAAGCAAGATACCGACCGAGCAGGTGAGTATTGGGCTAAGCCAGAACGTTGCTTTGATTGCTCGTGACCGATTGTAGATAAAGATGCATTGCCAGGCTAAAGATGCAACTCCTGAGACAGCTACAGATGCTAGCAAAGGAGGGTACCATTTTTTGGGGAGGAATTGGTGTGAACTTGCTAAGATGAGACCGCGAATGGTGAGAACGATCACCAAAAGTGAGATTAAGGTTAGTTGTGAGAAGAGAAGACCCTTGAAGAGACTTCTAAAGAGTTTTCCGGTTATTGTTTGTTGTGCGGCGGGTGGTGGTCTACCTTGTTCCTGCAAAAAATGAAACCGATTTGGTGTCTGAAGCTGATAGATGTGAATACGATGCAAATATCACCATGGAGAAACAAGAAGGGACAAAACAGCAGCTGAGTCTAGTTTTTGTTCTCGAGTCAAGAAGCAGTAATGAAAGTCAACGAGAACAGAGAGCATATAGGAAAAGCAAAAAGGACAACCCAGAGAGAGAGAAAGAGGTGAAGTTGAGGATAAAGATAGAAAGAGGAGCAGAGATGATACAGAGATCAAGAGAAGAGTATCCTGTTTCTTGATTCAAGAGAGAGAAAGTAGAGAGAGACCTTGAAGGCGATTGGAGAAGGAGGAGGAAGGGGAGATCTTGTTCTTGGTTCTTGAATCTGGACGCGAGAGGCATGGCCGTTGCTTGCTGGTGTTGGCATAGCTGCGTTGAATTTGCCAAGAGAGTTCCTTGGAACCCAAGTTCTAACTTAACCATCTTCTTCAATCATCATCATTCTCTGTATATATATATATATACACATACATTCTTAGTCAACATTTTATCCATGTTTTATCATATTAATTTCGAACATTTAGTAAACATACTTTATTCCATTACTTTGACTTACTCCATCGATAAAGTAATCTACAATTATTGTTGTTTTCACTTTTTGCTTTTAAAGTTTCCTCAATACCTGATCACCCAAGAAATTAATCAATCTATAATGATAAACAAATCTAATTTTACTGTTTTCATTTGGTCTTCATAGTCCAAGAATTATGGAAATACGTTATACGAACTCACTTCTGACTTGTTTTTTTTTTGTTAGGTTTATATTTTGGTAGTATTGATACATGTAGGTTCATCTTGGCTACCTACTCTACTCATCATCGTAACAAAGGTGCTTTAAAATTAATCTTAATCTAATGTCCGAATCCCCTTGTTTTAATCTATAGCTATCTATATACGTTCTAAATTCCTGTCTACACTTTTGTCTTTGTCAACTATTCTTGAATCCAATCCAAGTGTAGTGTTGACGACAAGGCAAATGATGATAACTGACAAGTAACATTTACCGATTGACGTCGTAACTTTCAACATTCTCCTCAAATTATAACTGACATGTAACATTTGTGTTATATGATGAGATGGAGATATGAACAACATCGAATTTATTTTTTAAAGGAAAAAATTGCAACATCTAGAAATTAAATAATTAAATCTCGTTTTATGACTATGCCTGTGGAATAAAATTATACAAGTAAAATGTTAAAAAAGAAAATGATAAAAGTGATAGTTTAAGATTTAGTCATTGATAGCAACAAGTGAAATTTCAAAAGGTTTTTCATAAACAAATGAAGTAGAAATGAGTTGACAAAAGACACACGTTTGTTTAGCTCAACTTCTATCTAATTTATGTTCTTTCCTTTATGCATGTAGTTGTTACCTTTTGGCGTGAGAGGATAAGAGTCTAAAACTTAACATGAAAACCAAAAAGTTCTAAATTTAATAAAATTTCATGGTTTTGAGATGTATAAATATTTCTCATTTGTTCAATTTTTATGACTAAGAAATTTGGAACACTCAAACACAAATATTTTCCAAAAGTCATAGCCATTATTAAAAATGAACTAGATTGAAAACATTTAACCCTTTCATTTAAGTAAACAATTTTTGTGAAATAGGTTCATAACTTTTGTCTACCCTTTTGTCTTTGAAGCATATGAAGCTCTACAAAACATTGTAGATACTACAATGCTTTTTATGATTGTGGCACTAGAGTGTTGAAACTTCAAACTAATATGCGATCGCTCTTTTGACACAGTCGACATTAATCTCAGCAGAAATTCTCTAAATAAGAAACAATCGTATTTTAGATCGCTCTCTTTACAAATAGGTTCATAACTATTTCTCTTGTTCAAAATAGGTTCACAATACATTTTTGTCTTTGTCAACTTTGTGAATCTAATCCAAGTAGTGACAAGTAACCTTTGCTAACGTGGTATTTTTCAATTTTCAACATTCTCGTGAATTGACAATTGGCTTATTTTACAATTGCTTTCAGTTGTGTTCTTCACATTAGTTGATGCATGTTGTTGCTGATTGTATATGATATGACAAAAGCGATTAATATCAAAACTATATTATGTACATATACAAACCTAAAACATTATAGGATGTGATTAGTTGATACATAGAGGGGAGTGAGTGGGAAAGGAGTGGCTAGGAAAATTTTATTTTAATTAAATAATTCGTCTTTTTTTTGTTTCGATGAGAAATCTTACACTGGTAAAACGGGATGGGAAGAAAATCACTTCAGAAATGACAACCAAACAAACCATAAAATGTATCCGTGAAATGAAAACATTTAGATATATAGTATAAAACCAAGTACTTAAATGATACTCTTATCACCAAAATATAGCATTATCTCGTCACATGGAAATCTAGACCCACACGTTAAGTCGTTTATGTGCCTCTATACGAAACTCTAATTAAAGAAAATGAACTAGATACCCCTTTATTAAAATAAAAAAAATGAATTAGATACATGTTATGAATGTCATCTTGAATGTCATCTTTAAAATTTGAGTATGCTGGTAGTATTTTCGACAAGGTCCAATATAAATAACTCTTAGACTCTTAGAAAACAATGGGCTTCATTGGACCTCTATTGGACTGTAGAAATGAGGTCCAGAACTCAAAAGCATTTATCCGGTTTAATAAACGGTTTTGTCCAAAGCCGAACAAACCAGAGTACATGTACATTCTAGTTCTAGATAGACGACGACACATTTTGGAATATATAACACCTGGACAGACTAACTCCTGCATTTTAACCAAAAAAAGATACTCGTGCTCAAATCCGAACTAGCATTTTGATTTGATTAAGAACCAAAAACAGGATCGTAGACATTTTTAACATCATCCACCAAATCTACCAACTGTACTTTCATTTATTATTACATCATTAAAACCCAAAACCTTACCCGCTCTATAAGGGCAGTATGGTAAATTAGTTTACGTGAGTGCGAGTTTGAAGATCTAAAACATGTGACAGAATGTGAGAACTAGGACAGATGGAGGACTTAGCTTAAAAGCAAGCAACCCAATCTTGCAGCCTTTTTAGATCTTCTTTCTGTCAATCTAGTTTTGTCTGAACTTCAGAATCATTTTGTACTTTTTTTTTGCTGCAAATCGTTTAGTATTTTCTGTTCTCAACTTTTTTTTACATGTTTAGTAAAATTAGTTTTTATTTTATTTAAAAATGCAGTTGTATTTGTTACACATGGAAATATGTGATTATGTGAACGCAGTCTGAAACATCAAACATCTAATACTACACTTGTATTCTGTATAAGAAATATATTACATCGATAAAATCAAACTAATTTGCTTTTTTTTTCCTTTTTAGCTATTGTCTGGTTAAAATCATAACTAAAACTACAGAGTATATGTTTTCGTGAAAATATATATATATTTTTCAGAACTACCAGAATTTCTTTATTTGTTAGGGTTTTCCTTAATTTGTTTTGTTAATCAATGTTTATGTCAAGTTTGGTAACAATCATCTTTCAAACTATTGGTACCATACTACCATCTTCTGTTGGTGCCAATTTAAAGCAGTTCAGCCCATTGATGATCATGACTACTTCGAGTATGAATTTCAATTTCACCAAGAACTTGAGAAAGGATATAGCAAAACTCACGTTTAAGTGATATTTATATATTTTAAAAAACTCGTTTCGGAACTTTTGATTTCTAGTAGTATTGTTTATGGAATTTGTATGCCCATGCACATCTCTTAAACCTACGGGTGATAACAGAAAGAAACATAAATATAAGGGCATATTTGTGTTTCAATAAACTGGCCCGTCATTAAACAGCACAACTCTCTCTCTCTCTCTCTCTTTTCCAGAGAGATTCCAAGAAAAATTACAGAGAGAGAGACAAAATGGCGATGAAGAAGCTGTTGATGATCTCCTTCTTACTAACATCTCTCCTATTCTCCTTCCTCTACATCCTCCCCACAGCCACAACTCTCTTCTCTTCCTCCAAAATCCCCGTTTTACCCCTCGAATCCAGCGGAAACCCCAACTCTACCCTCCCCTGTTTCGCCTACCTAATCTCCGCCTCCAAAGGCGACGCCGGAAAACTCAAACGCCTCCTCCGATCTCTCTACCACCGCAGAAACCACTATTTGATCCACCTAGACCTCGAGGCACCCGAGGAGGAGCATTTGGAGATGGCCCGGTTTGTCGCCGGAGAGCCTCTGTTTCAGGCGGAGGGTAATGTAATGATCGTCGGAAAACCAAATCTGGTGACTTACAGAGGACCTACGATGCTCGCGACGACGCTTCACGCAATGGCTTTGCTCCTGAGGTGTTGTCGGTGGGATTGGTTCATCAATCTCAGTGCTTCTGATTATCCTCTCGTCACACAAGACGGTACGGTGAGTGAATAACCGAATTAATTTTTTATTTGTGATTATCATTTTTTTTCTTCTTTGCTTTTAAACTGATGATAGTTCATACATTTGAGATCTTTACTCGGAAACTTAGATTTCGCCGATGAATATAGGACCTAGATTTGTGTGATATATGAATGGACCGGTTAGGATCGATATATACCTTGACTTTCAAGACATAGGCTATATGATAAGAATGCCATGGTCAGAATCGTTTTGTGTGATTACATGAATGTTCTGGTTAAGATCGGTTTAGACATTGACACTGGTGATAACACCAATGGTGCCTCTCTATATATAATAATTTAATTTATTAAACAAATGCAGATCTGATCTATGCTTTTTCTGAGTTGCCAAGAGATCTCAACTTCATACAGCACACAAGCCGATTGGGATGGAAGATGTTAGTTTTTTTTTTTCCTTTTTACGTATTTTATCAACGAATTAAGCTATGCTATATTATTAATTATTTGAAACGCATTATTGAAACATGCATAGAAATATTTGAACTATCTAAAATTTAGTGGTGTAGTCTTATTACTAAAAAAAAATGAATGAATATAAAATGTGTAGGAACAAAAGAGGGAAACCAATAATAATAGATCCAGGGCTTTATAGCCTCAACAAGTCAGAGATTTGGTGGGTTATCAAACAGCGGAGCCTTCCTACTTCTTTCAAGCTCTTCACAGGTTTCCCCCTTCTTCTTTCACTTTTAACTAAACAACAAAAACTATTTAATGGATGTTTTGCGATCATAATTTATAGCGGTTGCTTCCAGTTTTAACGATTGATTTGAGTTGATTAAGACGTAAAACCTAATATTTTTTTTTTTGGCGGCACAAAATATTATTTAGACTTGACAAGAACAATATTTAAAGAACTGTCTTTTTCTTTAGTAAGAAAATGTAGAAAATGATATTATATTACATGCAAAATATTTCAGGTTCAGCTTGGACATTCCTGTCAAGACCGTTCTCAGAATATTGCATAATAGGGTATGACAACTTACCAAGAACGCTTCTCCTCTACTACACCAACTTCGTTTCATCCCCGGAAGGCTATTTTCAGACAGTTATATGCAACTCGGATGAGTTCAAGAACACGACTGTGAACCACGACCTCCACTACATCGCGTGGGACAATCCGCCAAAGCAGCATCCTAAGACTCTAGGGATGAGGGATTACAGAAAGATG